TACTTCTACAGAGCGAAGCGTCAGTCCAGCGCACTGCCGTTGTCACAGAGGTTGGCTTGGCTCGAGGCCCGTGACCTTGAGGATCGTTCCGATTGGGTTGCCAAGTTTCGGGAATCATCCAAGTCCTTGGGGGAGGTCATCAAGGAGACCAGTGTGGCCCGTGATGCCCATTGGGTGCCACATGCGGTGCCCGGAGCTCCTAAGGCCGAGGCGAGCAAGCCTACTACAGTCGCTGCGACAGCAGCCCAGCAACCATCCCAGTTTGCGTTGGGCAAGTCAGTCAGTGGCAAGAAGGTGGCCAAGGTGATGCGCGATGGCTCCAAGATTTGCCAGGCTTTCCAACATGGACAGTGCAAGAACCCCAAGAGCTCTTGCCCCCAAGGCCAGCACAAGTGTGGCATCGTGGTGCGCGGTGAGCGCATTTGTGGTATGCCGGGGCATGGAGCTATTCAATGTCGGGCGAAGATTTCGCCTTGACGGGGCCCAGTGGGAGAGGCGGGCACTTCTGCTGGGCAGGATGAGGCTAGACCCGTAGACAGTGTTGACTGTCAGCTGCCGCGGATGGCAGACCTTTATGCGGGGCCTAATACACCTTTGTCCAAAGCCTTTATCTTTTGTGGTTGGGAGACCATCTCTGTGGATTGGATGTTGGATAGGAGTCACGACCTATCCAATCGCCTCCGGCAGCAATCGTTGCATGAGCAGTTGCAGTCTGTGTGCTTCATAGCAGCTGCTTTGGATTGCTCTACCAAGAGCCGCGCGAGGGAAATTCCGCGGGACTTTGGTGATGGGCGCCCACCACCCCGGCCATTGCGATCTGAACAGCACCCGCTGGGGCTACCTGAGTTGACAGGTTCTCAGCAGCAACGGGTGGAGCAGGATAACGCAGCTGCCAGTTTTGTACTGTCTGAGATCGACCAGTTGGTGGACAGGGGTGGTGGATCAGTCCGCGAGAACCCATACAATAGCCTCCATTGGTGGACACCGGATGAGGTGGCAATGTGGGAGAGTGGTCGCTGGTCAGACCAGCGGTATTCAGCCTGCTGTTTTGGGGGCGCAAGATCAAAGCTGCAGCGTTTGCGCCACAACATTGCAGAGATCGCGCAATGGCCACGAGCTGACTGCAACCATTTCCATGACCCCCAGGAATGGGAACCTTGGGTCCAGAATGGCAAGCGCCATTTTCCTTCAGCTGAGGAGTCCGAGTATACAGCAGAGCTCTGCTTTGCGATTGCCACGGCAGCTTCGTGGTGGGCAGTGCGTGTTGGACACGCCAAGCTCTATGTGCCGAGGTCCCCATCGCCGAGTTGCACTGGGCATCGAGACCATTGGCTTGACCTCGATCCTAGAGCACTGCGTGAATGGGCTATGACCCCACTGGCCATCAGTCTGGGCCTGCGGCCTTTGGACACAGCTGAAGCGGCTAGGGTGCCCACGCGAGCATGTGTTGACGATGTCTTGCAACAGGGCGCCTTGCCTCCCGGTCATGTGTATGTGGGGCTCGGAAATCATAACCACCGCCTACCTACCACCAAGTGGAAGTCTCCATGGCAAGTGGGAGTGAATTGCACCCCCCAAGACTGGGTTCCTTACTACGTCCAGTACATCAGGGAGACACTCTGGTGCGAGCTGGACGAGCTCGAGGGGGCAGTGCTCGTCTGTGATTGCCCTGCAGCCCAAACTTGTGAGGCCGACCTCCTTGCTGGGTTGATTTTTGATAGATTGAGCGAGCAGGGCCAGCGGAGTGCCCCCCAGGTGGTCCAAGGGTTTTCTGGCAGGAGTCCACAGGGAGTTACCCGGTGTGTCCTCTTGTCCAGTGTAGCGCGGGCTACAGGTATCCCCTTTGGGCCATTTTATATTCTGCAGGAGTCCTTGGCGTTAGCGTTCAAGAGGTTATACCCAGGCGAGTGGTTCGAGGGAGTCGCCATCCCCTTTGTGGAGGACTTAGTGAATCAGTACCCACTTGACCTATTTGTGCGATGGCGCCACCAACAAGGTCTGGACATGGAGGGCAGCTGTAACCCAGTGTTGGCAGCCCCCTCAGTGCGGCAGAAGATGAGGACTGCAGAAGGGCAACAGGTGGGAGCGATCAACCACAGGGCGGCGTTGGCCCCCCTTCTGCCTTTTCACCTTCAGCCCGATCAGCATTTCGAGCAAGCCCTTCAGCTCAGCCTGCAACAGTTGCCTACTGAAGGGCTGCCTATTTTGGATGAGGATCTGAGGTTTGCTGCATCTTTCTCCAGTCTGCCAGGAGTTGACCTGCGCAGGTTGCGAGAGTGCGCCATGGGCATCCTGTCTGAGTTGAAGCGACGGTGGAGCTCGATTACAACCCATCTGCGCCGCAAACAGACTGAGGCCATCAGAACGGCAACAATGCAACGTGACATCGGCTTCACTGCAATCCTTCTTCTGATAGCCAATTGGGGGGACGTGACACTGCCAGCAGGCCTGTGTATGGGGCTTCCTGCAGTGGGTTACGCGCCTCCATATGGCATTTTTCCGGAACAAGTTGCCACACGTTTGACGAGAGAAGAGGTACTCCATGACTGGCAGAGCCACAACAACACCATTTTGGCTCGGCTCAAGCCAGGTGCCGACGATGAATTTTTGTTGCAACAAAGCCTGAAAGATGCTGAGAAAGGGTTTTGTGGGTTGCCCATGACTGCAGAGGAACTGCAGCGTTGTCTGGGTGCGGAACCCTACCGATTGATCCCGCGATGTGTCATCACACAGTCCTCGGGGAAGCAACGAGTGATTGATGACGCTTACGTTGGCTTGCAGTCTGAGCGTTCCAGTGATGCAAACAAGCTCACCCTTTGCTCAGCGTTGCGGCCAGCCCAACACCTGCAGTATGCCTACGCCTTTGGGAGGTCATCCCACTGGGAGGCTGAAGAATGGGAGTCTGGCGGTGAGGATTGGCCAGACGCTTATCGGTTTTGCCCTATGAGTTGGGATGAGGCCTTATGCTGCATTGTGGCTTTCTTCCATCATGAATGGCAACAACCGGCGTTCATGATTTATACCGGGCTGCTCTTTGGTCTTCCTCTCGCAGTCACATCGTTCAATCGATACAGTCGCTTTGTGGAAGCGCTATCACGTCGATTTGCCTTTTGTTTGACCAGCTTGTATTTCGATGATACTCACCTGACAGACCGCAAATCGTGCCGGGGATCAGGTCAGAGAGCTTTGCAGACTCTCAACACCCTTTTGGGCACACCGTTTTCAGAGGAGAAATGTCAAAAGATGCAGAGTACCGGCACCTTTTTAGGCCTGGATCACGATTTCAGTCAAGTCCATTTGAAAGGTATGGTTCAATTTTGGGCCCGTGACCGCATCGAGACCAAGCTGCTTCATCTCATGCAGACTGCCGAGGAATCCGGCAGGCTGCAACCAGGGGTAGCAGCCAAGCTCTATGGTATCGCCAACTTCTTTGAGCTTGGCGTGTGGGGGCGTATTGGCTGCGGTGGCTTGGCTCCCATCAAGCACAGACAGCAGGAGCGCTCTTCAGAGTTAACTGAAGAGTTGCGCCAGAGTTTTGACCTGCTTCGCACTGTCATCACCACCCAGCCCTCTCGCCACATCGAGATCTGGCCACATGCGGGGCTCCGCTTCCTTGCGGCTTCGGATGCTGCGTTGGAGAGCCCAGGTCAGGGGACAGGAGGCTTTTTGGTGGTGTGGCATGACAGTCACAGGCAACATCGGGAAGCTTTTGTTTCTCTCATCCCCCAATTGGTGTACAACCTCTGGGAGCCTGGTGACAAGAAGATTGCCCAGTTAGAGTTGCTGCAAGTGCTCTACGCTTTGTTTTCTAGGCCGTCCAGATTTCGAGGTAGACGAGGGCTTTGGTTCATCGACAACACAGCAGCGTTGATGGCATTGATCCGAGGTCGTTCTGACAATGCAGATTTAGAGCATATGTCACGATTGATTCATATCACTCTTTTTGGTCTTAAGGCTTGGTTTTTCTGGGAGTGGATCCCTAGCAAGGCCAACTGGTCTGATGAGATCAGCCGTGAAGGCCTCCAGGCGACATGGCACAAACGCCATGGGTTCACCACGCATTTTGCATTTTTCCCCTTCGAGATTTGGTCTCTACCACTTCCCGCGTTTCTCCGGGTTGTGGAGTTTCTCTGAGTGCTTTGGGATGAAGTGCATTGGGAGAGATTCAACCTGTGTAGCCTCCTGAGTTTACAGGAGTGCGGAACAGGGTGTACGGATCCAACCAGTGCTGCTGTGCAGGAGACTACCTGCACAGCGTTCCAAAGCACTATCCTGCGAGGAGCAGGTTGAGACCGCACGAAGAGTTTGGGAAGAAAAAGCCATGCGGATGTGAGCCTGGACAGTGTGAACCATTTTGAGCATCTATGCTTTACATCTCACAACTAATGTATGTATGCATCGTGTTTGGCAGGCACTGGGTGTGCATTATCATTAGGGTGAGTATGTAAGCTGATGAATCCATTTTGGCTCAAGTCTGAGCCAAACTGGCTTCATCATTCTTTCTTTTCCCTCCCTTCCCTCCCTATGAGGTAGGACTCCGGTGGAGTATCCTCCCTTGTAGGGGATCACATCATTGAGGATGCTGATCTCTACGTGGAGTCCCACGACTGTAGCACTGGGCGGGAGAGATTCAACCTGTGTAGCCTCCTGAGTTTACAGGAGTGCGGAACAGGGTGTACGGATCCAACCAGTGCTGCTGTGCAGGAGACTACCTGCACAGCGTTCCAAAGCACTATCCTGCGAGGAGCAGGTTGAGACCGCACGAAGAGTTTGGGAAGAAAAAGCCATGCGGATGTGAGCCTGGACAGTGTGAACCATTTTGAGTATCTATGCTTTACATCTCACAACTAATGTATATATATATACATATATATGTATTTATTTATTTTTACGGATGGTATATATATATATATATATAAGGTCATAAAATATCCATGATCATTCCAAGGGGCTCCACGTGAATCTCGCATGACATGTCCATGGATCATCTGTGGACTGAGGCGACCATCAATCCTACCCAGGCGCGCCATCGAAGCAGAATGGTGGGTTGTTTCATCGGTATGATGTGGTTTAACTTTGGGTTAAGGTGGCCCCAAGGTTTCAAATGGCCGGATGATGATTAATGTATAGCAAATAGTGATTAATCCGTTCTATATTAGTCAACTATACTAACAATGTTGATTAATAGTGATTAATAATGATTAACAATGATTAATCATGATTAATGTGGTGAACCCACAGCAACAAACCTATCATTTGGGAATGGTGTGCGAAATTTGGCCCACCACATTAAGGACATATGTGCAGGAACGTGATTGAGTTGGATATGTCATGAAACATCATGAAACCATTTCCCACCGACACACAGTTTTTTCTCAGGGTTTATGCGGGTTTAGTCATGATGGTACAGCATCAAATCATCTCTTTCAGGTGCCCCCAAAAAACGTTCCCTGACAGAGGTGCGGTTGTTTGAAAATTAGGTTACATCCACTGGTGAATCATCATTAAGCTGGCTATGTTTTTGGGGTGAATCATACATATGCCTGATATTACCGTATCATATTCCCAACGCCCAGTTGGATACACCCATAAAATGTGTTGCTGCAGACCTTGTTCGACGTGAAGCGCCTCATTGGTCGTCGCTTCAAGGATTCTACTGTGCAGAAGGCAGGGGTTTTGTTTTTGGATTCTTGGCTCGGGTGGTTCGTGCAGAGGTCAAACTTGAAACTTTCACGGAATCTGTTGATCTTTGTCGGATCCATCATATCTTATCTCGGCATAGCTTGAAATGCGATAGTTCCGATAGTTGATCATGATCCCGGCCTTAGAGTCATCTGGCCGCGTGACAGGACATCAAGCTGTTGCCTTATTTGATCGTGGATAAGAGCACCAAGCCGATGATCAGCGTCAAGGTGAAGGGTGAGGATAAGGCAGATCTGGGACATGGGATTCCTTGAGCTTGTGGTTTGGTTGGGGGTAGTTGAGAAATCAAACACATGAGTGACATTCCAATATCCCAATGCATGATTGGTACTTAGATAATGTTGTTCATTGTATCATTGTAGACTTCATGGGTTTGTCCGAAATCCATTCGTATCATACTATATCAATCCTGGGGCCCACTGATGAGTCAATCCAGTGGTGGCCCAAAAAAGTACTGCTGGATGATGCTGAAACAGGCAATGAAAACATAAATTTGGTAATTAGGGACATCTCACGAATTGCAACACCAGGTAGTTGAGACCATTCGGTAATTTAAGCTATGGAAAGAATCAACTTTGATAAGCGAATCATCGAACTACAGTGGGCATTTTCCATAGCCATTATTGAAGGAAGTTTCTTATGAGCAGATGCAGCAACAGTGCTGGGAGCAGTCAGGGAAGAGAAAGAGTCAGTAGAAAGAAGATCAAGGTGCGACGCGAAAAGGTAGAAAAGTCGTGAAATACTGTTTCTTCTAATGTCTTGTGGCTCGGGAGGGTCGAAGAGTAGGTTCGCTAAAGCGGTGTGTGCGGAGCTATCTGGTCGTATCAGAGATCAAAAGTTGCACGCCGCTGTGGTGCGAAGCACATTTTCAGGTCAACATGCTCAAAGCACCTCATGTTCGGAGCACTTTGGGCATGTGAGCCGTTGAAAAAGTGGATGTGGACATTTTTCCAAGTGAGAAGGCATTGTAAAAACACCACACACTCGGACCACTTTTGAAAGTTGAGATGTCGACAAAGCGCACCATGTTGTGGCCCGAAGCACATGTCGAAGGAAACATGATAAAAGTGCCACATGCTCGGACCACTATTGGACGTTCAACTGCCATTTGTCGTTGCAACTACAAATACAACTACATTAGGGTACAACTACGCTACACAGTTTCAATTCTAGCCGCAGCTGCAGAGACTACAACTCCACGACAGCTGCAACCACAACAACAACAGCTACAACTACAACTGCAGCTGCGACGGCAACTGCAACTACAATTTCACACATCATGCTAGGTTGCAACCACACTACATTTGACTACCGTGCGCGACAGTGCAATGAACTACACTACACTGAAACTACAACTTCATTACGCTACACTACAATTACAGGTAACTACACCTGGTGTAGCTACAACTACACCGACAACGACAACCATAACTACAACGGCAACTACAACTACACTACATGCAAAATTACATCTGCAACTACATTGCACTACAGGTACAACTGCAACTGCAACTGCGGCTATTACATCACACTACACCACACTAGGCTTCAACTACACTACGCTACGGTACATTAGACCACACGACACCACAACTACAATAGCAACTGCAACTACGATACGCTAGAGACGGATAGACAGAGAGAGGGGGAGAGAGAGAGAGAGAGAGAGAAAGACAGAGAGAGAGTTTGAGAGAGAGAGGGAGAGGGAGGGAGAGAGAGAGAGAGAGAGAGACGCAGAGCCCCAACCACCTTCCATTAGTTGCTTCGCCTCCCATCTATGCATCACGGCAATTCACGTCTCGTATAGGTTTCCTATTTGACACTTCCGCCACCCCATTGTGCGGTACTACTGGTCAAGTACCAGGAGTTAATTTCCTGATTCATCCCAAAATTTCTTCTTGTGAGTCACCCATCTCTCGGAACATCGTCCTTCTTGTCTATGTCTAGGCCCTAGAGGCCTGAGAACAACGGCAGACAAACTGCAGAAATATCTGAGATAGATTGTCAGAATACGTGCCAAAATGCACGCCAAATAATTTGCCAGAATCTATGTCAGATAGAATGTCAGAAGGTTTGCTAGAGTATATGCCAAATAGAATGCCAGAACGTGTGCCAGATAGGATGTCAGAATGTATGCCAGGTAGGCTGCAGAACACAAGGCCAAAATATTCTTCAGATAGAATGTTTTCACATGTGTCAGATAGACTTGAATGTCATAATATAAAAGCCATAAGTACATGCCAAATAACACGCCAGAATATTTGTCAGATAGAATGATAGAATGCCAGAATATACGTCAAAACATAGGCCGGATAGAACGTCAGAATATATGCCACATAGAAGAGAGACAGAGAGAGGAAAAATAACAACATTCAAGAATATTGTCAGATATGTCAGATAGAATGTCGGCGGGGGTCGCTCGAAATAAGTATTTAAAACAACGGTATTGATGATGAGGAAAAGTCTTAGAAGATAAAAATACCCCAGCCCCTGGTAGTACTGAACGTCCTTGTGCCGGTGGCGATGAAAATGCCATGAGCATGCCAGCAGGTGATGGCTCCTGAGGAGGTGTCTTCCATGGTTCTCACCAAGATGAAGGAAACTGCTGAGAACTACCTCGGAAAGGACATCTCTTGTGATGGTTTATTTTGAGTCACGTTTGGTGGCTTGCGAATTGTTTATGATGATTTATGATGAGTTATCTTGATCATTTCCGAACATTGTGGCTTGACCATGCTATCATTCAACATCCTGTCTGGCTTCGAACCCATGGCCACCTTTCCAGGAAGTGAAGCACGCAGTCGTGACGGTTCCCGCATATTTCAACGATGCGCAGCGTCAGTCCACCAAGGATGCCGGCACCATCGCCGGGATGAACGTCCTGCGCATCATCAACGAACCCACCGCGGCGGCCATCGCCTACGGCTTGGACAAGAAGACGGACGCATGGTCGGAAAAACCGGGGATAGCACCCGACCTGGCTAAGATACGGTAAGATCACAAAGAGATATGTATTTTTTGCAATAACACATTCGCGCCCAAAATATATTTGTAGCCATTCATGGTATGTTGTACCCACAATTCGTCTTATGTCCTCTTTAAAAAACCCCACAACCATCAAAAAATTCACCAACGATGGACGATGAGACGCAAACATATGAAATAAAAGGTTTCAACGTGCGTAAGGGGCAATGCCGGTGACGACATCGGAGATTGACATGTTGATGGTTAAAGTGGCCGAAACTGTAGTAATTTGCACATGTTGTTTTTGTCTGCAGTAAATTTTCGGCTCACATTCCATGAAGGGTCGCCTCAAAAATGGAATATCTAGTGTTTTACCTCAATGAAACTGCAATTCTGTATCCCGAGTGCTCCGCGGAAAAGTTCCTTTTTTTTAATTCAAGCACAAAGTTGTTCAAATTTGTGGAGGACATTGCCTGTTATCCAATGAAGTCATTTGTCCTTAAGTACTAGAAATTTACACATATGACGTTTGTGTGGAAGTGCCAGGGAACGTCCAGCAGCATAGCATGACGTATGTGTGAAAGTGCAAGAGAGCGTGTTATGTAGTTGAAGTCGAAATGAACGTTAACATCCCACCCCACCCCACTGCACCCCCAAAATATCAATACGCGCATGGCCTCTTACTGGCGTTGACATGATAAACATCAGCCCGGCTGCAAAAGTTGAAGGGGAACCACGAGCATCCCAAATAGAGAAAAACCGCTCATTATGCAAAATGAGTCCCGGCTTCAAGCCGTTTGGAACCTTTATTCCCATGGTCCATACTCATTGTCGATCATTGTGCCCATCCCTGGATGATGCTCAATTTCATGATAAATCACTGAACACAGAGATGGGTCAAAGTCTAAGTTAACCCACCTTCGAGGAGAAGAACATCTTGGTCTACGACTTGGGAGGCGGCACCTTCGATGTTTCCTTGTTGACCATCGACAACGGTGTTTTTGAGGTGGTGGCCACCAATGGTGACACACACTTGGGAGGTGAAGATTTTGATCAGCGGGTGATGCAGCACTTTATGAAGATTTTCCAAAAGAAGCACGGCAAGGACCGCAGTCTGCAACCTCCATGAGCGGATACTTCGGACATCGTGGGCATCACCATGAAGAATATGTGGATACAACGATGAATACAAAAATGATGAATGAATACCATCATGAACATCATCATCTTCATCACAATCCTCCCAAAATTCTACCAAAGTCCTCCCTCCATTTACTAGTATTTAGACATGTTTTTTTCACAGGCACAGCCGAGCCACAGCCGATCCAACGCAGCAGGACATGTCGAAGGACAAGCGCTCCATCCAGAAGTTACGCCGCGAGGTCGAGAAGACCAAGCGCGCCTTGAGCTCCACCCACCAGGCACGTGCCTCGACGGCCTCGACGAAGCGGGAGGCGATGACCTGGTGAAACTATGTGAAACTTGTGGGATGCCATGGCCGGGATTTTAATGATGTCTAATGGCGTTTAATACAGTATGGGCAGTATGGGTTTTAGGCGTTTTTGTTGATGTGAGAAACCAGTTTTGAAGAAGTTTTGAACCAACAACATATATCAAAATATAAGGATATCCTTCAGGTCGGATGTTTTTTTTCACATTTAAAATCCCAGTAAGTAGGTGTAAGCTGGTATTCTTAGAACCAGGTCACAGCTGCTCGGGGCCATGTTTTCAATCTTGAGCATGAGTATCAGTATGAGAGGGTTTCAGCCTTCGGAAGTGATCTTGTCCTTTTGTTTCTCTTCCATACCTTCTCCATTTGGTTGTTTGATTCATCCATGACTTGCAATTGACTCCATGGCCAACATCATCCCTCCATATAAGGTTTCGAACCTGTTCGAATCCAATAACAACGTTGATGTATAATTATTGTAATTTGGTTCATCCTTTTCTCACGAATCCTCATGAGCCACCTGTTCCTCAAGATGTTATTTGCAAAACGAAATGAAACATATGAAACAAAATAACATTGAGGTTGTGTTCATCATTAGGTTTTTCACATCACCATGTCTTTCCTCATTTGCCGCCCCCAGAAATCCCTTCCGGGAATCAAACGTGGCAATGGAAAATCCCCTATAAATGGAGGTTAAAGGCTGGGAATACAACAACAAAAAAAACATGAGGTTTCTTAAAAACCAACTGCAAATGGCGTTTTTTTTCCATTGCCGCTGTTGATTCCCGAAGGGTGTCCTTCCAAGGTTTGGAGATTGAAGCCCTCTATGATGGCGTGGACTTTTCTGAGACCTTGACACGCGCACGTTTCGAGGAGTTGAATGCGGATCTCTTCAAGAACACCTTGGGACCAGTGAAGCAGGTGGGTTTTTTCAGGTCTTTTTGCGGGTCCAAAAATAGCCGGTTTTGACCAACAACCAAGAAGTCGTTTGGTCATGTTTGGTGAATTTTGATGTTAGACGGTCCAGTTGTTTAATGTTTATAGAGGTAAATCATCCAGGGAACTAGGGATTTTGCTGGTGATTTTGGTGATTGAATTGGATCGTAAATCATCCCAAGCGGGGGGTTCAAGTCGCGTGGCCAGGTTTTGGAGGACTCTGGCCTGAAGAAGAATCAGGCCATTGGGGGGTAGAGGGAATCCCCAAAATCATTGGTTTTTTATACTAAAATATACCTGAAATGGTATAATTTGGATGATTTTTTGGGGGTACCCCCATTTTAGGAAACCTCTATGCTAGAGGTTCTGCTTGGGGATGGTGAGATGACCATGTACGATGGTAGAGCTCTCTCTCGCTCTCTCTCTCTCTCTCTCTCGCGTTTTCCCTCTCTCTACATAGACTACATTTCTGTATCTCTACGTACATCATCTCTATAGATGTGTACAACATTATGAACTATATGAATATCAGGTATAATCATATAATATCATATATCTGATTATGGACACATTTCTCTAAACGACCATTGCATACATCTCCCGTTGTAGCCGCAGGTGGATGAGATCGTTTTGGTGGGCGGCTCCACGCGAATTCCCAAGGTGCAGCAGCTCATCAAGGCGCGGGAAATGACTGGCAGTCGAGGGTTTCACTATGGAAACTATGGGGTCCTATGGAACTTGAAAAACTTGGGTCCAATCCGTCCAATCCCCGAACATGCTCGCCATTAGCCATGGATTCAAGGTTTTGATTTGGGGTTATCTACTAATTTTAGGGGAGCCGGATTGATTTCCCGGGTATATTTTACACTGGAGTATATCATGTTAACTTAATGGTGTAAAACATCCTCGCATAGGTCAAGGGATAAGGTGGCAAACCGAAAACCATGGACCATGCACAGTGCTGGATTTCATTTCAACATTGATTTATTATGATTTAACCAAAAACATGCTGATCCCATCAACAAAAACACGTTAATTAGTTTCCCTCAGGCAATCCCCTGTCCCGTGCCCATTTTCTTCCATGAAGCATAACGATCACCACCATAAAAATTAGAAGTAACAATAACAACCATAACAACTAGAATAGTAATAAACATCATTATCATTAATAGCAACATATATAAATCATATAAACATATATATATATAACATCATATAACATCAATCAACAATGAAATCAGGACCAAGAACCATACCGTCCTCCCTGGCCCTTCTTCACCTTAACTATAGTTCACCACACACCAAGGATTTCTTCAACGGCAAGGAGCCCAACCGTGGCATCAACCCGGATGAGGCAGTGGCTTATGGTGCTGCAGTGCAGGCCGGGATTCTGAGCGGCGAGGGAGGACAGGACCTGCTGCTGCTGGACGTGACGCCACTGACTCTGGGCATTGAGACGGTGCCGTGGCGGCCATGGGTTGGGGGGTGGGGGATGGGTGGGGATGGGGGATGGGTGGAACTGTGTTGCTGTGGTATGCTGGTATTATGATGTATTTTGTTCCATACAGGAATAGCTATGGTAAAGACAAGTTGGGAATAGTGTTTGTTTTTTTTTGGGGGGGGGCGATCATGATATGCTGAGGTGATGCAGTTTCTTGATGTCAAAGATTGGTTTGCGTTTGTAGAAAAGATTTTTGGACACTCTCCACATCCCACCAACCGGCCTCAGGTGGGTGGTGTGATGACCAAGTTGATCTCCCGCAACACGGTGATCCCAACCAAGAAATCCCAGACCTTCTCCACCTACCAGGACAACCAGCCAGCGGTGAACATCCAAGTCTATGAGGGCGAACGACCCATGACCAAGGACCCTGGGCGAGTTCCAAAAACCATGACCGTTTTGAGATGTTTTGAGGCACTGCGAGAAAGTTGGAGAAAGTTGGGATCCAGATTTGTAGATGTTGGCGGATTTTTTGGTTGGCTGTTTTGTTGCTATTTGTTCCCATGTTTTCCTAGCAGTTGCAATTATCGCTATTAGTTGTAATCAAGCTGCGGAGGGGGTTGGAATGTAGTTGCGCGTAATTTTTGGTTCCAGATGGAATGCATGGTATAGCCATGTATAGCCCGTGTCAGTTCTTGGTTTTGATACTCCACTGTGTTGAAATATCAGCGGATTGATTGCAGGACTTGCGCAATTTTTCCCAAGAGCTTTGGGGAACTGTATGAAATCGGGTCAAAATATGTTAAAAGTACTTTTGATACCCAGCAATACCCAGCATCTTGGATGTTTGATCAACTATATTGCAAAGTTATATCTAAACTTGCCATTTGCCCATGGATCCCACATCCCAGCTTCATCGGGGTTTCGGCTTGGTGGTGCCAAGGACAATCACCTGCTGGGCAAGTTCGAGCTTGGCGGAATCCCTCCAGCTCCTAGGGGTCAGCCACAGATCGAGGTCACCTTTGAGATTGACAGCAACGGCATTCTGAATGTCGGTGCGGAGGATAAGGGCACTGGCAAGAGCGAAGCTTGGAGAACTGAGCCGTTGGAGCCACTGGAACCCCGAAAAGGATTTGTTGCAAGATGTTGGAAGAAGAAGATCATTCGCTTTAGATGCGGGTTCAACGGTAAGTGGGTCGGAAGGAGCATGTGTATATCATCGAATCATTTGCTATGGTATTTATGTGATGTTAGCGGTTGATCGCGGCGAAACATTGTGATTCGGTTGCTGTCAGATCTATTCAAAGTCGCTTGGAATGAATTATCATGATTTATCATGAACATCAGCATAGGCGGCATGGTACCCTCCCTTTCATTTGGTTTGTTGGTTTAATATGTTTCTGCATTGGTCATCCTTTGAAATTGTATGACTTAAAATCAATGGAAAAAAGATGAAAAAAGGGTGTGATTACAATCTCACAGGCATTCATTCTTTTTGCTCATGGGCTGATTTGGTGTGATTCAAAACCACCAGCTGGACTCTCCAATCACCAGCTTTTTGGTGACAAAAAATGCCCCGCATTCCGCATGTCACCGGTGACCGCTGCGCAGCGCCTAGGAAAAGATTACCATCACCAACGACAAGGGCCGCTTGACAGAGGAGCAGATCGAGAAGATGATCCGCGAGGCCGAGGAGTTTGCGGATGAAGACAAGAAGGTGAAAGAGAGGCCGGGGGAGGAGGAGTCTGATAAGAAGGGGAATAGTGACGGTGAATGACGATGACGATGAGGATGATGAGGATGAGATGATGAGGATGATGATGATGAAGAAGAAGATGACATGTGCATTTTTTCCGACATGATGTTATACAATGTGCATTAATATCATTCATATAGTTAGTAAATGTTAGTAAGGGAACTGAAAGTGGGTTGTAGCCCCGGGTGTGGAGCTATAGAAGCTTGACGGGATATGGTGGTGCGATGATGCGCGATGGGCGACGCTAAAGCATCCATTAATTTAGAGGCTGTTGGCAGCATTTCTATCTCAAGGCCTGCCCCATGGCGCCTTCACTCATGCCGTATCCGTTTGAGACCTGTTTCTCCTGATGCACGGAACATATCAACCTTTTTGAATGGCCAGGGATTCTAAACCGGGAAGCCATCTGCCGAAATCTTCGACCCGATTTGGTCAGGGTTTCTTGGGCTGGCAATTTCACCCAATTCATCCTGGTTTCAGAGCCCGATCCCAAAACAAACAATCCACTCATTGTATATCCAGTTATTAAATCAGAATGGCCATAAATTCGGTGGATATGAATTTTCTGTCACACCAGGCGTCCCTCGTCCCAGAATCTCCCCAATTACTCCATGGTTCCACAGGGTGGACGCTAAGAACGCCTTCGATGGCTACATCCATTCCATGCGTTCCGCGACGGAGGGATCAGGAGACAACAAAGGCTTGAGCGAGAAGATGGATTCCGATGAGAAGGAGCCATGGATCAAAACCTATTGCACCATATTTTTTTGTCTCTCTCCTGGGGGGCATGAGCATTTATTCAGCAGCTATTTTCATCAGGCAAGGAAGGTGTTGGACACCTTTTGACCCATATTTGGGATGTTTGATCAGTTCTTTTTTGGCATGGGAACATGCAAATGTGAGTTTTATACGAACAAACGTGCTACCGTAGATGGACGAAATATTCAAACCCTTTCTATCCGGTATTACAACCCCCTCGCCCCCAAAGTTCAATGTTAATGTAACCTGAAGTGCATCAGCACCAATGTACGAAAGAAATCAAATGCCTAACATCACTTTTGGTAACGCGCGCTGAATCGCGCTGAAACATTGAGATTTGGGGGTGTGGGGGTTCAACATAGTGCGTGTTGTAGGGTTTGAATATTTTATCCATCTACTGTTTCTAACATGAGCAAGCATGCCTGGGAACCGGCGATTGAAGAGCTTCGTAGCGTGGCAAAATGGTCATGACTACTAGATGATAAATATGTGTAACTACAATATAGTTTAGTACCATATGAAAATACAATATACTGATATACGTTAGCAGTCCGGTTGGCCTGTTTCTCCACTAACTTCTGTCTTGGACCCTTTTAGCCGTGGAATTATTTGTAATAGCGCCAGAACTATTTGTAGCGTATTCATGGAAATTATTGAAAAAATGAATGGGGATCAGTCCCAGCTGCAAACGTGAAGACCAAATGGCACACTAGTAGAGCCACACCAGATATTCATCAGCGCAATATTATCAGCCGATAGACCCATAAACCCATAGACGCAACGATAATGCATTCATACATCCAATCTGGCAGAAGAAGAGGATGCACCATGGGAAAGTCGTCATTCACTGGTTTGTTTTCCATTCAAAAAAACCTACCAGGTTTGAGGTTTGGATCTGTTTATGCACTGGGTCTACCCTCAAAGATATACCGAAGCAGTACAAGCCACTGGCTTTAACGTTTTATGAATGAGATTAAATGAGTGGATTCGCAGATGTTCGCTAACAGTTTAACTGAGCGCTCCTTACGAAACATGTTTGGGTCTCAGGTGGGCTTGAACAAGGTTTCTGAATATTAGGTGAGCTCAGGGCTGCACGCTGCATTCCGCAGTGAGTTGTCAGTTTTTTTTATAGTTTTTTCACAACCGAAAGAATCACACTACCCACAGCATATATGAAATTTAGTCACATGATGTCATCGCCTGTGGCAGCAGCTTGATAAAACCTCAGTGACATGGCTTAGCCACCGAGAAAGTATAAAGCAAAAGAAACGTGTCAAGGCAAAGCGCAAGGTGAAAGCAAGGAGAAAAAAAACGCACTATTTAATTTGACACTGCGGTGCGAAAGTCAGCGATTCGGCTTTGCCCCCTAGCAACCGCAAAGGGGTGCAGCCTGAAGGGACGTGGAACAAGCACACACACACATACGCATCTAGAGCAATGTCAACCATGTTCAAGTACCTAGTGAGGCTGCAAAAGATTGTTTTGTGGTTGTGATTGAGATCTGCTTCCCGCGCGCAAGTGGGAGGAAGCGTGGCTCAGGTACTGACGCTTTCAAACCCGGAAGCCCACCACTCAAATACGGCCCACAAGCCAACGCCCTGAGCCAACCCTCAAACCCGCGCACTTGGAAACGCGATTTTCAGGTGGTTGCTCAGGTAACCGACTGTTTACGGCTTATTGGAGCTGCCGCTCCTTGTCGCTAGCGGAAAAGGTTGGGCGCTCCCTGTACGGGTTATGGCCTGGAACTATTTATAAACTATTTATAAACCAGCCAGAGCTATTTGTAAACCGGCCAGAACTATTTATAGATTGGCCGGAACTATTTATAAACCAGCCGGAACGATTTATAAAGTGGCTGGAACTATTTATAAACCAGCCGGAACGAACTATTTAAGTATTTATAAATTGGCTCCGCCATTTATAAACCAGCCGGAACTATTTTCCGCTTGACTTAGGCATTCTGCAATCATCGCCTTTTTTACATCATACAGAGTACCAGCCTCGCTGTGAGACCTTAATCAAATCTTGTTCTTGCTTTGGCAAATCGTGCATGCTGGCAGAATGCAGTTCGAACAGTTTATTTACCGCCAATCCTGCCCATCCGTGGGCTGTTTGCAGATATAGTCGGGAACCGTTCGGAACCGTTCTGAACTATATTGGCGCCAAGACATGGATTAGTTCCAAATAGTTCCAAATAGTTCGGGGCTTTTTATGGCTCGGAACCGTTCGGAACCGTTCTGAATTATATATTTAAATGGCACGGTCGTAATAGTTCGGAACCGTTCGGAACCATTCTGAACTATTTCGAAATTATTCAGGAACTGCTAAAAACCGTGTTGAACCATAAAGTATATAGAACTACATACTCATTTAGTTATTTATATATAATGCCAACACCGGATTAATAACCCCCCCCCAGAAGGTAGGGAGGTACCTTCTGACTGGTTTTCTTGATCGCCCCTTAATAATAAGCAACTCTGAACTCTGAACCATAAAACTTTGGATATGGCTTACGTCAATTAGATCTTAATAGAATTCCATCGGATTTGTTAAAATTTCATGGATCAGAAAGGTGGTTGATTAATCAGGGGCAAACCCTGGTTATTATTAATGGGGGACATGGGCTCATGGGGGGTACCCTTTGGAAGCTATCCAAACTGATGATTTTTAAAAAGATTTTAATTAGAAATCGATCATTTGGGGAATAGTTGTTTTTTGAAATTTTCAATGATCAACTTAAACCTGAAGTATAACAATGATGATTAAAAAAATGTAAAAAACAATTGGAAATAAATAGAATTGGAAATAAACAATGTTGGAGTGGTTGTTGATTAATCGGGGGTAGGCCAAAAAAAATATTAATCTGGGGGGACCACCTGTTTTTAAATTACTTTTTTTTTTGGCAGTTTCTGTTGATTAATCGGGAGGGCATTATTAATCCTCACTTGACATTATCTAAAAATAGAGACATATAGAGTCAGTTTGTCGTAATTGTGCCCTAAATTTTCGTTTTTTTTAATGATTTTCGTTTTTAATATTTGTTTCGCCCTTACTATATGTACAAGTATGATGCATGTAACATGTCAGAGCAAGCGGGTTGAATCCAGGTGGTAATGATCAGGAAATAAAGCATGCGAAACATGCAACGCGCTTTCCGGAAATTGACTGGTATTCATGAAAATCGGTTCAATTTTTAATGATCACAGTTGACTAGACTTTGCAAATAGTTCCAAGGCCACGGGCCCCCACAACAGACAAAGAGACCTACCAGACTGCTAAGATATACGTATGTAATGTGCTATGTCCAAAAGAAATCCCCAATATTATATTTTTTTTAGGGGGGGAGGCGGAGGGGGGTGTACTCTTATTTGGGATGATGTCTACTGTGATCCCCTTAAATGGTGTGTAAATGGGATGGGTGCTCAGGAGCAGATTCTGGATGCCTTGAAAGATGGCCAAAGCTGGCTGGATTCCAATCCTGAAGCGGATGCGGAGGAAATCAAGGAGAGATGATTTCTGGGATCGGAAGATATTGTGGATGGAAGGAATCTTGCACCAGTTGGTAACTATTGGTAACTATGAAACATTGTAAATAATGCGACTATGATGGAATAAACCATCTACCAACAGGTGCAGGATTTCTTCCATCCACCGTATGGGAAGATGGGGGGTGATACCAACACCATGACTAAACTCTAAACTTAAACCATCTATGAAAGTGACGACCTTCAGATTTGAGTGGAAGAATATGGGAAACATCCGAAAGGCTTCGAAATGGAGCACAGTTTGTGGCACCTAAATGGCCAATGGTTTGTCATCAGCACTGACCGGCCCCAAGTATCGGTCGTCCGCTTTTTCGGCCAGGCTACCAGTAATGTCAGAAGCATTCTGACTTTCCCAGAACTGGTTGAAGGGAAAATGACATCCCTGAAGTCTCGGGTAAAAACCGTGGTTTCCTTGAGATGTTCAGATATACATATATACATATATATATAATGTTTAAAGTATGGTGCTTGATGTATTTTCTCCACCAGTGGAGTTTGGCCCAATGCTTCTCCAACAACTCAGGAGAAGCACAAGGAGATCGAGGGAATCTGCGCCCCCATTGTGTCCAAATACTACGGTGGTGGTGGTGGTGCCGGTGGTGGCGGAGGAGATGATGATGAAGAGGAAGCCCACGATGAGCTGTAGGCACTGTAGGCCATAGTGATGGGTGAAACAGCCACTGTGTTCGTGGCTTCGAGCTGTACAGGCAATTCCCTGTATTTGATCAAGAGAGACCCTGGGCAAGGCCCACAAACTGAGCGCAGCGTCCAGCTAGCGCTTAAAAGATGCACCGGTCGGCTGGTTTAGACGGTTTAGTGGCTTCACCGGGGGGTCTAGTCCAATGGTGGAGAGGGGTGGGATGACAACCCATGATTTCCCAGTCAGGGGTGGCCTTGACGGAGCCGGAGAGGGTCCAGAAAGCCCAAAGTTTGGCTGGCGGTATCTTCTTCAGCCCGTGGACCAACTTGACGCTGTGGCGCCAAGTTTTGAATCGGATGTTGATAGATGTTCGTGATCTAGTAGATCTAGATTCAGACGAGTGCCCCATAATATGCTAAACTTCGGGGGATACAAAAGAAACCCAACATTTGGGATGAAGATTATTTGCTATTTGGTAAGGTGGGGTTCTAACACAGGGCTTGGCAGTGTGTCATGGATTTCTGGGACAGGCGGAAGGAGATGTCAACGGAGCACTGTATACATCAGCCCTTGCGGAGTGATTCTGCAAAGCAGGGTGGGCATCTCTCCAAGTATGGCCAGTAGTGTACTGGAAGTTGCAACATGTTTCATTTCAATTTGATCAAGAACTGAATGCAAACAAGGAGATAACTGGGACTTGAACGCACGTATATGCTAGTAGGTAGAGTAGCCAGCAGGCAGCACATCATATCTCTACATTGGTCGCATTCTATATATATATATATTTACACTTTGATTTTATGTAATGTAATTCAATATGGTACAATATCAAATAATAAAATATAATATTATATTTTACAGCAGAATGGTAAAACATAATATAGTATAATATGATTTGATATTATTGGGAATGATACGATATTAATAGTTAATGTAATACAATGAAAAAATGAATATATATAATCTAGAATAATTTTCTATATATATATACATATAGATTTAAATATATATATAGATATATTCACATATCATATGTAAAACATTAAAGATGACATTTCATACAATTTAAAATATAATAAAGTATAGTTTAATACAATATGTACATCATAAAACATGTAATTTAATATAATTTATCTTTTAATAGAATATTAATACAAAAATAAATAAAATGTTTAAGATTTTTATGTAGCATTATATTATTTAGTATAATATAATATAATATACTTTAATGTAATATAGTATAATATTTCATGCTTTTTAATGTAGTATATTATAATATAATATCATTTAATATAGTAGAATATAATATCACATCATATCATAAAACATAATATAATATAACATAAGATAATTTAATATTATATAATATACATACATTCATACTGTAATATATATATATAAATATGATATGATTTAATATATATATAATATATAGCTCTTTTTTTGGGGGGGTGATCTACCTGGACGTTTCTTAGCTGAGGAAATGTGACACCCCAGACTACTATTACAACGCCTTTGCCAAGATCGTCGACAAGAAACCTGGCCATGGGTCCGAATGGGCGATGAGTGGGGCCCATCGCTCCGGCAAAGGGGAGAGATGGGCACCAGAGGCACCAGTGTCGGTAGACTGGGAAAGTTGGAAGATAGAATATTGAAACATATTAGAATATATTGGGATATACATTTAGACATTTCGAAATGCTTCCTGTACTCCCAGTGGTTTTCCAGTTGTAGCTGGGTCAGCATCAGGAAAGCCTTTAAAGACCCGAGCTCTGGTGTGGCCTATGTGGGAGATCTGATGTTTCGTGGGCATCCTGAAGAAAACCTGGATGAATTCACGGCGAACGCCAAAAGCGACCTGTTTCATTTGCTTTGCCGTGGGGGGCCGGGCACCGCTGCTACCGTTTTTCTACAGGGCTGGTAGTATGCTTCCATTGGTTAGGAGAAGTTAGGAGGTTTGTTCAGGTACTGCTTTCTTGATGAGATGTTGGAGTCAGTAGGTTCTTTCTAAATTGCTTTACTTCGAGTTATCCCCACCATGACATCTATACGTTTTGTTACTGGCAAATCTTCTGGCATTCTATCTATCTGACATATCTTCTGGCATATGTTCTGGCATATCTTCTGGCATTCTATCTGGCATATCTTCTGGCATTCTACCTGGCATATCTTCTGCAATATGTTCTGGCATATCTTCCGGCACTTTATCTGGCATACCTTCTGGCATATCTTCTGGCATTTTATCTGGCATATCTTCTGGCATTCTATCTGGCATATCTTCTGGCATTTTATCTGGCATATCTTCTGGCATTTTATCTGGCATATCTTCTGGCATTCTATCTGGCATACCTTCTGGCATTCTACCTAGCATATCTTCTGGCATATGTTCTGGCATATCTTCTGGCACATCTTCTGGCATATCTTCTGACATTCTATCTGGCATTCTATCTGGCAAATCTTCTGGCGTTCTATCTGGCAAACTACTGGCACTTTATCTGGCATACCTTCTGGCATTCCATCTGACATTCTATCTGTCATACCTTCTGGCATACCTTCTGGCATATCTTCTGGCATTCTATCTGGCAAACATTCTGTCACTTTATCTGGCATATCTTCTGGCATTCTTTCTGACGTTCTAGGCGTTCTATCTGGCAAATCTTCTGGCATTCTATCTGGCCGTTGAGGTCCAGCGGTGCTCACTGAGCTCGGAGGGTCCCAGGTTGAGGTCCAGCGGTGCCCAGTGCGCTCAGACCCTTGCAGTTGAGGTCCAGCAGTGCCCACTGCGTGCGGAAGTTGGCGAAGAGCTTGGCGAAGAGTTGGCAAGGCGGAAGTGAACATGGAAGTGGAGGCAGAGGTGGTGGAGGAGAAGGAGGAGGACGAGGAGGAGGTGGAGGAGAAGGAGGAGGAGGAGAAGAAGGAGAAGGAGAAGAACAACTTTGATAAAATCTGACAACCCTCACCTGGCAGGTGGGGGAAAAGAAAAAAAATATATATATATATGCTTCCTGGTTAAAATAGGGATCAAGAGCACCACATAGGCTAAAGGAGGTTTGGTGTTTGCTGCTCCTGCCGCCCTGTGTCCACTTTCCTTCCAAAAACACTGGGAAAAAAACATAAATTCCGTTTGAAAACCAGCTGACATTGCAATGCTATTATCTCTCTCTGTGTTTCTTTTGTTCCCAAGTGCGGTTGAGTGAATAATCCCATTTCAGCATATTTCAATATATATTTCACCCATTTCCATCTTGTGCCGCATTTATTGAAGCACCATGAAACACCATTGAACCATTGTTTGTTCCTCAGGTTACATTGGAAGCAACGCAGATCTGCTGACAGATCCTGTGGCATCTCCGTTTTGGACCACCGAACAGGAGCTGGGAGGCCATGAGATTTGGACCACGGCTTGGAAGGAGGATGAACGCCACTCTCCAAACCAAGTGAACCATAGTATGAGACAAAAACTGTCAAACCTTCTGGTTTGCTTGGACCTGCAGGGAATATGTGAACCAAACATCGCCAAACATCACCAAACCTTTTGGTTTACACTCGAAATTTTGGGCATTTTCTTCCAAAACAACGGTGTTTTCCTGCCCTTTTTGCTGTTGGGTAACGCACTCCGCAGGTGGCGGCGTTCCACCGATGCTCTTCGCCGTGGGCGGCTCCGAGAGCATCCTGGGGGATTCGATGATCGTGGCGCAGAAGGCAGCCTTCTATGGCGCCAGCGCCTGGGTTTTCTGGGACCCCTGGGATGCTGTTGGAAAATCCCATGGAATTAATGGCCATTGCTGTGGAAAATCCCATGGAAAATTGCCATTGAAGATTGGTGATGGTTCATGATGATTGATGATGATGGAATCCATGGCTGAACCATGGTTTTGTGGAAGTTTGTAGCATGAACCAGAAAGTAGGAACTTTCCTATGATGCAACTGAGGTTTTCTGTGTGATCCTCCTTCGAATTTGAAGCAATTCTGGGATGGGGATGGGGATGGTAAGAAAGATGTGAACAAATTAGAAAAAATGGTAGGATAAGTGTAATATATAGTATGTATTTTGAGGGACATTGGGGGTTCGAGTGGGAAAATGATGGACACGTCTAGACTATTCCTAGATAATGCCTTTGACGTTTTTTGAGGGATGGTTTTTATGACATCCTTTCTGGTTCCTTCAGGGAGGCTAATATCACAATCACAATGTGACCCTGTTTCAGCATGTTTCAACAAGAATTATGCTTCAACAAAGCATGGGGGGGTACCAACTGAGTAACTGGTCCAGACCATTCCAGTGACTTCTTTATGACTTTTCCAAACCAAGGCTTCATGGTCACTCTCCCAGACCCTTGGAACCCCTGGAAGCCTTGGAACCTTTGAGGCATGTCATGTGACCGAGGCGTTCACGTGGACGTCCACGTTGGGATGTGGCACGACTTTCCCATGTACTCCGAAGGCTGCGGCAGTGGCGAGGGCCTTTGGCAGGCTGCTCTAGCTCTGAACCGTGTCTTGGCGCTGGCAAGGCAGTATACGGGGGTCCCAAAGAACAATGGAGCAATGAGCAATGAACTGATATATAAACCGATGTCCGTCCTGATTTTTTGTTTTTCGGGTAAGTTCTGTTCGATTAGTAATTTTGTTCCTTCAAACATGACAGCAAATCCACCCTCAAAAAATAATCCGTACTGTTTTTCCTCCTGATATGGCACCAACAAAATCAAGCTTCAGAGGCAGAAAATTCAGTTGTTTAGCCTGCTCTGCCAAAAAACCCCTACATAACAAATGGATAGACATGGCTATTTTCTTCAATGTTGATATGTTCATATTTTTTCATATATGTTTTTCCACAAAAATGTCAATGGCTGCATTGATCCTGTCCTGACTGGGTGCCTACTGTACCTCAAGTTCACGTACTACAATGTACTACAATGTACTACATATTTATCCCCAAAAAAGATCGAAAAGTACAATCCTACTCAAGAATGGATGGTGTTTTGACTTGTCTATCTTTTTGGCTGGCTTATCCATGGGTATCCATTGATTTCTGCCAATTTTTCCCGGTTTTTCCCATGTTTTTTCCGGTTGGTCGCAGGCACTGCAGCCTTCATCCGCGAAGTGGCGCGCCGGAAGCGGACGGCCAGTGCCATGGGCCTGGTCTGGCCACCTGCGAGCTCCCGAGCGGGGACGCCGAAGACACGGCAACCGGGTGGCAAGTGGGGGAACATTGATGGAATATATTGGATATATATATATATAAACAAATATAAATTATTATCACACAGACATATATATATAGATATCACATATATATAGTATGTTTTTTGGGATATATGTGATATATATATATATATACAACTTACATTGATAATTTTCAATAAACATGATTTGCGTATGTTCAATAGACACATGCGAATAGACAAATATACCGAATAAACCATATCATGTTATATCACGGGACTTAAGTGCTAAAACTGGGGGACAGAGCCAACTTGTACCGGATACTGGTGGTGTTCAACTAGTGCACACGGAGATGTAATCAATAAAGCCATTGAGGTACATCTACGATGTTACGAGGCCGGGCGCGCAGAAGTCCCTTGGAGGCATACTTGCGCAGGAGCCAGCCATGAGAGGATCGGAATGGATCGGCTCCATGGCCACCTGAGGTGGTTCCCAAAGAAACTGCTGAGTCCCATCAGCAACGATGTTCACTTCGAGGCGTTGCCTCCGCAACTTGGCTCTGAAGAGAAGGCCCCACGTCACCAGCCTGGTCAGGGATGTTACATCCATGGCAGATCATCGATATGCTCAAACCAAAAATAAAAACCTATACCCATCACTGGGATGAAGTGAAGTTTACCTGAGGTTTTATTAGAAGCACTTTGAAATCACACATCATCAGCCCATCATGGCCAGCATCTGGGCAGCCAAGGATTCCTGCTGCTTCCAGAGATGACCCCCTCCCTACCAGATCGTCTTTCTGGGCCCTGATCTTCCTAGCCGTTTCTGGCATGGCCCAAGTTGCGTATTTCTGGTCTCTTTGCACTTCCCGATCCCTCCAAAATCACTTGGAGGAACGGCTTTTGCAGGTTTGAGTGGCAAAATTTGGCCTTGGAACCTTGGACAGCCACCTCCGGTTGTGTCTGGGATTTCAAGAAACATCAAGAAACTCCATCTTTTATGTTTTGGACCGTTTGGGATCATTGTTCTAAGATTCTAACATGATCTTACATGAGGAATGGCACAGCTTGTTTCTCTGAATCTTGCATAGCGAAGACAGAATATTGGTATCATCATGATCATCATGAATCATCAACATTCACCTACCGGATGATGTGTAAATACTGACTACTGTAATTATTTGGAATGTCATAGCCACGAGCCTGTGACATTGCCATCTCTTTGCCGCACTCTTGTGGCGCTGGAATCTTCAAAATGGTGAGGAAATTGCAGCCCGTCAAAGCATACATCATTAACCATCATTAAACGATGTAAGACTAGATCATGGAAAAATCCATAGGGGTTCACAAGGTAGAAAATATTAGAAGAACCCATTTCCAGGGATTTCAGGGTGACATAATATATATATATATAATATAAATATATATAGATGATATTTAACTATTTTTTAACTATAAATTTAAAAGTTAAATAATATTTCACCCCGCCATAATTTATTTCGCGCCTCACGCAGGGCGATGCCGCAGAGTTTGAGTCGGACTCGTTGATTCGCCGCTTGGCGACACGGTTTTTTCTCGGGGTGAATCATGTTGAATCCCCATGCCATGTGGTGATGTGGGACCGCCATAAAGCTCCAGTTGGGGTTAATATGGGTTAATACTATATATATATAATTATAGTCCATTTCTGGCAAAAGTGAAGGTTGATTTTTTCAAAAGATAGGTTTACCTCAGGATATGTCAGTATTAGTTGGTATCCTGAGGTGACACACTGAAATTCTCATCCAGTGATTCTATGTGTGGTTCAAGATGGCTGGGCCAGAGAAAACTGGGTGACTCTTAATTCATGCCAATCCCTTCAGATTTGCGGCCGACCATTTCACTGAGGAATGGCTTTCTTGTGGCATTCGTGGCATGTCTTGCCACAGCCGAGAGTTTGAGACAATGTGGGCCAAATATTGCAGAGTGCCCCCAACAATTGCAACTAATGGCAATGAGAGCGGTTATTCACGGAGAGAGGCAGGTTCTTAGAAGCGGTGCCGCGACCTCTGAATATAAGATTCAGGTCTCAAAGTGATGACATCCAGGTACTGAAAATCAATGGAATTGAAGGCCAGGCATCAAGTCTTTTGAAGCAACCATGGCAGTCTGCTACGTCATATGTCATTCACTGATCATGGACAGATTGACCTTCCAATACTTGAGAGAGAGTGTTTCATGATGTTTCATGTCTTTTGTTCGTGTTTTTTCTAGATATGTCATAGGAGTTTGTTGTTCTTTCTCCTTTTTGGGGCTTAAAACTGCTCAACCATATCAGTAGAGAGATTCCCGCCATGGCTGCGCCAGGTTCATGACGGATCTCCTGGTGGATCACGGCCGTTTCGCCAACGAGCGCTTCGATGGAGGCGTCCTTCACGAAGAAAAGACAAGACGTCTTGGGATTGCAAGACGACTTTTTAAAGATGAATTTGACACATTTTAACCATACTCTAAAAGTCTTACTCAAATATCATGTCATGGATCTTGAATGTGTATTCAAGATATATGCTTTTGCAGATTTCTGCAGGTGTTTCTTTCTGTCCAGCTGGAAGTGGATCCAGGTTTCGACCAAGCTGGTTTCCTCTCCAGATGTGGCAAGCTTAGCTTCGTGGAGGGCCTGGCTAATCTGTCTTTTAATGAAGGTTTATTTGCATATACATACATTTTATATAGTATGTGTTTATAAGTATATGCCTCTCGAAAAAAAAATATTTATGTGTATATACAGTATATAAATACAACTAACTATCCATATATATATATACATATATATATATATTGTTCGACCACCCTTGTCATTGTCTGACACCCCATGTGTGCTGGCTACCTTGACAGCACTTTGGCAGTCACTTACATGTGCATTTATATTGAAGTTTAGGTGTATATGTCTATTAAATTATATATACATACATTTATAATCGATGGGTTTTTGTACAGTTATCTACAGTATAATTCTCTATATTAATGTGCGTTAATGATAGACTGTATCTATATATGCATATACACGTACATCTGTGTATCATGATTCATGTATTGTCCTCACATTGGTCTTCCTCCCATTGGTCTTGAGCTGTTCCCCTTCCCACACTGAAAATCCTGGAGTCCCAGCCTTGGAGGTTCCGAGACGGAGCGACCCTTCTTGAAGGAGGTGACCTCCACTCAGATGTGGGCCAGCTGGATCGGCGCGAGCCCAGGATGGGATGGGACGACCCCTGGGGCTGTTTATCTTATGCTTCTTATGGTAAAAAACATGGAGATTATAGAGATAACATGATATAACTTATTGGGTTGGCAATGGATTTTGGGTCCAATGGTTGGGCATATGGGGCTATTAGTTGGTCAACCCAGTGCCACAATCCATAGTTTTTTTTTTTTTTGCGGGGTGTGGCTTTAAATTCTCCAAAAACTTTAAATTCTCCAAAAAAACATATTAGTGGGTAGAAGGTGCATGCTTGACTGTCGGTTCGGATGGGTCAAAAGTTGGTACAACCGGAAAAGATCTAGCCTTTTCCACTTCAATGAAAATCGCGACGTTCCCATATGAAAAACCGGGGGTTTCTGCATGGGGCCCTTGGGGCCCCCAAAAAAAGTTTCACCCTGAGGTCGTCGCATCAACAGATCCAAGGAGGATTCCACTGATGTGATCCTCTTCGACGAAGTCATTGCGGGGGCCCTATACGGGTGGGCCCGGTGGATCCCAGTGGATCCCAGTGGATCCCAACCCCCAGCATCATCAGCTCCAAGGCGCAGAAGTTGAATCGGAAGACCTTCATGTTCAACAAAACAGCCCCTGGGTGGCACATGGTTAGATGATGTTAGATGGTTGGTGAAAGTGGATCCAGATGCCATATGAATCAGATGCAAGACCCTGCGTGGAAACCCTATTGGCCTATTGGGATGGAATAATTGGATTTGTTCATGTTGCTTGACATATGGAGGTATTTGAAATGACATAAGGCAAAAAGGATTATGTGAATGTTTGATGCTATGTTGATGCTACTGCATAGATTGACAGTGTTTTTGAGACATGTTTTCGACCAAAAAAGGCTCTTGAGTAGTGCGGACGAATACGCCTTCTAATAAGCTCTCTTTTCATGGTGAGAACTCAAGAGCTTGAGAACTAGATGGATGATGCTAAGACTGATGCCTAGTGGCCTGTACGATAGATTGGTACAAATGTGCGTGTGTGCGTGTGTGTGCGTGTGCGTGTGCGTGTGTGTGTGTGTGTCAACAGTATCTCGATACATAGACATGTGAATAGATTGAATTGATTTGATTTGTGTGATTTCATTCATTTAAATTGATTTGGATTATATAATTCTGTAATTGATTGATTGAACTCATTTGATACATGAATTGTTGGTCTTTGGCAAGGCCACGCCTTTCTTGAGCCTTGACTTCTCAGCGAGGATGCAGGAATCAGGCACCTCCCAGGGTGATTCTTGAGATGACCAGGATGACCAGGATGACGAATGTATCTATTGCCATCAATAAGTATACTGCATCAATATTAATAGTGATCAATAAATATTATAGTAATAGAAATGTCTAGATTTAAATCAATATTTATTAATATATGAATGTATCTATACTGGATCAACAAATAGATGGCTGTTGGCTATTTTTTTTTACATTTATTGATGCACTATATACTTGGACACAGCAATTTCTTGGGGGTTCATGTTCCAGTGTGCAGCCTGTATAGCCAACTTCCGACATAGTTGGAGATGAGTAGCTCGCCCGCTTTATGTGGGTTGGCCAGCGCGACATCGCAACGATTGAATTCAGCATGGGATTGAAAATGCCTTGGGAATCAGCAGGAAAGCCAATATATGCAATCAAATAGAGTTGCCTACTAGCCTACCTACCTATCTGCTATCTAGCTATCTAGCTATCTAGCTATCTAGCTATCTACCTAGCTATCTATCTAATCTAATCCAATCTTATTTTTTCTTATCTATCCATGTGCCATTTCCAAACTCATGACAGTAGAGACACCTCCCCCCCTTTAGTCTTTCCAAGTTTCGTTCGCAGGTCACTATCGTGTCCCCGAGCCGCCAGCCAATGCTTGCGAGGTCCTGCCCTGGAAACTGCTGGTCGTAGCTGAACCGATGTCCAAAGTGGGTTTGTGATAGATGGTGCATTGAAATAAGACATAATAAGACCAAGACCGAACTTGCGACATATTGTGACATCTTGTAACGAAGCCAGAAATATGGCCAAATCATGCCAAATCTCCAGGCGGCAACTATCAGGAACTCGTGTTTTCTTCGCCATGTTGACAGCTCTGAAATGTGGGAACTGACGGGGACCTGGCTGAGGAACAGCTGAGCTACTACTCTACAGGCGGCAGATCAGTGGCTCATCCCTGTAACTGGTGAGTTTTGGTACACATCACGTCAGATATTGTTATATAATGTTATATATATATATATCCATAAAGTTGCTTGATATCTTGGGTAAATCCACGTAGATCCTCCATTGTTGGGGGTATTCATCTGTATGAATATGGAAAAATGCTTAAGATTACCCATAGGATCCATGGTGCTGCTATATATGGTAACATTTACCATCAATATACCCCCTTTATGTTAGCATATATATATATATACCATACATGGATCCTATGGGTTATGGCTCATGGCTATCTATTTCAACGTTTTGTTCTTGAGGAATTCGCTTCAATTCCAAGGGTGGAGGGATCCTCAACAGGCACTGATTGGCAGTGCGATGAGTCGGATCCTCAACGGCCCTTGTTGGATGGCTGGACGTTGCCCCAGCTTTGGCCTATCGTTATTATATGTATCTATATAGTTCTATATACATAATAATTATCAAATATTATCAGGAACATATTTATTTTACAAATATACTTGCATAATCTTCAAATAGATTATTGATTTTTGGGACATTATGGAACTAGTTCTATATCTATACAGCCGTACGCTAGTGTCTTGGTATTTGCTATCAGCTGGTCGGTTCCGACCAACCTTCTTCCATTGGATCGTAGAACATGAACCATGGATGGAACCTCATGGATCTGACGAAAGCGGAATTTATCCATGGATTAAGAAACTCATCGGGTTGGTGGTTTGGAACATGGTTTTTCTTTCCCCCAAATGGCTTTTATATTTTCCCCAACCAGATTGGGATGATGATCCAATCTGACTTTCATATTTTTCAGGGGATACCACCAACCAGAATAGTAATTATAGATATATCTACCATAAACCATAGTGAAATTGGAATTATATACACACTTAGCTAATTATGGGGAAAAATCACCAATTAATGGTTGGTTAAAAGGCCATGGTTTGCATTGTTAGAAAACCTCCCAGGAGTCGCTTCTACACGCCGCGGCCCCTTCCCAACCTGCAGGCACAACGGGGACCTGGAAAACCGCTTAAAAAAGATGAAGCCGCTAGCAACATGCACAGTATCACAAACATGGTTTTTAAATGTTTTTTTAAATGTAAAAACCAGTGTAAACCAAGATAATGTAAACCAATCACATCTTCGGATAACATGTTTGTTTTAGGTGTAGTCAAGTAGGGCATCAGGGAATCATCAGGGATTTCCTCCAGTCATTCTAGGAACATCATGGACCCTTTTGGCTTCTCATGGCCCTTCCAGGCGATGCTGTCTTTCACTCAGCGATGCCAGGTGATTTTTCAATTCAGATGTGGTCTATATGTGGTCCCAATAAATCGGCATTTGAGATGTGTCTGATAGTGTCTTCCACTTTCTGTGGGCTGGAGGCAGCCTTCAAGTAGGTAGATGTACCCTCTGGTAATTTAACATAGCTATTGAAAATGGTGATTGATAGTGGATTTTCCCATTAAAAATGGTGATGTTCCATAGTTTTTTGTTAGTTTACCAGAGGGTAGATGGTCTGATTCTCTACCCGGGCTCTTCCGGTCACAACCGTATGTTGAAGTCACCAGCCAACCAGGCCACCGGCGCGCCAATACAAAGCCCAAAAACATGAAACAAAGAGATCCTGCTCGTTATTAATAATAGCCACATCATCATCATCATCATCATCATCATCATCATCATCATCACCCCCAACGGCATATGATCCCATATCATCCCATATTACATGATATAATATACATATATATATATATATGTTATAATTCGTGATAGAACGACATGTATATTTTTTATTTAAACAGTTATTATATATTAATTACTATTGACTCTTCATATTATATGCATTAAATTATTTGCATTTATATGCCATTACCCTCTGGTAAACTAACATAACTATGGAAAATCACCAGTTTTAATGGGACAATCCACTATAACTGGCCATTTTCAATAGCTATGTCAGTCATTACCAGAGGGTACATATCATCCACTCACCAGAAAGATGAGGACGTCGTCGCCAAGGCCTGCTGTCTCCATCCCCAGCCGCGAATTGGAGCAGCGAGATGCGTCGCTCGAATATAGCGTTTCACGGTTGGACTACACTGACTACACAAGATTGTATGGACCTATTTGAGGGAATACACACACACACATATATATATATACATGCATATGTATATAGTTTATATAGGCTATATTACATATAGGTATGTAGATATCTATATATATATAAATATTATATTATATGTATGCATATAGGATTGCACCTAGAACTGTTTTGACATGTGAATATTATATATGGATGTAATGTCAACAAAAAATGAAGAGTGGCGATAAAGCTACCCATCGATAACATGAACTACAGGGAGCATACCAATACTCTTGGATGATTCCCACATATGATTGAGTAGATAAAGTGTAACGTAGCGGAATTAGAAGCGGATTGGAAGGTCACTAAATGATTTGGAACGGGGAAGGGGCTGGTTGTAACTCAAGTAAAGTTCAAGGACAAGGATGCAGCCACGGCACAAGCTTGAATCCTGAGAGCATGGGGCGGTAGTTGTGCTATCATTTGAGAAGAACCGATGCGCCATCAGCAGTGACTAGTATATACCTTGATTGGCACATGGATGCAGATCAGAAATACTGAATCCCTACTATACAGCATTAAGGTCCCTCTTATGGGTTAAACATGCCAATTATTGCCAGCCATGCCCAGTTTTTGTTGATCTATGCGTGTTTTTCATGGTGAGATCATTGATTTCCCACTTCTAGTTGATAAATAATAAATTCCCAATGCTTGAGTGTTAAAAGGTTACCAGTCCCCTGGAAATCTCAGTTGATCAAGACCCAAAAACTGACCATCACTAAGGCCACTGACCAAAGATCCACTGAATCCACAGAACACTGTGGGACTGCCCAGCAGCAATTCATCCAGTGTTTGCGGGCAATTCATTTGCCTTTTTGAATCCTCCCAACACAGTCGCACATGTGGACATCGCAAGCAGCTGGCCCCTGAAAAGCTCTTGCTTGCCACCCCGATATATATATATATATATATTTGGGGGGGGGAGATGATTCACCCACCAATAGCAAGTGGTCATTTGGGATGGTTAACCAGATGCTTCAGCCCCAATGCTTCGTAAATGGTTCCGATGATCGCTGATTCTCAAGTTGTCTCAGGCGCCTCTGATTTGGTACTTGCAGCACTGCTGGCTTCTCACCTGGGCGGCTTACTTGCCGGACCGTGGCAGCCTTGGAAGTTTGAGAGTCAGCAGAAGAAGTGGCTACTCAACGTGACTGAGTTGCTGCTAGTTTTTCTTTCCCTTCTGCTCTCCCAAGGCATAGATGTTCACACTTTCATTTGTTTCATCGAAACGGTACCTGTGGATTGGAACTCAATCCACTTGATACACATGAGAAGTAATTGCCCATTTCATCCCATTTCCAAGCCCTGGAAAGTGTGGATTTTCTGAGGTCCTGACAACACCTCTCTGCAGTGGGCCAAGATGGACCTTTGCTGCGCCCTTGGACCCGATCAATGCTGGTTAAGATTCGCCCAACAAATGGGGGTGTCACCAACCTGAAGGGAGTGTTCATATAATGAAATGCTGAAGCGCAGCCATGCGCAGCCTAATTTCCATCTACCCAGCCTCATCTTTTTGGGGAGTGGCATGTTGCTTTCCACATTAGTAATATATCTGCGCGTGTGTCTTGGTGCAGGTGTAGACTGTGATATCACCAGATGCAATATAAGCAACAGTCGGCATATGGCCAATAATTCACCATGTTTTGAGGTTGAAGTGGCAACCCATGGTCTGAAATGCTGAGCTACTGGTACTAGTCATGTCCAAAATTCTAAAACACTAAGAAAGTGAAGAGCTACTGTAAGTGATACAAGGAGACGCGGGTTGTGGCAAAGTAGCAGGCCAGTGCAATCAGATTTATTGATGCGAGACGTGTCAAGATTCAGAGCGATGCACTGGCTTTCCATACTGACTAAGATGCTTGTGCAATGTTTAGCATCTCTTGATCTTTCGTCAAACGCGGTTTCTTCAGCCGTCAGTCGTTTGTATCATTTGTGGGAGGGACCTGACAGTTTTTCATTGAAACCTTTGATCCGTCAGTGGCAGAGCAGCTTGGGAATATCTCAAGTGGTTTCGGATGTCTTCGGTCTTCACAAATGTGTCAGGTTTTGATCCATATCCAATTGTTGACACATTTGTCATATTCTTCTACAGTGTGTCACCACCGTTTGCATCCGACACGCGTGTGGCAGCAGCAATGGGTTTATTTTGGATGTGCTATGCACAACTCACAAGATATGACAAAACCTTTGTTGTGTAACCGCGGTGATGGCTCCCGATATTGGAATTGGCCCAGAGCACCTTTAGAAGCCAATGGATGATTATCTTTGACATCATGTCCTCCATTCAACCCCCTAGAGTGGCCTAGAGTTGCCATATATTGGTGTGTAAAATCCTCATTGTTTGACATGTCATAGAATCCCATAGAAATGCAATAGAAACCCAATAGAAATACCATAGGAATCCGATAGAAATTCCATGGAATTCCTCTACTAAAAAAAAGCAAAAAAACGAAACATATGTCCATTGGTCCATTGGGAAAGCCACGGTAGCCCAGGCCTAGCCATGTTGCATAGGGCAGGAGAGGACCATCGGCTTGAGATGTTCCTGGGCGCGCAACACATGGAAAAAAACAAATCCCAAACCAGATAGAAATGTAATTAATCACTATCATCATCATTATAATATATATATATATATAATATATGTATATAAATATATATTACTGTACTATTCAGTATGATTTTCCATTTGTTCCGATTGTTTCCATCTTTTTTTGGTTGTTACTACGGTGCGTTGTGGGACCTGCAATGCCGTAATGAGCATGGTATCAAACATGTATCAGCATGTATCCACCATAGTACGGGCTATTCCTATTCTAATCTATCATACCCATCATCCCATTATGCAGGAAAGCTGTGTATGCGATCATTGTTATGTACGTTTGTGTAGTAGCATGCCTGAGGACACACACATGCATGCACGGACGTATAATATATATATATATGCAATATACATACATGCACATGCATTTACATAATTAACATTGTGTTCATATATTCATTAATCTGTTCATTTATCTATTGGTCAATAAATCTAACAAAATAAATTATCAATGAATAGATAGATAGATAGATAGATAGATAGACAGATAGATAGATAGATAGATGGATAGATGGATAGATGGATAGATGGATAGATGGATAGATGGATAGATGGATAGATGGATAGATGGATAGATGGATAGATGGATAGATAGATAGATAGATAGATTGATAGATTGATAGATTGATAGATAGATAGATAGATTGATAGATTGATAGATAGATAGATAGATTGATAGATTGATTGATTGATTAATCTATCAATCTATCAATCTATCTATCTATCTATCTAATCTGATCTGATCTAATCTATCGAATCTATCTATCTGCATAGCATTTATGATATTTATGTGTTCCGAGGCCTGCACCCCACGACTTGGCGCTCAGTTTGTTAGTGGGAAGACCCGGTGTTCCACCCATCGCGGGGCAGGGACGCAGCGGCGGGTTTTTACATGGGGGATCCCCAATGGCTGGATTCTGGATGGTTTATATATGTTTATAATTGTTTATAATTGTTTATATATGTTTATGTCTTTTCCAGGTTTTTCCAATTCCAATGGCTGGATTCTGGATAGACAGATGTTTATATATATGTTTTTAAATGGGGGATCCCCAATAACGGAAAACAATTTGGAATCCAAACGTTTTTTTTTCGATGATGACTTGGAAAAACCTGGAAAATCACCATTTGTTCGATGGTTTAAGGGGAAAATCGTAATTTTAGCAAAGCTCCACATAGCACCAGTCAACAATCAAGAGTATCAACAGTGAATCAACAGGGAAGGGCCCTGCTATGCCCTGCTACCTGCCTTTTGGGAACACAGGCAAAAAACAAGTAGAAGGACACACCTTCAAGAAAGTGGAGCAAAACATAGTAAAATCCAAAATAATCATAACAGCAAAACCATACAAGGTCGTGCCCCCTAAAATAGCTAAGTTGGTTTGTAACTAGGTGAACTGTGTTCCATGGTAGATATATCTATACTTAAATGGGATTTATAGACCAACTAAGTTAACTGGGCCCCACCTGATAGCATCACCCCAGGCAGCTGCTTGCGCTCGCTGTGGTGCCTTGCGGGTAGACCCTTGGACCAAGAGATTCTCAGGATCTATGTCAGTTGGGCGTTATGTCATGGAAATCTGGTGGTGCCCTTCCTGTTTCGCCATACAGGTGCCAAAGCACTGGTTTGTGGACCCAACATGACCCGGCCTCATCCAGGTCACACATAAGATGCAGAGACACCAGGGCACGGCGGAACTCTGATGTTTCTCCTACGATCTGACCTGGCATTCTGAAAGTTTCCATTGATGGATCCTTTTGTTTCATGTATTTTTTGGGTGGTTTTCCAATGGTTTTCCATATGATTCCATATTCTCCCACCCCAAACAAGATAAACAAGGGCATATCGTATACCAAACGCCAAGCAATTGGTTTATCAAAGCATTCGCTGAGGACTTGGCACGAAGACTCTTTGCCTGGATGAAAGCCAAGCAATTGGGAGCGGGGCAGCTCATTTTCATGCTTGGATAATGTTGGATATTTAGGGCATGTCAGGTCACATATCAAAGTAATTATTGAAAATTATTGAATTAGTTTGCAGAAATCCAGCTACCTGATGCTTTGAAATATGTTTCATCCAGTCTTGCGAAGGCTTCGTACATCTCAGGTGGTTTTCTGCCATTTCGATCTAAGCAGTGGGCCATGCAAAGGATGTCTAGGATTGTTTAGGTGTCTTGAGGTAAATGATGAGGATTGCTGGATGATGTTGAGCGAAACAACAAATTGGCCTGTATATGTTGGCATGTCTTTTTGAAGGGGCCTGCCACTTCTGCAGCTTGTGACAGATACAACCGGCTGCAGCCATTCGGCCTGTACACGCTTTTCAGAGGTGCAAAATCACCAGGCATCCGGACACATTTCGACTCTGAGAGCATGTGCAGAGGTCTTCTGCCGCAACATGCCATTCCACCTCTTGCACTTGACCTGGGTCAACTTGGGTCCGCTTGGCTCCAACTTGGGCCCAAGTTGCAAAGAAGTTGAAAGATAATCTTCCATCATCCTTCAAACCCAGATCAAGTATCCAACTTGGGCCACCATCCTCCTCCCACTTGACTTGTCCCATTATTTCTACAATTTTCTGCTTTTTTTTGCCATGGTATCCATGGCCATATCCTTTCCGTGCGCTGCCGCCTCCGCCCGGCTTTGCCCGGCCACACCGGGCGCTTTCGCTGCGCATGGCACGACCGGGCGGCCCTGGCGGGTCCTCCCAGCAGTGGCGCTGGGCAGCGCCGGCTGGGCACTGCCACGGCGCCCGCGTGGCTCCCGCGCCGTGGGATTCGAAGTGCAGGAGGCCAGTGCGGAAGAACAAGAGGAGTACGACAAGGAGAAGGCCTGGGAAGAGGAACGAAGGTTGTCTGTACCTGTTACATCCTGTTACCATGATTGAAATCCCATGATTCCATGATTCATCAATGTTCATCATGGTTTGCCCATGATCCGTGGCCATAAATGGCCATAAGTTATATACCAGGCGGCGGAAGCCGCCGAAGAGGCCGCTCGGCGAGCTGCAGATCCCCAGGCCCTGCAAGTCCTGTTGGGTGATGGTTGGTGTTTGGTAACCACCAGTGGCAATGGTGTCGCCACGTTTGAATCCATGTGTCATGCACAAAAAAAGACGTGCAACATGATGCAAACCTGAAAACTGACATGTGACATTTCGAACATTCTGGAACCTGATACGGATCGAAATCCAAAACTGATAGAGTCAAGTTAGGAAAATCGCCCAATACATTCCAAGAGCCATCTCCGTGTACCTGGAACGCCTAGTACTCACTGTTTTGGGATTGTTTTGGGCACTTTCCAAAGTGTCTGGAATTTTGGTCACTGGAAAGATTTCTACGGTATTTATGGCACTTTACGACTTTACGGGTATTTACGGCACTTTTGCGGTTATTTTTGGCACTTTTGCCGAACATTTTGTAGCAAAAGACGCAGTGTTTTCTTTTGGTGTGAGAATTGTAAAGTGCCACAAAAATGGGCTACTAGGCCAATGGCCGTAGCCTGAAACAAGAGGCAACTACTACAGCTTTCCGGGTAGTTTCAAGAGCGTAGAGAAACCGTGAAAGGATGATGGATTTTCCCTTGCCAGGTTACAGTAGGTTGGTTGAACATGGCTATGAGAGCAATAGATGCTGCATCTAGACGGCTGATTGTTCAGGTCACGTTTCTGTATTATTCATCAGGTTGCAGGTGTGTTGATTTCGCACTGGAGCTTTTGACCAAAGCCGATGGAAGAAATCCCTTGTTTTTGACTCACACTAAGAAGTAGAAGTATGGCGTGCCCAGTTCAGCACGTCTGCATGTTTTGCTGGTAATGACCGTCAGGGCCCGGACGAGCTGGCCCTAGCGCGTTTACGGATTTGGGCCAAGTCCCAGCGACACCCAGCTGATCAGGGCCGGGTTCATCCCATCCCCCTAATATATTATGATCATATATTATCTAAGATTATCTAAGATTATCAAAGTATCCCCCTATATGGCCCACCCCAAAATTAAACATATATTTAAAAACACAACAGAAACCAGGAATTCTGGGGGGTATGTATATATATACATATAATATTCATTTATTTATGTATGAGGGGGATGAACTTAGTAAGGGAAAGCCCTTAACACTTACATTTTTTCAGTGTGGTGAAGTACTAAGTATGATTCAGCCAGAAGCAGATCATGGTACTGGCCTGACTGGGACGATCTGTGGCGTTCTTGGGCGCCGAGGCTTGCCAGGAAATCAGTTTTTTGGGGGGTCTGGTGGCACATAATTGAGACACAAGGGAAGACGGAAGACAAAAACATCAACAAACAACATCAAAGAACATGATTCGTATTCAACTTACAGTTTGGTTCACTCAAGCGGATCAAGAGACTTTGCCAACTAGGCATTTTATCATGTTGACTTCAGTATGTGGGAAAACTCTACTATATGGAGGTATGGTTTGGAGCAAGAATTCGCGAACTGTTTGAGGACGAGGATGATTTTGGTTCCCAGCATGGGCCAACAAACTGGTTTGGTGGAGGATCAAAATACAGGCGCGCGCACCCTACAAAATCTACAAACCGAAAACACGTCTTTTTTTATTTGGCAAAGCCCTTAAACCATACACCAACCCCAATGACCTTCCAGATCTACCAGCCCAATGTGGTGCTCCAGCTGATTCTTCGTGAGTCCATCTCACACCCTTGGGATTTTTCAAATGCCTGGGAAGTATAGTAATCACCAAAAAATGATAAAACACTATATAATAAAAACATATAAAAACTATAGTTCATCACGATTCAAGTGGGATTTTCTAGTTGTTCTATCTTTTGTTGGGTTACCATATTAGTGTTGCTTCACTGCACCCGAAGGGAGGAACTCAACAAGGCAGACCATCGTGCCCAGGAACTCACAAAGTAAATCCAGGCATCGCTGTGATCCTTGGCTCCCAGTCGGTCCTAGTAGGAAATGGTGAAATTTGAAATAACATGTTTGGGATTGTTTGGGGATCCCAGCGGGAAAGTTTATGCACTTTCACCATCTTTCACCACCAAAAAGTTGAAGGCGGCTGAAAGCCACGGCATGTCATGCCAAACATTCTTCTGACAAACATTCTGGCACATACATCCTGACATAATTAGGCCTGACATGAATTGAGACAGCAATGGTGACATGTATTCTGACATTCGTCCTGACATGTATTGAGACGGTATATTCTCCTTACATATATATATATATTGACACATGAATTTGGACATTCATTCTGGTCTCACGTACAGCCTGACATATCCTGAAAAATCCTGACACATATACGCTGACATATGTTCGAACATTTTACATGTAGTCTGTCATATATTATTCAGACAATTATCCTGGCTTAAACTCTGACATATCTGAAATGACTTCTGACATGACTTCCGACATGCCTGGTATCGCTTTCCGGGCATTTCACCAAAGTCTTGGTGACAACCGGGACATAGGCAAAATGGCCAGCTGGTCGTTTCCATGCCGATGGAAGCGGTGGGGCACTCAGGGGAAACCATAGAGCCATAGAGACCCTGCGGGACGCCCATGTCATTTTCCGTTGCGCAGCAAAATTCCATGAAAAACATGAACCATCATGAACCTCTGGGGTTGGCACAAGCCGCACAAGCCGCACAAGCTGCACGCCCCATCGCACCGTGAGTTGACAGAGAGCCATGGAGAGTCCCTCGGGGGAATGGCTTGCCAGTTTCAACTCGCGAGACTCGCAGAGTCCGAAATCGGAGTCCAAAGGAGCTGGGGATAATTCTTAACATTTCAAAACCACCCAGATATGACATGATATGACATGATCATCATGATCACCATGATCATCATGATACGACCTGATTTCACGGAGTGGCCATGATATGACATGTTGTTTAATATGTTTTGATGGGGCTGGCCCAGGCAAGTTGATTCTGCCACATTGGGGACATGACCAACGCCTCTGACATGACCATATAGATGAAAGCAAACATGATGATTTCAAATAGACATCGGGTGACATCAGTGTTTATCAGTGTTTGCCAGCTTTGGAAGAATCTTTGTTTGATGGAATTTTTGCGGGAACTTCTTGTTTAAAGGGAACACGTAGGCTATCAAGTGGGTTTTACAGCACCTGAAATCAACCCCCAAAAATGAACAATTAACCTGAGGTAATCCCGCGGTTTCCAGTAAAACTTGATCGGCGATAGTTCGCCATGAAATTGGCCATCGATTTAGAGGAATTTTCCAGGAATATTTGCAGGGTAGACTTGTACTTCATGTTGTTCTTTTAAACAATTTATTGCAAAATATGGCTTCCCTCCACCATAGTGCAAAGTTGGGGGCTGAATCCCCAACTTCACCCATTTTCACCATCAGTTGGGAAGCACTTGGCGCCACAAACCTTTGAAAAACATTGTTGGAGATACCGGGTGGTGTGTGCAAAAAGCACAGGTGAACTCCATGCTATGACAGCTATGATAATGGGTGTGGGTCAAACTGGCCATCCCCCAAGAAGTAGACAGTCGTGATACCCCCAATTCTTTGATTAGCATGAATATTTGTGTTTGGCATATCGTATTCAATGGGTTTACTTTCGGAACAGTAGCACAAAACAAGTACTATTTTATACTATTTTACTATCACATCACAGAAAAACTTCCAAATTATGGGAACTTCACAGTTATGGAAACTTCCAAGTTAGAGAAACTTCCAAGCTATGGAAACTTCCAAGTTATGGCAAGTTTATGGACTCAATGTCACAGGTTGCCAATAAGCTTGGCAATGTTAAGCTCAGGCATACACAAGTGATAAGGACGACCTATCTAATAAACTGCTGCTGAACAGCCACCGGTTTTGACATATTGGATCATTTCCAAGATTTTCCAAGTATTGCAATCACAGGGGCGCACCATTATATCAATGATTATCAATGATATCCTCCATTTGGGAGTTCAGCTTAAGCGTGTAAAAGTGTGGCATCCCCATGTTTTTTTTTTGATTTCGTTGGATTTTCTGCCAGGACCTGAGTCCCCACTCTCCATGTCCCCTCGCCTCAGCTTGGCCCGCGAATGCTCCGACGGATCCTCGCTGGGAAGCGGCCCGCAGCTGCGCCGGCGCGCGAGCATCGTCGCGGCCAAGAGCTTCAAATCGGATGGCAGGGAGGCCAGTGTTGAAACGCAACCTGGAGCCATGATCATCATGATCTCTTTGGGCGATTTTCTGAGGATGCGTAGTTTTCTTATCTTTCTTTTCCCACCTCAAGTGATTCTTTATTCCAGCCTAGTGTGGTAACTGTGCTTTTGATCGCTTTCGCCGAAGGGAGTCCTATCGCAGACGTTAAGCCGACGCAGTTTTTTCCGCTTGTCTTGACATGTTTTCTATTGCTGCATAGGCACATTCACCTGAGACCACTGCTTAATATACAGTACTGGGGCGCCCTAAGTGCCAGAAAAAAAAAGTGATATTCAACAAAACCTACTTTTTGAAGATCCGGGATGGGAAAGGCTTGAAAATTTGAAATATCGCAATTTTTGGTCATTGCAGGTGTTCTCAGGTTCTTCACACGCTTTGGCCGCCCTTTCCATTACATAATATGAAAAAGGCAATCTTGGCTGAAGATATGAAAAAGGCAATCCCAAAAAATTGGGTGATATGCCTGAGCTAAACTCTCACAACAGTTGAAAACAGGTTTGCAACATATTTTTTGTAGAAACAAAAAACAAAACACAAATATCGCGGAAATTTGCGGGAATATCGCGGAAATTTGCGGGAATATCGCGGAAATTTGCGGACATATGTTTCAACCATTTTAAAACCAACATTTCCGGCATGTGTGGCCATGGCCCAAAAATTTCAAGATCCCGCCTCTCTATCTTTTTTTTCCACAGAACCAATTCTCCGAATCCATGGCGCCCAGACTTAAAAGAGAACGAGGCTGTGGGTGCCGCAATTTGGCAAAATCATTTATCGCATTTTTTGGTTTTATCGCAATTTTTGTTTTCCATCGCGTTTTTTCAAACCAAGATGGTCCATCGCGTTTTTTTCCTGCACTCGGGTTTCGCACGTCCTTTGTTATTTCAAGCGGTCAGCAATTCGGGGAACACTAAACACAAGACCGATCAAGAGCGGAACAACACTGTTGGTGATTGGTTTGGCATTTGTCATGGGTGCATGGATTGAATGGGATGGTTGGTGCCTTCTGTTTGTTCGAAATTGGCACGTTTGTTTTCATTTCTTCATCATTTCTTCATCCCCCGGAAAAGAAGGATCTTCGAAATTCTGGTGATTCTCGTGGGCGCCAAGTGTTCATTTTCCAAGGCAAAGTCCTTCCAGCAACACCTTGCACGGGAAGTTCCGCAAAGCGGCCCATTTCCTGGTGAATTATCATTATTTGAGCAACTTCATGGGCGTGTCCCGGCGTTTTCTTTGAGGTGACTCTAATGGATTTTCCATGATTTTCCCCAAAAGATGGAAAAGATTGGAAGAGTCATTTCCTATACTAACAATGATGGTAAATGACTGGTTTATCCTTTTGGGGGGTGAACTATGATGGAGTAGTTGGACCTAAGCTGTGATTGCACATTCTCACCGGGAAAATGCATGTTAAGTCACTCATCGTTCTCATTGGCCATGTTTGAGGACATTTTTGGCCCAACAAACATATGAGCATGGTCAAGCTCCCCCCTCTGAAGTGACATGGCATCGTTTTTCGCACATTTCAATCAAAGATCGTTCTCATGAGAGGCAATCGTTTTCACGAGAGCCATCATTCTCACCAGAAATTTCCCTGTGGAAATTGCAAAACAGTTTTTTTTAACCAAAAAAGTGAAAATAGTTAATTTTGAGAATAATGGGTAGGGTTGCATTCAGAACAACTTTGCGCATTCTTTTCGAACAAGCGTTCTTCTTAAAATCATCGTTCTTCTTGAATATATGTGTGCCAAAATGGACAAGCAGCAAAACCAGCAGTTAGTGTTGTCAACCATGGGGACTATGGGCTGGTGAAAAAAAGGGAACCTCTGCAGTTCCTTTGGGCAAGGTCAGTATCCTGTGAGTAAGACTAGGCTGTTGAAAGCATCTGACACCATAAAACTTGGGATCTCAATGTTTGATCAAAAAACATCAAAAAAACCAGAAGCTGAAACATTGGAAGTTTAGCTCTTTTTGTTGGAGTCTTTGCCCAGGTGGTGGTGGTCTTTGACTCCTACTTCACCGGCTTCGACATCGATTCTCGCGCCCTGGGGAATCCGACACCTCAGGTAATTCTCGCTTGTTCAGACATTTGTTTCTTGGCGATGTGAGCGGGGAGAAACATCGCCTTGGTGTAGGTGGTGGTTTTTTGAGGCCTAAAACATCTGACACTATTCACGACATTCATGACTACTCTACTATAGTCTTTTCTTTCAACAGGAATGTCATGTGCATTGTTGGTTTTTTTTTTCCTGTTGTATGTTCAGATTGATGTCCAGAGCGAAACGGAGTTTCGGAGCTACTCCTCGCAGCTTGTGAGGCTTGGCCCTCTACACCCTCGAAATCTGTCTGATTCTCTACGTAGGCGGGATCAGTATCTTGAAAGATTGGATGGTGATTCTCGACAGTTTCATCATCCTTTGCGGCTACACTGAAGCTGGACGATATTTAAGGAACACTTTTGTTGGAAAAGCCTGTAGCTGGGAGGCTGGGAGGGATCTTGATGTATAATAGATCCCATGTCGACTATAATTTTGAGATGCCACATGGTCGCCCAAACAAATGGATCGGGAACATGATTTGCTCACCGATCGTGACAATATGTGACAATGTGTTGGGTTCGCTGCTAAATGTTCATGAAGATTTACAGGAAACCAATGGATTTACCTGTGATTGTTCTTGCTTGCTTATTGATTGATATCAGTTGATATCTTGTTTTTTGGATGATGAAGCTCAACTTTGTTGGTAGCATCGTTGAACGCGGGAATTGTTGGTTGACATCCACCAATTTTGGGATATTTGGGGAAAACACCAAGTTTTTTTTTTTAATTAAATCACGGCTAAATCATACAATTTGGCCAATTTTTGCCGGTTGAATCACCTATGCTTGCTGGTTAATTTCCAAAACATACAACTTTTCCTGGTTAACTCCAAACATCAACCAATGTTTATTGGTTAAACTTAATGTGACATGGCCATGTTTCTTTGGTTCGCAAGGGTAGCTATCCCAATATATAACCTTATTCCAGGAGACCTGTTGACAAGTTGCTTTGTGTTTGTGTATACGTAGGTGTTTCTTGTGTTTTTTTCCTGGCTTCATGTTGCGCCGTAGGCATGATATGTTGCATACGGCGCGATGGAGTGGACAAACAAACCTCCATTGTACTTGCACGCATATAGTTGATATTGCACTACTTTTTTCCCAATTGAATTGCGCATGAATACCGGTGGATTGCTGCGTCACACATGGTCTGGATTGAGGTGGGGCGAGAACGTTTGCTTTCACTTGAGCACGGACTTTATGCTACATTGATCTACATTGCTTGAAATTGACTAAGTTGACCTGTTGAGTATATATTACTTGATGTCACCCAATAGCTTGATAAATGCGTGTGGCAAACAAAATGCATATATACCAAGATAACATGCGGCTGCGATAAGGTACGTCGCAATAGGTCACACATAGCCACTTGAAGACTGACCCGAAGTAGCCGCGAACATGATTTGAAGCCCTATCGGAATGCATGCACCAGCTTGAACCCCCAAAGCTTAAGTCACGTGACCTTTTTTCTGATTGTCAAGTCCAATAAATTCATGTCAATCCCCATGGCCCCTCAACCTGTTTTCCCGTTATATTCCCATATTCCCATGATATAAAGTCAGCATATTCCCATAAGATCCATAAGTTAGTTGATTCAGCCAGATTCCAGATCCCCATTGAAGCCGTCAGGAAATCAGGGGTTGGAAGATTAGTTTCCACTAGAAATTGGCTATCTTCAGGGTCTATGCCAATCATGGCAGAGAAACCATCATGGCTAATGCAGCATACCCCATAGGATCCATGGTGCTGGTATATATGCTAACATGACTGGGGTATATTGATGGTAAATGTTACCATATATAGCAGCACCATGGATCCGTCATGGGTACTTTCCCTATTAAAACTTCCAATATGCTGGGATTTCCCAGCCATGTTTGACTAAGGTAATTCAGTCAGATTTTGTGCTGTTCGATCTGCAGGAAATCTCAGTTCCAGTCATGGTCCCATTAAAATTTAATTAAAACCCTCATATCGTGAATTCATTGATTCAATCAAATTTGGGTTGTGTCAAATCCCAGGAAATCGTCTTCAACTACATGGACATGGCTTCTGAAGTGGCCTCGCGCATTACCATTCTGCGGGTTCTGCGTATGGCACGCATCGTGCGCTTGATGCAGCTGCTGCGAAAGTCCAGATCATTGAAAGAGTTACAGAAACTGGTGCCCAGGCTAGTGATCAGAAGACAGTATTCATGGGGAAAGTTGAAAAATAGTTGGTGAAAATCATTGAAAGATGAGGTCCTCATGAGGAAAAGCCAATAATAAAACATAAAACCATCCCCAATCGGGTTTTATTATTGGGCATGGGCTTTTGTTTGGTCACTGTTCGCAAGATTTGGGGTGTAGATCCGTCAGGTTTAGATCCGATACCTTTCAAACTTCAAAAAACAAAAACAAAAAAAAAGAAGTTCATGTCTGATTGCGGTATCACCAAGAGGCAGTAATGAAGCAAAAGAAACTGCGGGCATGACCGGTTTTTCCTATCAAGGCAATGATGATTTTGCGGGATAGGCCGTTAATTGAAACTATGGCAGCCAATCTAATGACAAGTGATCCCTGTGAGTTGAAATTGACGATTGAAGGGTCTGAACGTAGCAGCAGGCATGACCTCGGCTCAATTGACACTGACCTTAAGCCCATGCAACAGCAATGCCAAGTAATGACAACTTTCGCACCTGTATCTGCAAGCACATCACCCCTTTAGACACTTGCTGGCCCATTGTGAGACAGGAGGGGCATTTCGAGCAATATTGAGCAATTTTGGGTACGCTATTTGTACTGGGATTTTTTCCCCCTCGGGGAATTTTTTTCCCGGCTAAGTTCTCGCAGACTGGTGTGCCCAGGAAGCAAGCCAGCAAGCTAGCAAGCAAGCAAGCAAGGCAGGGAGCCAGCGAGCAAGCACGGACGGGAGCCAGCAAGCAAGCAAGCAAGGCAGGGAGCCAGCGAGCAAGCACGGACGGGAGCCAGCAAGCAAGCCAGCCAGCCAGCAAGCAAGCAAGCCAGGCAGCCAGGCAGCCAGCCAGCAAGCAAGCAAGCAAGGGAGCCAGCGAGCGAGCAAGCAGGCAATGCAAGCAAGGCAAGCAAGGCAAGCAAGGCAAGCAAGGCAAGCAAGGCAAGCAAGGCAAGCAAGGCAAGCAAGGCAAGCAAGGCAAGCAAGGCACGCAAGGCAAGCAAGGTAAGCAAGGCAAGCAAGGCAAGCAAGGCAAGCAAGGCAAGCAAGGCAAGCAAGCCAAGCAAGCCAAGCAAGCCAAGCCAAGCAAGCCAAGCCAAGCCAAGCCAAGCCAAGCCAAGCCAAGCCAAGCCAAGCAAGGAAGCAAGGAAGGGAGCCAGCGAGCAAGCAAGGAAGGGAGCCAGTGAGCAAGCAAGCAAGCAAGCCAGCCAGCAAGCAAGCAAGCCAGCCAGGCAGCCAGCCAGGCAACCAGCAAGCAAGCAAGCAAGGGAGCCAGTGAGCGAGCAAGCAGGCAAGCAAGCAAGCAAGGGAGCCAGCGAGCAAACAATCTTTCTTCGAGGAATTTCTGTCCGAACCGAGGTTGTAACTAGTTACTGGCTTTATACACCCATATCTATTTATACTTATGCATTATATTTGCTAGCATAGATGGAGAGAGAGAGAGGTGGATATTGTGGGTGTCGAAGCTACTAGTAAGTGGGATGAAAGTCCAAGTATGTTTGAAGATTCTTTTGGAACTCTCCCAGGCGGTTGATAGGCGATAGTCATCATGAACACCTAACCGCAGGCCCCAGTCAGCGACCGCGGGCGTCAAATTTCAGTGGGCACTGCCGCACCCCAACCGCGGGCGCCAGATCTCAGCACTGCCGGGCCTCAGCTAGACGCCAGAGATAATGTCAGATAGAACGCCAGAAAGAATGTCCGAATAGATGCCAAGAATGCCTGAATTTAATAAATGTCTGAAACGATGCCACGTAGAATGTTAGAATATATGCTAGATAGAATGCCAGAAAGAATGTCAGAATAAATGGAGGTTCCTGCGCCCAAATGCGGCAAATAGCATGCAAAATAGAAAGTTCCAGCTCCAAAATGCCGCAAATAGCATGCAGCATGGAAGGTTCCAGCTCCCAAAGGCTGCAAAGAACATGCAATTTTTTCAAACAGACAGCACAACAACAAACATAACAACAACAAACGTAACAACAACAAAGACAACAAAATGGAAGGTTCCAGCTCCCAAATTCTGCAAATAGCAAGCAAACTGAAGGGTTCCTGCGCGCAAATGCGGCAAATAGCATGCTAAATGGAAGGTTCCTGCGCCCAAATACGGTAAATAGCATGTAAAATCGAAAGTTCCAGCTCCAAAATGCTGCAAATAGCATGCAGCATGGAAGGTTCCAGCTCCCAAAGGCTGCAAAGAACATGCAATTTTTTCAACAGACAGCACAACAACAAACATAACAACAACAAACGTAACAACAACAAACACAACAAAATGGAAGGTTCCAGCTCCCAAATTCTGCAAATAGCAAGCAAACTGAAAGGTTCCTGCGCGCAAATGCGGCAAATAGCATGCTAAATGGAAGGTTCCTGCGCCCAAATACGGTAAATAGCATGCAAAATAGAAAGTTCCAGCTCCAAAATGCTGCAAATAGCATGCAGCATGGAAGGTTCCAGCTCCCAAAGGCTGCAAAGAACATGCAGAATGAAAGGTTCCAGCTCCAAAATGCTGCAAATAGCATGCAGCATGGAAGGGACGTGGCAGGATAGATGTAGGGGACGGAAAACAGAACAGATCAGGAAAAAAAAAACCAGGGCAGGGGAAAAAAAATCCCCGGCGAGATTCAGCACCGCAATTTTGAGCCAATTTGAGCAACTTTTTAGCAATATTGAGCAATTTTGAGCAATTTGGACCAGTTTTTGAGCAATTTTGAGCAGTTTCTTTTCGGGCCAGCTTGGGTGATTTCGTGCATTTTTGAGCATTTTTGTCGGGCAAGTTTTGGGTCATGTCGAGCAATTTTGAACAGTTTTTGGAAACACGATATGGCATTGTCGACCTTGGGCAGTGTTCAAAATATCTCAATTAATTGAGGCTGCTTTGAGACATCTTACTTTGGATGAAAAAGGTGGCTGATGTAAACCCCACGGATCTAGACCCTAAAACGAGATCAGCGATTTGGAGTGCAAAATGATCGCCAAACAGTTGGTTCTTGGGATGGTTCCGAGTGTGAATGTGCATAGGTGTCCTTTTCCCATTGATTGAGTGGAGGGGGAGTACGAACAACCATTGAACAACCGCTAGATGATGATGATGATTATGACCAAGCCGGCTCCTTTTTGTCGCAAAAGGACGCTGTTGCCGGGGTTAGTTGTTTTTTCAATTTCATGTCGATTGTTTGATTTTTTTTTACGTCGCTTTTGTTGCGCACTTATGGATGTTTTTCTTAGTGCTGTATGTGTTGGTGGTGTTCAATATTGACAGAGCCTTGAACTCCATGCCGACATGGTTGTAAGGGAAGCAGCCCCGAAGTGTGGGTCAATGGGCTGATCATGTGAGCCCCGGGTCTAGGTAAGCCCAGTAACTCAGCAAGTTTGTGGATGTTTCTGGATACATCGGCATGTTTGGTCAAACTTTAGCATGACATTGCAGTTTGGGCCCGTTTGCGGAGTTTAGCGACCACTTTGAGTGGGGATGTGCTCGGAACATGGGACCATGGGAATCCAAAGTTTTTGGCCCACCCATACACCATTAGGGCTTTGACGACAGAACCAACCGGAATCTAGTTGGAACAGGTGTGGTCAGAAATTTTGCGCGTTGTAGCGTGGTGAAACAAGTTAATGGATGTTAATGGTACCTTGAAGTGGCCAGCGGAATCTCATGATGATTGAAAGTCCACATGTTGATAGCACATGCTCACACTTTTGCGGCAGCCGGATGCAATCGGCAACCACTGTTTTTCTTTAGTTTTTACTGCCCTGTGTCTAGCTTGAATGATCGGCTTTGCTTTTTGTTTCGTCCTCAGGTAACCATGATGGCAACTTGCCTCAAAGCTCTGGCCTGGTCTTTCCTCTTCTGCTTCGTGATCATGACGGTATGGGCCATGTTAATGGTGGAGATCGTTCATCCAGTCATTCAAGAGATTCAGCAGGAGAAAGGTGTCTTCGATGGCTGCGAACAGTGCGTACGCTCCTGTCAATCCGTCATGGATGCGAACTTGCTCCTTTTCAAGACTGTAGCCTAGCAAGCAGATACCCCCCCCCCGGATGATAAACGAGCCATTTGTGGCTCTGTTGTCTTGAATTACAATACATAAAACATGTTTGTTTTAATTCTCCATGGTCCATAGCCATGTTAAATTACCATTGGGTAAAACTTTGCGTCTTTTGCTGAGTGGCATGACGGCTCAACCTGTGACATCCTGTGACTATTAGTGCAGTTATCATAATTCCTCCGGGTTTGACAAGCATGTGCCTGCCATTCAAGGCTCAGGTTTCTCGTGGTGCCAGCAGTAGAAGTAAGGAAAGGACCTTTTTGGTCAATCCTGCGAGGGTTGTTTGCTACAGTTTCGGGAAGGTGCATATGAGATCATGCTTGTAAGAGCCTGAGAGGTGGCTGCAGGGAGATGTCATTTGGAGTCTAGAGGGCATTTTGATGGATTTTGGTGATCTCATCGTTTTCCCCTGCCATTGGGTTCTATCTCAGATTGCTCCTCCTCCCTCCTCCCTCCTCCCTCCTCCCTCCTCCCTCCTCCTCCGTTCCTCTTGGCCTCGTCTTCGCATCCTCTGCACTTCCTCTGTGCTGCTGCTGGTGGTGATGGTGGTGGTGGTGAGCGTCCCAAAACCCAACAAAATGCAATAGATTTAGGCACATCTCAAACAAACATCGTACAGAGAATTGATCTTCCGAGACAATACGCATGGTCTGTTCCAAGGGGTTTTGGTCATGATGTTGAGCGGGCGTTTCCATGCTGCCCCCACTGAGCCAACTTGCTTTTGAACCACTTGCTTTTGTCACAGCTAAGAAGCACCGCTCCTAGGCCATTCGGCCCGGGAAATTCGTTGCATCCCACCTCGCCGCACGAGGTGATAGCAGGAGACAGTTGGGGAACCATTGCGGTGCCGGTCATTGAGGCGTACCCAGGGACGGCATTTATTTTTGTTGGCTCGCTGCTGACGCTCGTTTTCGGTGTGCTGAACCTCATTGTGGCAGCAACTTGCCACGGAAAAACATGTGGCAATGCTTTGAGGGGTAGCGTCAGCTCCGGATCCAATCAATCAATCAACCAATCAATCAATCAGTCAATCAATCAATCAATCAATCAAATCAATCAATCAATCAACCAACCAACCAGTCAATGAGTCGATGGACCAACCAATCACTCAATCAACTAATCAACAAATTTGCGGGCAGAAACTTGGTCCTGAATCGGCCCATGCTCAGAGAGGCTTGGGACGAGTGATTGATGGAATAGGTCAAGGAGCTGTAGGTTGTGGGTTTACAGGATACAGGATTGAATCTTACTTGTTTGGAGTCTGGAAGTTGCCCACTGGGCACCCAAGGTCAGTCGATCAATCAACCAATTTAATCAATCAATCAAGCAATCAATGAACCAATCAATATCAATGAAGCAACGAGGCAATGAGTCAATGAATCGATGAATCAATGAATCAATGAGGAGTGAATTTGGGAATGGATGAATCAATGAAACAATGAGTCAGCATATCAATGAATTAAGGAATCAGGGACTCAATGTCTCAGTGAACCAATGAACCAATGATCAATAATGAATCAACGAAACAACATATCAACCAATCAATGGACCAATAAATCAATGAACTGATGAATCAATGAACCAGTGAAGCAGTGAACCAACGAACCAATGAGTCAACAAATCAATGAATCAATGAATCAGTGAATCAACGAGTCAATGAAGCAGTGAATCAACGAATCAATGAACCCATGATTCACTGAATCAGTGAAGCCATTTAAAGCACCGGACCAGTGAAGCAATGAATCAATGAGCCGATGAATCAATGAATGTTTGAGTCAATTAGCCCATGAATCAGTGAATGAATGAATGAACGAATGAATGATTGGATGAATGGGTGGATGGATGGATTGATCGAGGGATGAGTGAGCTACGTTTCTTTGTTGAGCCATTTCTTCGCTGAACGACCTCTTCGCTCAGCCACTTTTTCTCTGAGCAGCCTCTTATCTCGGATCTGCGCTGCCTCTCACCTACCTCGTCTGTACCTTCGGCAACCCAATTCTTCTGTTCGCGCAGCCAGCACAGTGCAGTAGCTCAAAGACATTCACAGACCACCTTTCACGCAGATGTCACAATGCAACTGGCAACCAGCAGCTGCAGATCCCGTTTATCGCTCATGCTTTGCTTCGCGACAGCCGTGCCAATGCGTTTTGTCACAACCAGTTGCAAACCTGCTTAGCAGCAGCGTCACAACAACTCGAAAAACCACATGCGCAGCGCTGACACCGCGAACTCGACCACACAAATTCGGCGCCGCTCCGGTTCCCTCAGCTTTTAACGTTTTTTTGGTTAGTTGAGCTCTCAGCCACATTACCTGAAAAAACGCAGGGTTTCGCGCCCGAGAGTGTGCTTTCACCCGTGAACTCACACACGGCCGAACTGTTACACTTCCCAACTGCTTGATGATGGGTGGTTGGCATGATGATGTGGTTGACATGATGATGTGGTTGTCATGATGATGTGGTTGACATGATGATGTGGTTGACATGATGGTGGGAATGCCAACCATGACAAAGGTAAGTGACTCAGATCTTTCTAGTTAACAAAATTTCCTTTGGCAATATAGGTTTCATGGGGCCATTCGCTTGCTGAATGGATTTTGTCCTTTGTGTTGACCTTGGAGTGTTCGGATGATACATGACAAGGGAAATGAATCTGAGAGTTTGGCCGTTTCACCAAGCCAGCTCATAAACGCGCATACTTAGAGAGCAATAATCAAGCATTAGCACCCCCCGATACCCCCCGTATTTTAGATATTTTAGGGAGTGATCATTATCCAGGAGTTTCCTTCAGTCGGAGTGTCCGAACGTTTTCAATGGAAACAAGTGGTGGTTTTATTGAGGGGTGATCATTATTCAGATTTTTGTTGTGCATGAAACCAATGGAGAAGCACCCCCCACTGGAGAATACCATTTAAGGATGAATAAAATACAGCAGATTGCTGCAATCACATTGCCAGGCTAGCTTTGCATATCAGGGCGATTTTTCAGAATTTTGATGTTCATGTTTTTTTCTCGGAGGCGGGAGTGCAACAGGATAGTTTTATTCAGTGGTAGTTTATTTTTGGAATTGGGCGGTTTATTAGCTTTCAGAGGTCAGCATTTTTGTGCGGGTTTGCTGCCCAAGGTACCAGGAAGTTGCATTTCATGTAAGATGGCATGCAGCATGCCCCGTTTTTTAATGTTTGTGCAATCTGATTGGCTCACCCAAACAACATTTTTCTGCCAAAATCGGAATATGTCCATGCATTATAGGTCAAAAAATGTATGCATGAATTGCAACAAAACTACTTGTGTGGGTAGATTTAGTTGAGTGTGACCACGATGATTGACAAAAATTGTGATTTTTTGGTTCAACGTGTTGTCTTGAAAAGGTGTTTAATTTTTGCGCTCATCACACTGAATGTGGTCTACCAGGTTGTAGTCGACAGTTGTGCCGCTACCCCCGAGCTGCTCGTAAGGCGCGGTTTTCGCACAACATTTGCTGCTACAGGTTGTAGTGGACACGTTTGCCGAAGTTAGACAGTCCGACGTGATGAACTTGGCGGAAGAGATGGAACATGTGGAAATGTTGGACCAGAAATTTCTCCAAAAAAATTTTGATCGTATCGACGTCAACAAGAAAGGCGGCTGTGAGTTTCAGATGTTGCATCCTTGTTTTTGCACGGAGAAAATGGTGAAAACGGAAAACAAAAAACATATTCCCCAGGTCTCCAGCTCCAACAATTTTCAGGAATCCCTGCCATTAATTACAAATTTTTAGGTAGTTTGACGTCATTTTTTACGCAGGTTTGTTGACTTTGGAAGATATTATGGCGGGTGCCCGGACGGATGCGGAGTTTCAGAGTCGTTTGAGGGTCATGGGCTCAGTTGTTTTGCGATGTACCGGGCGGGATTTATGGGTTTTCAGACCGTGCCATCCTGAGTTTTTTGGATGGAAGTCCCATTGTTTAAGCAACTGTCCAAAAGATTTGGGGAACACAATCCACTTGTGTTTTTATGAATGCATCTGAAGGGCTGAAGGATTGAAGGCCCAAAAAGGATCGGGGAACCCTCGCTTCCATCCCATTTCTGAGGTTCCAACAACAAGTGTCCGGTTGCATAGGGTTTTTCAGGGTCTACCTTCTGGGAAGCAAACATGGTTCCCTTTAAATTCCCGCCATCTAGTTGGATTGTTCCACTTTACTGCCCATCCAATGTTGGTAAAACAATAATTAAGAATAAACCATCTCCAATTTTACTGTTTCTAAGGGTGGTATAAGCCATCAATTTATATGGATGGTTATTATTGCTTTAGTAACATGAGTTCGGATGTCACCAGAGGTCATGGACATCGATGAAGTGGACCTTCAGCAACTCTTTGAGATGTCGCTGGGTTTGATGATTTCTTGTGTCTCATGTTTGATCTTTTGCCACAAGGTCGGGCCCCCATAGTTAGCTAAGTGTGTTTGCTGCATATTCTGCGTTATATCATATATCATCATATATCTAGGTTTTCTATGGTTTACTATGGTCTACTATGGTTTACTATGGTTTATGGCAGATGTATATAGTCAAATAGGCAATGGTTTGATTGAACATTTAGGCTTTTGAACCGTTTCTTTCCATATTTTCCATTGGCTATGAACATGGGCAACATGGGGTATCCCCCGTGTTGAGACAGACCCATAGACGCCAACAACGTGATGATTGTAAAGGAACATATGAGAAACCTTCCTGACCTAGCAACTGAAAAGCCTCATCATAATTATCATGTATTATCATATCTTATCATATTATATCAATTTCTTATATTTATTATCATATACAGTAATAAATGAATAGTAGATAAATATTGAATAGTCATGATCATCACGACCATAATGATCACCATGATCATCATCATCATCATCATCCTCATCGTCAATAGATTTTTCCATATTTGCACTTTGCATTGGGTCATTTTTCATCAACAACGGGGTGTTCAGAACAGATGTCGGATGGAAATGTTTGAGATCATCTTCTCGATTGCAAAGCACCATATCACCAGTTGCTTTTAGTTGAATTGTCGGTACTTGGGATGGTGCCCCCCAAGTTTAAAAAATCGCATGAAATTCACATTCTACCACAGTTTTTCTCATAGTTTCCAAGTGGGAGCTACAGAAGCCAGGATCGATGTGGACGGTAGTGGTGCTATCGAAAGTGAGGAATTCATTGTGCCTCTGAGTAGATGGGTGACTTGGCTTGGGATTTACCCAGCTCCAGGACTCATTTGGAGCACCCAGGGCAGTTATTCATAGTTATTCCCTCTATATATGTATATATGTGTATGGTTTGATGGCGATTTAAACCATAGTAAATCATGATTAAATCATGGCAAAAGACTTTCACCTATGCTTAGAACAAAGCTATTCTCAAAAAATATTGATGCCCGATTGGTTTTCGTTGCTGTGGGTGACCAGGGCCCTTGGTGATGGTTTGGTGTGTTACCATCAAGCATTGACCCTGTGGAACATCTTGGGTCACCAGGTGCATGATTCCAAAACGGCGCCCCGCTTCATCAAGTACAATTTGATGCACGTGATGCATCAACAGCAGGACTTAATCCAGAACTTAGAGCGACATTTTGTCGTCTTGAATTCTCGGATGAGTGACCTCGAGGACAAATTGGAACACATGGAGCTGGGTTTGAAAATGCTTCGGAAATCATGTTTGACATCCGAACATCAAGACCAAATGCGGTTCATTTTGATCCCTTTAACTACCGTTAGTTCCACATGTTTTTCCACATCTTTGGCCGATGACCGTTGGGCGAACCCTGAAGGATTCCCCAGGTCGCCAGCAGGTTTTTGCATCATCCGATGGGATTGGGAACGATCTGCATGCAGAGACGGTCCAAGCCCCTCGCTTATCCAAAAAGGTTGGCAGGCCAGGGCCGGTAGGGATTTGCATTGTTGAGTGATATCTTGTTTGACATATGTTGACATGATTTCAATTGGAAGATTTAGAAAAAACCAGCATGATCAGCATGATACCCAAATTAAGTTTAAGAGACATGTCGGAAGAAATCATCATCATACCCTCATATTTGATGGGAAAAAACATGGAAAAACAACACTAGATTTTGCCATGGGAAAATCCACTGATTCGATGCGGATCATCCTCCACAAAACCTGTGCGGATCTCACGGAAGCACAGTAAACAGCCTTAAAGATATATATTTTCTGCTACATTTGCTCCCATCCACCCATGAAAATCCATTCAATGAATCCCAAAAATGAATAGAGCCAAGACTTCAACGAGGCAATTCTAGGGGGGCATCTGATTTTCCAGTCAGAATCCTTCAGACAAATTCTTTAAACAACTGAAACCTCCCAATGAAAACTCGTTTAGTATTGGATCTGGGATCTTCGGCCCTCACGGCAGATTGAAGATGGATGCCGTGGACGCAATGAAGCCTGCGGTCGCGGCGTTAAATGAAAGTTTGACTGATGCCTTGAAGTGGCTGGGTCAACAGCTGGGTCAGTGGATGGTTTCCCCATGACTCAATTTTTTCAGGATAAGCTTCAGGAGAGAGCAATGGAATGGGAAAAGCATGAGGATTTACCAACTTATATGGAGCTATTGATTTGGGATATACCGCATTTGGTGATCTAACAGTTTGTGATTGAAAATGACCATGTGTTCAAGAGTGAAATCATTTGGAAATAGGGAATCTTCCTTGGCTATGTTAAATTGCCCTCTTGGTATGCGCTGTTTCAAGAATTATACCGGTATCGGGTTGAGATATAGAAGCAAACATGAGTTTGAGCGTTTGACCATCAAGAATTGGGGGACGATTGGGTAATGACTCCGCTAGCCCGCTAGGCATTGAATGTCATAATGTGTGGTTCAAGACCTCATTTCCCAGTCAAATATGATCGGACCCATGGGATCCCACAGTCCCCCTGATTTTGGACAAGGTAATATGTAATGCTGGTTTCCCCAGGAATGATGCGTATCACCTTAAGAAAAAGAAGACTGGTCTCCCTGAGGGAAATCTTTGGTTGGTAGTTTCAATAATGTCCATCTCCAGCGCTAAATGAAACCAAATGATACAGTATATACCTGGTGCCATTTTGGAGGGTTCAATAAGCCTTCGAACGCTGGAATTCATTGAGTCATTGAGCTGATATTGATGTCGGGAAATTTGGGTTAAAACCCTAACGAGTGAGGCTGTCAGTGGCCAAAATGGAGGCGATCTTGCGAGAAGAGCTCAGTTCCTTGGGAGAGTGTAATCTGTGGGAAGCTCCGATTTTTCTTAGTAATCAGTAATCAGATTAATCAATAATCTGGGTAAATTATAACGACCTCACTGCGACCTCACTGGAATCATGGTTAATAAGGGAAATCATCCCCAAATGACCTTAATTCAGGTTAGTGAAATATTATAATTTACCCAGAATAATCTTTATGGTTTCCAAATGGAAGGTGTTGATTTTCCGACTTTGATTGCCAAAGGGTGGGTGGGCATGGTCACTTTTTGTTCATGTACCCCTGCCCTTGAGGCAAGTGCTACCCAGAGCCACCAGGGCCACCCCCGGAAGACGTCAAGGCTGCACCGCAAGAGGTTGCCATGTCGATTCAGCAACCGGAGCCTCCACAACCTGACAGCCCACGCGACAAGGCTTCAAGATTGAGACTTTCTCAACGGCTGCAGTCCGTCTAAAGGCATGATCAGATGCCTCTGAAAAGAATGGGGGCGGATCTTCCGGCTGACCGAAAAAGGGCCAAAATTGGCCTTTGGAATTGTGTAGGTGCAAGGTAGACCCTAAAAGGGGTTTGCACAACAAAACTGAAGAATCTTTGTTTCACAGCTTTGTGACTCGTTCCCCCGTGCGTTTGTCGCGAATACAAAGCAACCATTTGGGTGTGTCTCCAAGGGTGGTACACCTCCAAAATTGCCATTTTGATAGGAACACATTATAAATGATAAACGATCTTTTTGGGCACCCTATTGTTCAAAACATACAATGCATTGAGAAGGATCAAGGTGGTGTGGTGCGTCATTTTTTCCACTGCAATCAGTGGGTTCCCCAACTGATAGCCACTAAAGAGAATCGATCAAAACCATCTCCAGACATTCTTTCAATTCGTGGACCTACCAGATGGTATATGTTTGCAATTCTTCCGTTATATCCAGTTAAATATCCTCATCATATTATATCCAGTTACATCCCCATCATATTCCCAACTAATCATTCATCCTCATTATATCCCCATCATATTTCCATCCCCATATAATCCCCTATATTCTTATCATATCCCCTCATTATATCACTAATTTATCCACATTGATCTTCATTATATGGGGGTTTCCATAAATGAGGGATCCCATAAAAATGGAAAATCCATGAAAATCCATCAAACAGATGATTTTTGTCATGGGGTACCCCCATGACTATCCATGACCTAGAAATCTCCATATCCCCAATGAACTCACCATTCTCTCCCTGTTCGCTCCCAGGGCTCACCTCTCCTTGGCGTCTTGCCCCGTGGATGTCTGGGCGCAAAATCATCTCCCACCACGGCGGAGGATGCGGCGCTGCAATTGGCCTGGAGGATGTTGGAACAGGCCGGGACCAATATCTGGGTTCCCTCTGGTTATGTCAAAATAGCTATTGAAAATGACCATTTATAGTGGATTTTCCCATAAAAAATGGTGATTTTCCATAGTTTCGTTATGTTAGTTTACCAGAGGGTATCCCAATATGGTCTTATTTCAGGTTAGTGAATTATGATAATTTACTCAGATATATGTACATATGTGTTTTCAGTGTTTATGGATTTATTATTGATTTGTTAATTTTACTTGTATAATTGATTTGTGGACGCATGGATTTACATTTTTTGTGTATTTGTTTATCGTTATTTGTTGTTTATTTTTTTGGAATCTGCAAGTAGGAAAAAACTCACCAACCTGAAGAATCCAAGTCATGTGGACTAGACATGATTCAACCAACCGAAATGGATTTGTTTCAGGGCAAATCTGCCAGAAACACGTATATTTGCTGGTAAGAACATGTAAGAATCATGGTTTCCGCGCTAAGAATTGTCCTTTTGATCCTTTTGTCACCATCCATTGGCACAAGTGGGAATATCAAACGCTCAAACGTTGGAAAGCCTGAAATCATGAGGCAGGGACGATTGCTGCATGTTGACCTACCACCAATGCCAGGGAGAGAAGTTTCTGGGAAGAATTCGCCAAATTGATGGTATATAGACCTGTAACATATTCCAAACACTTGGCGGATTTGGCAGTGGACAATCCCTCATTGATAGATGTTTTGCCCACAAGAAAGAGGATATTCAATTCAAACTGGGTACGTGTATATTTTTCACATGGGCCCTAAGCAATCCAAAAAAAAATATGTAAACAGTATGACATATACAGTTTGAGGGCCCCTATAAAACAGCTACCAGCATAGCAATGGGGATTGTGGCCTTTCTGCAGAAAGTGAAATCCTCAAAGAGCACCTTTACCCAACAAACAGTGGCTCTGAGGCTCTTGTTCTTGTTCAATCCGCATTTGCTAGCTGACTATCGGCAGATTGATGTTTCACAAGCAAAGAATGGCTTTAAACACTCCCAGCAAATGGCTAAATCGCCAACAATCCACAGCTGTTTCTTAGTGATTACGTGAAGTTCGCAAAACCGAGGAGTAATGCTGGACTAATCCCATCCCCCAGGAATAAGGGGGGGTATATAGGACTATACATATATATACCTTTCCAATGGTTAATGGTTTAAAACAAATATATATATATATATACACACTCATATTTCGACCACAAAACTGGATTTCCCAATGGTTAATGGTTTAAAACCCAATTCTTTGATGGTTAAATCCTCATTGATTGATGTTTGAAACTATTTTGTTTGATGGTTGCCCTCCGGTTACATCAACCTAGACCCTGCAAAACACCAATTTTTAGTGGAAACATCTGGAAACTCTAATCTTCCAATCCTTACCTGGCAAGGTCCATCTGAATTTACTGGAGGGTACATGCTGTAGATCTCACCAGCCTTCCCTCGCATCGAGCTGTCACAGGCTGGCGTAGTACCTTCAAAGACCTCAGAGGCCGTCGGGATCGCTCGGGCAGTGGGGCGTCCTGAGATGATCGTCGAGTCAGCAGGGAAAATGTGGAAATCGCAATGATAAAGTTCCAGTGAAACTATACTTGAAACTTTATTCGTAGATATTATATGATGTTATAGGTAATTGAATGTATTTAATATTATTTATATTATATATTTATTATGATAAATTAATATATATATATATGTGTGTGTGTGGTCAGCCTTTGCTTAGTATCAATGCACATAATTTAGTCAGTTGGAGAATATGTGTTCCAAAAAAAAAACTTGTGAGCAGCCCCAATGTGGACCCCTCCATTTCTGTTGGTACATCTCATGGGCATCGCCATCCCGGAGGTTCAGCATTGGGCTGTCAATGTATCTATTGTTTCCGTGGATTCACAACTATTCTGGGGGATTTCATGTTAGGTTCACTCTGATGGATCAAGGGCAAGATCACAACCTGACTGGATTGAAAGCAGAGTGGGCTCACACCAGTTAGTTTTCAATGTGTCAAAGAATTGGCGTAACAAAAAAGAACAATTGCCCTCTGAAAACTTGATTGAGACCATGGTATTCTATGGTATTCTGCATCTTTTTCCGCAACATTGTCATTGTGTACGCTTACCCCGTGGTTCCTTTCCCCCTACAGCTTCCACTACTTTCCATTGTGGCAGGACCCTTGGCCCCGAGAATATTTGCGCGCCTTGCCCCAGCGACCTGCACTGCCCTTGCTGTGGCCAGCATCAGAGGCGCCGTCGTACCGGCGGTGAACAACACGTTAGAAATCCCCCAACACGAGAGAAAAAACTGGGGATGGGTCAAAACCCTGGTACCTAGTGAACCCCAAAATAGCTGGCAAATGGATGTTCATCCCACTAAAAATGTATCTATAGTTATTGACCCATACCCATCTGATCAACACTACTGTAAAAAAAATCGTGGTGCTTATCCCTGTTTATTGAAACAGTGATTGCGTTTTTCCTTCATTTTTAGGGGAGGGTACCAATAGGAGCTGGATTAGTCAACAGATGGGTGTTCTGCCCAAGAATGGGTTGGTTTCAGAATGTGCCATATACATCCATATTACATATATCTGGGTAAATTATCGTGACCTCACTGTTCTACCTCACTGGAATCATGGTTATTATTCGGGAAATCATCCCCTTTTATGGCCCAACAATTCAGGGTAGTGAAATATTATTTGATTTACCCACATATATATATACATATATATATATATTACACACACATATACATATATATATATATATATTTAGTTTAGGTTTCATCCCTACCTGGGGCCCATGACTAAGGCATACAATACCTCAGCAAGGATCCCATGATCTCGATTAAAAAAAAAAACATGGGCCGTGAGGAGACAACACAAATCCCAGCATGATGCGTAAACTTGGGCAAAGATAATATCACCACCCCTTTAGGCTAATTGCAAGCAGGGGGGCGTTCCAAAAATGTAGATTGCAATTTTGCCCCTGCGTATTTTTTTTTTACGCAGGGGTCATGCTAATTATATGATGCAAGTCTAACAATAATAGTATTTCTGTTCTATTTCATATGGTTATATATATATATATGTGTGTGTGTATGCATATGTTTAATACTCTATATCTATATATCTAAAATATCTAGTTGCAGCGCCACTAGCCCAGGTCTCGGAACTTCAGGACGCAGCCTTGCAGTTGCTGGCTATCCGGTGGTATCCAGTTGGAGGTAAGGAGCTATGGATAGCTATGGATAGCTATGGATAGCTATGGATAGCTAGGGGTCTCCGTAGGTGCGTCAATGGGGAGCCAGTTGGACTCAGAGTTTCCCAACTGATACTGGTAGTTGGGTAATTTTTCCATTGTTGCGAAAGAGGTCCCATTGTTTGAAGGCCGTGAAATGCCCTGAACATTCATTTCAACTTGGTGATGGGGGCCTGATGAACAAGGCAGTTCATATCACAACCAAAAAATCAAGAGTGCAGGCAGACTCAGACTACCCTCTGGTAACCTAACATAGCTATTGAAAATGGCCATTTATAGTGGATTTACCCATTAAAAATGGTGATTTTCCATAGTTATGTTAAATTACCAGAAGGTATCAACAGAACTTGAGGATGCATGATCACCCCAACAATGGGATACTGTGCTGACTGCACGGGGATATTCTGTACATGCATGGATGCCGGCAAACCAATACGGTTTTGAGCTCATTGCATTACCAATACGTTCATTGTCATTTTTCAACAACAATTCACGGACTGGAAGGTTTCTTTGATTGCACTGATCGTTTGTTTGGTTCCATGCTTGAGTTTCGGGAGGTAGCCAATACTGAATAAATATTGGGATAGCTGATGATCGAGCCCAAACTAAAAATACATGTATATAGATATGATATGAAAAGCAAGCCGATTTCAAGGCGGTAACATGCGGTAACATGTTGTTTCTCACTGCAGTCAGTAAACTAATGTATTTCCAACATGCTGTTGGAAATTTATAGGAGACTTCTAGATTCTAGATGAACTTCTAGATTCTATGGAGTATGCTTTCATATATATATATATGCTTACCCAATGGAAACCCATAGGTTGTTACGCGAGATGTTCCAAAAACTGTCGTGTTCTTTTGACCCGCTTCAGGTTGCAGATCAGCGAGCTAGGTGAGCGAGTGGATCAATGGCTTCAAACACGCTGTCAGCAGCTGGGTGCCCCGGCTTTTGCTGGTGATGCCCCAATGCCCCTTGGGACTTATTAGTAGGAGGGTGAATATTCACATATTATCACATATTATTATCATATATCATTATGCTCATTAAGTTCAATTATCTCTACAGTATTTATGATTATTTATGTCTGAGTCTTGTGAAGCCTGGGAGTTTTATTCTCACCCTGGTGAATCCACAAGCCAACGACTTGCTGCGCTGCCAAAGATACTCTGAATTTGGCGGGTGATGATCCTCATGGACTAGTTTTTTTCGCAGATCGAAATCACCAACCAGTCATGGTTGCGGCTGTCCGAGGAAGATGATCGCATGATCATTGGCGTTATCCCAATCCACCAGACCAGACCAGAAAATCCCACCCCAGCGGTCGGCTTGTGGTTTGTCACATCGCCTGATTTCCATCCTCCCGTGGATGATATTGGATGACGAATATTTTGACGGACGTGCTTCTAGGATCTTCTAGGTAAAGCTGGTTGAGTAAACGTGGCTATGTATACACATGCGTGAATACATACATCAACCACGAAGAAAAAACTGTGTCTTGATTGTCCTGTCTTACTGGGCATCCAAGATTGGCCTCGAATTTCTGCCGCTGTCGCCCGGCGCTTGGCTCAGGGTTGGATGCCACTCCCCTGCAGTACCAGTTTCGTGCCGCGTTCGCCACTACCTGGCCCCGGGCCATAGAACTTCGAGATCGATGGATCCTGGCGCCGTACCTTTGGAGACATGCTGCAGGGATGGGTTGGGTCTTTCACCACCAGAAACCGCCAGCACCTCACCAGAAACCATGGCTTAGTAGGGGACTCACATGGATTTACATATAGTTGGGACCATTTAGGATGTGTTCATTACTAGGTGAACGGAATTACCATCGCAAACAATTGGGGAGCTGGTTGTAGGAGGTTTGAATGTTTGGATTGATTAAAAGTTTGATCATCCAAGCAGTGGAAAATCATGACAAATTCACCTGTGTACTTTTTGATCTTTAAGAAACCGCAAGGACGTTCATTGCAAGGATCGAGAATAACCAGGAGCTAAGGGAAAGAATGGAAAAGCGACAAGAACGCCATGAGTTTCTACTCTAATTCGAATGCATGGAACATCACGGAACCATTCATCCCCAATCAAGGATTCAAGTAACCATGGCTGGTAGGAAAGCCACCACATTCAATGCAAAACATATTTGTAACATGTTGTAACTGTAGGGGCCTGGTCAGGAAAGTTGTTTTGTTGTGTTTTGTTTTTCCCTTTCGGTGGGAACAAAAATAGGTTATACATTAGTTGCTCCCTAACTCTGGTTTGTGTTTGTGGTTTTACAACCTCGGAAGGTTTCATGTTCCCAGAACTTGGACAATCAATTTGTCCAACGATAGTGACTACCCGGATAGGGAAAAACCGTGGGATGGAATAGGGTTTATATAGTGTGGTAAACCCATAATATCCATAATCCACCCCATTCACCACCCCAGTTGGGTGCTAAATGTTGCTAATCATCCCATTTCTAAGGAAATACCCAAGCACCGATGCCCAGGTTCCTCGATGCTGTCGAACCCTTGGGCATTGATGCCGAGGGCAAGGGCGTGACTGAAGGAAATTGCAAGATCGAGGTGGAAGACATCGGGCAAGGGCAACAACTGGTAGTCCTCTCAGCTACAAAGGATTTGAAAGAAGGCAGGGGAAACCACTTTGTGGAGGGATGGGGACGTGCTTTTGGCTGGAAAATCGGCGAATCTTGAGGTCCTGGGGGTGTGCATTTAGGTCAATTGGATCCGTGCGTTTTGGCTCTCTACTTTGACCCGTTCATTATTAGCCAACGTTTCTTTTCGCACTCAGATCCCACAAGGAACAGTACGGCACCACTTTTCCCACGTTCTTTGTTTGGTGTGTGCCATGGCCTGTGCCATAGTTTGTGTATGTTTGTGTCATCCCATTTGTAAAGGTCGTAGAAGTCCCCTTTTTTGGGCCACCTTTGGGCCCCTGTCCAACCTGTCCCCTGGCTTTAGCGGCTCTAGAACCTCATTTTCCTGTCGCTATGAGCCCCTTGGCGCCCTTGGCGCCCTTGATGGCCGCGGCCCCCGCGGGCTCGCGCTTCAGTCCCAGCTTCCCCGCGGTGGTCCAGGAGTTGCGAAAGGCGGGGCCCCAGAAACTTCTGGTGATCACCGACTTTGACCAGACGTCACCTGGAGGAACCTGTAGTGGTGTGTGTTTTCTTCGTTTTTAGCCGCGGTAGTTAGCGGCTCCTGCAGAAAACGCAGGGAAAAAGATGAACAAAGTGAAATTTGGCACTGACTTTGGGAGTCATGTTGGATGCGAAGTGGTGTTTTATACAACTTGGATGAAAGGGATTCTCCAATGTTCTCCCACGCACCCCCTTCACCAGAAGTGAGCAATTGGGTTGAACTTGAGATAATTATTGCTATTACACACCAATCGGTCTTAATCCACTGAATGGATATGACAGATAGACAGAGAGATCTAGAACGTTGGATCCTGATTAGTGTAGAGAGACCCCTCTCCCAAACAAGTCTGAGACTCTCTTTAAAGTGATTGTTTTAGGTACCAGGTACTCAATAAAATGGGATCAATTGATTTCAATTGATTTTCAATTTACATCAATTGATTTCAATTTACTTTCAATTGATTGTGATTGATTACCATAGAAATCACATAGGAATCCAATGGAAATCCCATAAGAATACCATAGAATTCCCATAGCATCCCTTCAGTAATCCCATAGCAATGTCATAGAAATATCATAGAAACATCATGGAAATCCCATAGGAATCCCAGAGAAATCCCATAGAAAAATCATAGAAATACAATAGAGATCCCATAGAAATCCAATGGAAATCCCATAGATATCCTTCGAAATCCCAGAGAAATTCCAAAGAACCACCATGGAAATCCTATAGAAATCACACAGGAATCCAATAGAAATCCCATAGGCATCCTTTTGAACCACTATAGGAATCCCATAGAAATACAATCGACGTCCCTTTATAAATCCCATAGTAATCCCATAGAAATACCATGGAAATCCCACAGGAATCCAATAGAAATCCCATAGACATATCATAGAACCACCGTAGAAATTCCAAAGAACCCCCATGGAAACGCAATAGAATTACCAAAGAATTCCTCTAGAAATATCAAAGAAATACCATAGAAATCCTTTTTAAATCCCATAGTAATCTCATATAAATATCATAGGAATCCAATAGAAATATTATGAAAACCCCAAAGAAATCCCATATCATCATATATCATAAAAAATGCCAAAGAAACGCCATAGGAATCCAAAGGAAATCCCAGGGACATACTTTTGAAATCCCATAGGAATGCCATAGAACTATATACCATAGACACATCTTTAGACACACCATAGAATATCATAAAAACACCATAGAAATCCCATAAAATTTGCTATGGAATTTCCATAGAAACTTTAAAGAAATCCAATAGAAACACCATAAAAATCAAGGAGAGGATGCCAGGAGAATTGAACTAAGTAAGAGACAAGAGCTATAGCAAAGGAAAGGAGAGAAGGATTTTGGACAAAAAACACTTCAAAACAATGCTGGACACAATAGAGGACCCCCACAACAAACATACCATTGAAGATCAAGGTTGCTCATGGGCTACCTCCTTGAAAAATTCTTTGAGTGCTATTGTTTAATGGAGTTTTAATAAGACCTCCCATATTTTGGGAAATTAGACATTTCGAAGATCCAAAAGAATGGAGATAAGAAAGTAAAAGAGAAAAGTTTTAGAAAAGGAAAGGAAAAGGAAACGAGAACAGGAATTGGGCCAATTTTCACTTCAAAAAAAGCTGGACACAATAGAGGACCACCACAACAAACATGTCAATCTTGCTGATGGGGGACCCCTTTGAAAAAATGTTTGGGTGCTGTTTTTTTTTTATTTTGGGGGGGGGTTGTAAAAAGGCATCCTATAATTATTTTTCTTGTTCAAAAACATGTTGCAAGTATTCATTAAATAATTATTTTTTTTCAATCAAATGAAAAAACTGCAAAAGTGGAAAAAAAACAGTTAACAAATGTTGAACTAAAAAAATGGCATCAGAAAAAAAGTTGCCACAATACCGACCCACCCCAACAAGCACACTGATTCAGAATTATTTTGTCAAAACATGACACAGTACAGAATCACCACACTAATCGGGATACTACACATCACTTTTCACTTTGCATTTTTTCAGTCATTTGCAGTCCCATCAGTGATCATCAGTATCCAGGTTAACCAGCTACTTCGGGAAGGATGGCTGTTTGGGTGACCAGTGCCACGACATCATCCTGCGGCACCTGGACATCTCGCAGCTGCCGCCGGAGGCGCGCCGGAGCTTCGTGGAGCTCGAGGAGTGGAACTCGATGAGCGACGCGCAGCGCCTGGCGCGGTGCCGTGGATGGGGGATGGATGGCCCCAGGGATGGTGGAAAACGTGGGGAAAACATGGGGAAAACATGAAGCATTTTAAGCAACCAGGTTGATAAGTTGGTGGTATATGATAGATTGATAAAAAAAAAATAGATAAGATGATCTCCGCTAACTTTAGAGATCTATTTTCTTGCAACTACTGAATCTTAGCAGCTAACGTTGTGTGTGTTTGTTTTCTTGATGTTTTTTGTTGGCAAAGATCTGGTCTTTCGAGACCTGGGTGAATGGATGATGGTTGAAGGATTGCTGATTCAGTTAAGTTTTTTGATGATGAGATTCTACATGGGAGAAGAAACAATAACTACAAAGGAAACAGATAAATGGATGGACGGGCCTACCTGGGGGAAATCTTGAAAAATCTTGGTTGCAGAGAAAAAAACTTGAACAGAAGCTCAAGTGCTGAAATGGAGACCAGAGATAGAAACTGCAAGAAACTGTCCGGTATTCACGATGCGAGTCCGGTATTCACGATGCGAATCCTATGATGTTGGCCGAGGTGTGATAACGACTGGGCCAAGAAAGTGGCAGCTTCGGTTGCCAGCTTTGATACCTTCCACGCCCTCAGTGCGCAGCATCAGCTCAGTCGTTTCGCGGAAAGCTGTGTAGCCAAGAGTAACGTTCGCGTCAGGGATGGGATGAAGGACACCTTTGGTTGCTGGTTGATGGTGGCTTCAGAGGTTCTTGATTTGTTTTATGTGGGTTTGCCCAAAAATAGGGGATACTCCAATTTATGGCAATTCAGTAAATATGCTGATCAACCGTGTTTTTTTTGTGCACTCAGGTGTATTGCATTTTTTGGTGGGACAAACCCATGGGATGGGGGGCCTCAGCCGCCAAAGAGGGTTTGTTTGGAAACCAAATCCAGAAACTTGATGCTGGTTGATCATCATATTCCGAAGATGATGTGGTTTCAAGCGTTGTTTTTTGCGGTAAAGCCATGTTCTGGACTTGTTCATCCTCTTCACCTCTAGAATTACCATCAATTTGGGTGTAAATTCCCTTCAAACCCTATATATGATCATAGCTTTGAAGCCCAAAAAGATCATGGAATCCCATGGAATCCCATGGAATCCCCCTCTGTTCCCAGGTTGGTTGGAGCGCTGGGAAGTGCCATTGCTGGTGGTTTCTGCAGGCCTTGGGGAGCTGCTCACCTCGATCCTGACAAAATCCGGGGCACAGCTGCCGAGGAAGGCCAAAGTCTTGGCCAACAGCCTGGATGAAGCTGCGGCGACTTGAAAAAATTGAAAAAAATGGCGGAAACTCCCATAGTTTCTTCCCCCCGATGATGTTGAGATATTTTTTGGGGAGGGCAAAAAGGAAAGATATTTATCTATATAATCATGATCATGTGTTTTTTCTACATTTTTTCGGGATGAACATTGTATTTACCAGCTATTTTGGGATGAACACTCGAGTTTGGATTGGTTTAAGGGAACACGATTACTCCATGGTTTCTACGACCCAAATTGATCGGGGGTTCCTGCAGGTTTTCCCTTACATTCGGGAATAGTTTGCTGGTGATTTTGAGTGTCTTTTTGTTCTGTGGTTTTCTTATTTTTTGTCCTATAAGTGGTGCTATAGTGGAAAATCGGCCTTACGCATTTGATCGTTTTTTTCGGTGAATGTGAGGTAGTTTTGATCGGTTTGTGTTCAATGGCAACTCCACATTACTGGGATTTTCCAGGGGGCTTTCTGAGCTGGTGATTTTCCATGATTCTCCCATAGCCCCAAAGTGCTGATTCCCCCCAAAAAATGAAAACAAACACAAAAGAGAAACAATTTAAAAAAAAAACGCTGAAAAAAAAGTTTCCTTTTTTGATTTATGTTTATTTATTTGTTTATGTTTGTGGATGTTTTTTTGTTTGAGTCTTCTGTTGAGTCTCTGTTTTCCAGCTGTTTTTATTTTGGTTCTTTTTGTTTTTCTGATGTTTTTTATTTTTACTGTAGTTTTTTTTGATTCTCTTTTGACTATTGTTTGTTTTTCATTGTTTCTTTGATTTTGGAGTTCTGTGAGGAATTATTTTTCACAAGTTGGGGTTGGGGTTCCCATGTTGGAACGCTTATTCTGTCAATTACAGTTGTCAGACACAACAGCCAGGAAAACGATGCTTCCATAGTACCCCCATCGACCCATTAAACACCAGGGAGGCTTGGTGCTTTATTTTGCTGTTTGTTTGATGAGATTCCTGCCTGGTATTTCCTGGTTCTTCATAGTTTCACCATGTTTCACCGTTGTTTTCCAATGAAAAACAAACCAGCAGTAGCCCCTTGCGACCTGGTTTTGCCATTTGCAAGGTGAGTGTGACCTCCAGCCACAAGGCCCATGCTTTGGAGCTGGTTCCCGACTTCATGTCTGAGGTGACTTCGGAAGGCAGAACTCACGTGCTGCTGCTGGGAGACAAGCCTTCGGATTGCTGTCCATTGCAAGGTCTACCCAAAAGCACGCCAGCTTTGAAGATTGGCTTTTTGGCTGAGCCGACTGAAGAAAAGTTTCAGGAATATTTGACGGTGTTTGATGCCGTTTTGGTGTCAGATGCTACCATGGACTTTGTCAATTGCTTGCTGGACTCACTCAGCAGCACTTCAATGATGTAAAACTGGTGACGTTCGTTCGCTCAAACCGGGCTATGCAGTCACTGCAGTGGAAGAAAACCATGGTGCGCGCGGCAAAATTGAATCCAATGAGCCCTCCTTTGTTGACCTTGACATTACTCGAAGGTACTGAATATAGTGGTTGTCTACCAGTGTTGATGCGCGAATCTTGGTGGCTTTAAAGGAATCGCAAGAGGAATTATTTCGCTTGATCCAACATTTGTTGGACTTTTGCTTCCCCATTTTGCAACCATAAACCCCCATTCATGACTCCATCAGGCGTCAATGTTTGTAGTTGCTGGGGTGGCAAGTTCCCAACCAAACCATTTGCCTTGCTACACCCCACTCTTCAATTTTCAGTTACCAATTGCAATCTGGAAGTGTTCCATAATGTCCCATAGTAAACTCCGGCCTGTTCGGCCTAGCCGCGGTCTTCCACCCAGTTTTGACATGTTTCGGCCTATCAGTTGCATCCCCTCCCATTGTAGCGACTCGCCGCAGGCGACGTGCTAACTCAAGAACTGAAGCAGCTCTCGCCGCGCGAGTTGCTGTTCTCCTACGGCCGAAGTCTGCCCGAAGATTTTCTGGTGACTCTAGAGGCGATTTTCCGGCGATGCCAACTGGGGTTGTGGGGGTGCTATGGGGGCCATGGATCATACCATGAGGAGTCCTGATTTATTGGCGTAGGCCCTTAAAAGCTACCATGGAAATGTGGTATGAACACGTGTCAAACAAATGTTGCCGTAGCTGGTCCGTTTCGGTGGTGGTTTGAATCTATATGAATCTATCAACCCAAAAATCACCTGGGAGCATGGTAAACTCATCTAGAATCCCAAGCCATGAGCCCAACTGCCAGGTAACTACTACTAGCTTATTGAGGTTAACCAACCTAAAACCAAGGAGGAAAGAACTTGAGGTGTCATAGATGTCGTTTTCCCACTGGTTGGTTGATTGATGCACAAAGAGGGGTCAATGCACCCCATGTTTATGATTGGTCAATCACACTGATCCCGGGTTTTCTTCCCTTCCCATCATTGCCGGGGTGGGTTTAGGGGGTTGTTGGATTACTTGCTTTTGGGAACCAATCCGGTAGAGTATATTATCAGACCAGCCCACGTGTCCCCGGAACAAAACCCGCCAGACCAACTAGACCATGGAGGGAGGGAGAGGGAGAGAGAGAGAGAGAGAGCTTAACCATCTTTCTTAGCTGATTATAAACAAAGATCAAACAATATCAAATACAAATTCACATTCACTATAGATACATATACCCTGGGGGTCCAAAGGCTAAACAAAGTTTGTGCTTTACAGAAAAGCACAAACTTTGAACGGTCATGCCCGTCACGGTCCCGTCACGGCGATATCATCTTATCAGTTGTTATCTTATCTAGATGTTTTCTTGGCGCGCTCATCTACGACTATCATCTTAAGCTCTCATCGACAAGTGTCAGACATCTTCACATCAAGGGATTAGGCATGGCATTTTTCAATGAAAAGCAACGATTTCAACCGGTATGTTTGGCAGACTTGTGCTAAAGCATGGCTGGAACTCTCCAGATTTAAACCAACTTTCAATTTCACGTCGAGATAGGCTACTTGCATCAATGGCTTTGACGCCTACACTATTCCACTCAAACACTTTTCTTCTTCAGTTTGTTTGAACCAAACACCACTCCTCGTGCTAATCGGAAGAAATGTAATGAAATTGTGTTTTTTTTGATAGCTATTTTCTCAAGAACATGCCTCTACCAAACGACCCTTACAAGCGGGAAGGTATACGGGCTTGGAACGCTTTATTTCTTCATTTTTTCTGAGCGCAATGGTTGACTTAATCGACCCCAGAAGTAAGTGATTGTCCTAAATAGCTGTAAATCACAAATTAGCAGCGTTTCAAGGGCTCTCAAGCACAGGTTTGAAGGACAAATGGTTAAAACCTGCGCTTTCAAATTTGATAAAAAAAACCACGCGTACCCCTTTTGCCCCTCAGGTGTTTCATGAATTTTTGACCAGTGGACGTAGGTTTGTTCCTGACCGTTTTTGTTTTTCTAAAAGATTTGTTCTAGGACCTGGCTGGTTGAGACAAAAGCGGCAATTTCTTGAGAAGAGACACCCGTGATTTTGCTATTACAAGCTGAATGGAGAAAAAAAAACACAAAACGTTTGCAACGTGCGAGCAGTAGAAATACAAAAAGTCCTCTGAATACTCGAGCAATTTCAGATTGTATCCCTTTCTTGGACTGGTACGCACGGAAGGCAATTGAACCTGTACCAGGAACTACATGTGTCAAACCATTAATTAGGATCATTAGGGTTGATGTAGGGTTGATTTGCGGTCACCACACTAGCTTGAATTGTGAATTTCACTAGTCACCAGCCCTCATTTAAAAAACAACGGTGTACGCTGAAGCCGTTTTCGCAGATGTGGCCCAATCCAGTTTCCTAACTCTTATATCATCAGGGGCAAACTGTGTTCCCACGCGCGATCTCTATTGCTTCTTGTTAGCTTTGGTTCTCAACCAATAAAACTCTCTGTGGCACGATTGCTTACACTTGCCAAGTCAAATGAGTGAACATTTCCCTCTACAAGTACCAATGGAACCCAGCAGCATCCACTCACCTTCCAATGCAGCAATAGCAAAAGCAGTGATTGATGTTATTTCACCTTAAACCTCAAAGTTCGAGAACGCGCGCGCAAGTAGGAAAAAAGTATCAACACGTTGGTGATTTTGTGCAGGTTTAGGACCACGGCAAAGTTTGGTTTTTCCACGGTAAAGTTTAGCTTTTCCACGCCAAAGAATAGCTTTTCCACGGTTTTGCCACGGTCCCGTCACGGTCCCCAATCTGTGCAGATCAACTTGCTTTTGTCCGACCCGTTTCAAAACATGTTTTTTGCATGTGCCTGCATCATCCAGAGTCACAGTAGCCGACGTATTGATATCATACATTAGATAGTAATAATGGGTGGCATGGACCCATACTCGAGAATACTCACCTACCAACGCCGTACAAGTGGTCAGATACAGAAAACGTTTTTTTGACCTTATAAAACATTTTAAACCTTTTTATGGAGTTGAAGGGAACTTTTTCCAATGTATTGGCCTGACGATCTCCACATTGAAGTATTCCGAATCCCCGAAGGATTTTGTTTATTTTTGTTTCCTTTTGCAACTTTGATACATTATGAACAAGTGATTGACTTCGCCAATTGGAACACATGAAATGTGAATCTCTTGGTCTTGTTAGGTATTTTCTCAAGAACATGCCTCTACCAAACGACCCTTACAAGCGGAAAGGTATATGGGCTTGGAACGCTTGAATGGTTGACTTGATCGACCCCAGAAGTAAGTGATTGTCCTAAATAGCTGTAAATCACAAATTAGCAGCGTTTCAACGGCTCTCAAGCACAGGTTTGAAGGACAAATGGTGCTAAAACCATACTTTCCAATTTGATAAAAAGATACGTGTACCCCTTTTGCCCATCAGGTGTTTGATGAACTTTGACCAGTGGACGTAGATTTGTGAAAGACTGGGCGGTGTTTCTCTTGAGGGTTACTTACTGAGGTGTAATTTGCAGCAAGACATCATAAACGCCTGATGCACATCTACGACTGGAATGGTATGGTGTAAAAAACGTTGCTCTTAAAATCTCTTACATGAATCGAGTATGGACAGTTTTGTGAAACATGGGATAACATCAAAAGTGCATGACGGCCTCAAAATGGCCGGAAATGGTATGTTTTTTTTTAACATCAGAAAGACACAGTCAAGACAAAGGTCCATGAAAATTAAGTGCTGAACCGGAACCAGCAATAGTGATCAAACCATCAAAACACAAAAAGGCATGTCATTCATCTAGGAGAATTGTGAAACTGCGCGTGATAATTAGTCTTTAGCTCAAGTTCACTCAACCACTCAGTTCTTCGAACAGGGTAATTGCCACGCGTTGTGAATCTGCTTTCCAATTGAATGCCGCATGTTCCATCATTGTGGGTGCTGAGCGCGGCTCATGTTTTTTCTTTGGCCAGTACTGAATGAGCATTCATAGCAGCAATGTATAGCAATATTAGCAATCATGTAACGACTTGACAGCGCTCAATTTCCCGGGTGTATGAGGCATTGTGAACTGTAGTATGGTTGAGTTTGGGAGGGTTGGAAATGTTGAAACTCGATCTTCATCTCAATAATAAGTGAAATATTTTCAGGGGTCACTGTTGAAATGTGCATGGGTGCGAATAGGCCGGCCTGTGCCCAAGCACCACACGGGAAAAGAATAGCTTTTCACGACAAAGTTCGGTCTTTTCTAAAGGATAAACAAAGTATAGGCTTAGACTCTCAGGGTATAGATACTAGACCTTAACTAGAGCTATAGCCTGTAGCATCCTATAGCTGATTTCTGACTCCGATTCCTCCAAAATCACAACGGTTCCAGGTCAAGGCCTGCATCGAAAACGCGCCGGCAAAGCTTCAGCAGCTGCCTGGCGCCCGGCCTGGGCGGCTGCCAGGAGATCTGCTGCTGCAGGGAACACTGAGGCCCTGGGCGCGATATGCGGAGGAGGATGGCACCAGACTTGATGATTTGAAGGTGGGGGGAGCTGGAAAATCATGGAAGAATCACGGATGTCTATGGATCTCTGGGGGGGTGTAGATCTAATGATCTATGATGATTTATGTACACTATAAAGTTCATTAAATTTCGAAAAACTAAATATGTTTTTTTTGAATGCTTTTGATGGATAAAGTTTGGGTAGTCTTGGGGGTTGGAGATGGCTGCGCACCTAACTGGGTTGTTTTGGAATGTTTTGGATCATTCTGCCCTTGGTTAAAATTTGAGGCTTGAGTTTTTGTTCAACCAAACCAGGCATTGGTTTCTGGTCGCTGATGAAGACTAGCTTTAGCGATGGGAGGAATCTGGCTGATCCTCTCAGCTGGTTGGAAAACATGTTGTTTTAGTCTTTGATTCTTTGATCTTGATTGCATAAGTCTCATAAATATAATATCAGGCTGGTTGGTTATGTCCCGTTATATTCCATAATGAGATTTCCCATGATATCACCAATGAAATCCCATGCAGTGTGATTGCTTGTTGCTTTCACATGCCAGTGTGCCAACTGATTTGATCCTTTAGGCAGTTCTTGCCGTTCCATCTCCAGCTCACATGGCACACTCCAACAGATAAGCATATTTTTTTGGATATGAATTGGCTTATGACCGGCAAATAAGTACAGGTATAAATGATGTATGGCATGACTTAACAAGCATTGTTGAGTGCAAATTACGGGAAAGTCATGGTTTTCCCAGAATATCGAGATACCGTTTAAATGTATTTAGCATTTCCCCTAAGCCAATTGAAATGTGATGTACCGGTTTAATCTTATTTGTATTTGTTCATTTGCATCGAATCGTGGAGGTTGTTCGGTGCAACCGCTCTCATCAGGCGATGATTGACGAGAACTTTCTCTCCGCAGCACTTATCTTGGCAAAGGAGCAGTTAGAAGTAGGAGATTTCGTCAACTTGACAGGCTCGCCCGGTGCTTGTTGAGGATGTGTAACTATGCCGGCTCCTGTCGGCTCCGGTCGGCAATCAGCTTGTGGTTTCTACGTCATTTAAATTAAGGATTCTTTTGCTCAGGAGTCACAGTTTGGCCGCATTTTGCGTGACAATTATATATGTCGATCCATGGCAAGCAGACTTCAGAATGGAGAATCACTCATTTCTCAATGAATTACCTGTATCGAAAACTGCAGCCCTGACAGAACATGCTGGGTCGGCTGCTGGGGCAAACCCTCTGAGAAGCCCCAGCAAAAAAAAAAACACAAAAAAAACGATGTTTCTGAGTTTCTGGTTGCCATGTTTGTAAACTGATGTCTGTCCAAAAGCAAATCCTCACTGACAAGATTCTTCATGATGACTGTGCGGCCCGCCCCACAGTTCCACTGTACTGTTCTCCGCTTTGTCCGCTTTCGCCAAAATATCCCGGTTGCCACTGGAACTATTCTGCATCACTGCAGTCCATGAAATGTCCCTCAGGGGATGAACCGACCCAGCCACCATTTTTTTTTTCTCCCTTCCTCCTGGGACTCCTTGGGGGGCGTGCATTGTTTAATAACACCATTTCCGCATGTTCAATGACAATAGCTGGACGTATAGAACCTAAGCAGGCCCAGGTATTTCTTCCAACTTCGCTTGGACGCTACCATGCCACAGGTCGTCGCAAGCTCCGATGCTTGCAGGAGCTGCTCCGGCTGCTGCGAAGTTGCCGAGGGGAGTTTGCCACATCCTTGAAGGAGTTCTCGGCCGGACGGGCTATTTGTTTTTTCCTTGCTCATTGATTTGCGTTTACTCGCACGCTAATTGATATCACATATGATGATATCACATATACTTATTGTTTCAATTGTTTGCATGCGTTTTATCTATGTTCATTGTGTTGACATTCACTAGAATTTTGCTGAGAAGATTGTCATGTCAGATAATTAACCCGCACAAGGTACAAAGAAGGATAAACATGGGAAACCTTACGTTCACCTCTATAGCTTATTCTAATGATTTTTAAACTTGAAAAAAAGCAAAAAAATGGAAAACACATGGACAATCAAAAAGCAAAACTGAAAAAAACAGGAAGCAAAATAAATGGGAAAAAATGGAAAGTCAAAAAGGAAAAAAAAAAAGGAAAAAAATGGGTGGAAAAAAAAAACAGAAGCAACAAAAAAGGAGAAAAAAAAAGGAAAACAAAAGAAACACCAATGTATATAAAAGGAAAACCCATTTGTTTCCATATGTTCGGAAGGCCGAAGGTTTGTTGAATTTTCTTAGGCTCCACATCTACATGATACACCCCCATTTGCCTTCCGGAAAGAACCTTCCGAACCCATGTTCCAGTCGAAAAAGGGTTCCCTCAGCAAACCTTTGAATCAGTCCATTCCGCAGGAAGATAGCAAGCAACTGGCCTCCGCTCAGGGGTGCCGCCGCCTGGCTTTGCAACACCGGGTGAGCAGCAAGCGGGCACTCAGGCACCCTGCGGGCACTCTGCGGGAAGTGGCCCGGCGTTTTGGGAGGAGTCCTCTTGTTTGCCCAAAACTGGGAAATTGGTTTGGCCATGGGTACCCAATTTTCAGGGAAAGGGCATTATACAAGAATCATCAAACGTCATCCATAAAATGGGGAGCTATTTAGAGTCCGGTTAGCCACCAAAACCGGTGGGTAGATGAAGCAACCACGTTGGGGAGAAAAAGGAAAACTATCGGTGAATACGACGTTAATGTGAAAGGTACATAAATGATGTGGGTGCAACTAGTGATGTGACCGGCCTGGGTCACTTAAAGGGAAGCGAAGCGAGACGAAAGCATCAGTGGACTTTACTGTCGCAGGCTGGTGATTGAGGAGGTGAAAGAGGCAGTTGCCAGGGCAGAAGATGCTTGGGCAGCACCCCAAGATGGGATGGTGAATGACCAAGTTCATAACCGTCATATCCATGTCATACCCATATTCTCCTTGTTCTTGCGGAGTATGAAAGGTATGGACCATGGATGTGTTTGCGTATGTGAGTTGGGATGACCCACAAAGGGCTGGAAGAGTGATGTTGGTTGCGTCCCCATTTGGGGTTAATTTCGGCAATTCTCGGCTCCTTGTATTTGTGTATCAATTATGGAATCGTATAGTTCCATTGATTTCCCCTGCACTTCCACAATATGTTCCGTCTGGGGGGTTCCTAAATTTAGGGTACCCCAAATCATCCCAAATTAGATCATAGCAGCCATAGCATTGAGGGAGAGAGAGATTGAAACCTATGGTTTGGGGATCCACCATTTTAAGAACCCCTCGTTTCTATTTGTGTTACAAGTGTTGACCTGATGCCCTGCTGAGACAGGATGGTGGCGGGCTTCCCTTCGCCTTCTCGGGGCGAAAGTGAGCCCAAGTGACTTTCGGATTTTCGATACTGTTCTCCACAAGAAACGATATAAACACATTGAGAAAGGACGAAGCCTTGGAATGATCACGAATATTATGATGACATATGATGAATGGTGATGATTCATGACCCATAGGATCCATGGTGCTGGTATATATGCTAACATGACTGGGGTATATTGATGGTAAATGTCACCATATATAGCAGCACCATGGATCCTATGGGTGATCCACCTTGCATTTTTTCAAAGAATCTATCGTGAACGTCGTGGCTCCTGCAGCGCTTGCTCGGCACCACACCATCACTGGCGGTCTGAAAAGGTCAGTGACCGCGTTGCTGACCCATTTGCTGTAGGATTCCACAGGATATTCTGGTTGTGGACGACGGGGCTAACCAAAACATAGGGGAAGTATTTTTATCGTTGGATATAATATATACACAATATATATATATATTATACATATATTATAATATATTATAAAATTACTATTATTATAAAATTATTATTATCTATTATATATATACTACATCTATAACTGTGATATATGACAACTGCATACTACTGCTGTGATTTGTCCCAAGTACATACACAGCCTTGCTGATTTACCCAGCTCTCAAGAGCCATTTGGGGCACCGCTTTGAGGTGGCGACTCATCCGCAAAGCACCTCGGTGTTCTTCGAACGCTTCGTCCAGTTGTGTGTCCCATGGCTGGAAAGGTTGGGCGCATCGAGCTGGAGTTGCGGCATTGTTCATGTGTCACCCCAACCAGGTATGGGTGTTCAATCGCTAGTACCCTCTGGTGAACTAACATAGCAATGGAAAATCACCATTTTTAACGGGAAATTCCACTATAAATGGCCATTTTCAATTGCTATGTTAATTCACCAGAGGGTAACCCAAGGCCTCAGACCATGGCGACCCACACGGCCCACAGGCGCGATATGGCGCGATGTTTTTTTTCGGGTGCTTTTGGTAAAGCTCCAAGTCCTGCCGGGTTGCTTACATAGGATTTGATCCCCAAATCCCTAGATCAATTGTGCAACTTTGGCAGGTGCAGCGAGTTCCTAAGACAGGCCCGGACTCCTGCAGCAAGTGTCGTCTTCCGGGGAAGATGTGCCCGGGCCTGGTGCCAGATGTCAAGTCGTTTGCTATTGACTCCCACATATTGCCATTTGGATCCATTTATCATTTGGCATTTGTACCAGGCGGCTTTACAGGAGCATCCCAGGTACTGACCAACCCTGGATAGACAGAGCCTTTACTTCGCTTCTCCCAAGTATACCAGTGTTGCAAGTTCTAAGTTCTAATTAAACATGCTTGGCTGCTTACCGGTTCTGTACACCATCATTTGGCAGTATCACAAGGTTGCTGTCTGTGACTTCCACCTTTAAAAACTAAAAAAACTCATAAAAGCAGTCATACGCAGCAACCATTTTTGGTGGCCTCCAGCAGTTTCCAAATTGTCCCATGTTTGTTCCCTCAAGTTGAGCCAACAGCATCCCCTGGCCGGGTCTGAAACCTGGCCGTCTCAGGTGAAGCTGAGGTGGCTCACAGGAATGCTCAGGGCAAGGCCTTTAGGTCCAACCAGGAGGCTGGGAGATGGAGCTCGAAGCCGCCTTGGAGATCTACATATTATGACATGGTGATATTCATGGTGATATTTATGGTGATATTTATGGTAATTTAATGGTGATTTAATGGTGATTTAATGGTGATATTTATGGTGATTTAATGGTGATTTAATGGTGATATTTATGTTGATATTTATGGCGATTTAATGGTGATATTTATGTTGATATTTATGGTGATTTAATGGTGATTTAATGGTGATTTAATGGTGATATTTATGGTGATTTAATGGTGATTTAATGGTGATATTTATGTTGATATTTATGGTGATTTAATGGTGATTTAATGGTGATATTTATGTTGATATTTATGGTGATTTAATGGTGATATTTATATTGATATTTATGGTGATTTAATGGTGGTTTAATGGATATTAATGACTGGTTGGTGTTTTGGAACAAGAATTTATTTTCCATTTCATATATGGGATAATCCTTCCCATTGACTTTCGTATTTTTCAAGATGGTTGAAACCACCATATTATGTTGTTGTCAAGCTCCATATGTAGATCTCTTTGATGTGAGCTGCCGGGGCCAAAGTGAACTGACCAATCTCTGCTTGCTTGGTCACTCATTCTTCAAATGACTTGATTTGATCTTGAATCTCAAAGGGGTTCAAGAGATACGACCCGCTGCTTGGCTTCGTCGTCATTCTAAGCGCATATTTCCTGCATTTATTTTCAACCAGTGCGGGCCCAGTGATGTTTTGTTTGCCTCAAGGCCGACGTCCTGTTGCTGGAGGACTTTGGAAATCGGAGTAGCCATGTTCAAGATTGAGTTGATGAGTGAGTTACTCTAGGGTGAACAATAGGTAAACAAACATAGATATGCAAAACCAATAGTTTCCCTAGGAAAATGGTCTGGCAACGGCGGGTTTTCCACATCGATGCTAGCTTACAGGGGTAATTTATTGTAATAATATAATATATTGTAATTCATTTGGGCAAGATCATTCACTAAGAATCAAGACAAGATCGTTGGAAGGAGGGGAACATGTCTTCAGCTGCAGGATGCAGCGCAGCTTTCCAGACAATTGGGATGACCAAAAAATGCGGATGATGTCCATGGCACATGCCCGAGCTGGCGAGCTGGAACGTAAAAAGGGGCCATTGTCCAACAGAAAGCGCAATATGATGCAATATGTAGATGTTCACATTGAGATTTTCCCACAAAATGAAGATTCTCCAGCTGAACATTCTATAATTGTTCAATGGTTGTTCATCTAAAATGAAGTGTTCGGACCTGAAATCAGTTTTTGTTCCACTCGATGTGGAAAACCCATCCCTTTTTCCATGGATCAGCCAATTTTGGGATTCCAGGACTTGGCTTCGCGCCCACGTGTGGTGCTGGAGGTGGTGGATGGCGCACCAGCGGCCACGTGGGGAGGCTGAGGGGAACGAAGCCCCTTGTGGTATGCCCAAGGATCAGCCATATAAACGTGGGGCCCCTGTTTACGATACGTACGATAGCTAAATTATTAAGTTGGTTTATAGCTACTGTTTCACTAGGGCACTGGGATTTATATGGATTTATGGTGGATGTAAGGGCCTTACGATGCCTGTGATTGACAAAATATACGTTCACCAAGGACACAGCTTGGCCACGCTTAGAGCATTGGTTTTCTTGTGGCTCTGAGGTTGGTCTTCAGTGGTGAATGTACGCGCTGCCAAGGCAGACGGATGCGACGTTTTGCGCGATGTTGTGACTTCATAGCACATGGATTAACATTTAAAAAAACTATTACACCTTCGATCACGGTTTGGTAAAGAAGGCCATGAAGCGAGAGAAATGGTAGAGAAATGGTTTCAACATGTTTCAAACCAGGGATTTACGACATCTTTAAACAATTTTAAACATCACATTCAGACGCAAGAATCAGATAGTGCTAATTTAATGATGGTGAATGATACGGTCGGACATTTCTCATCATTTCTCTACCGTATTGTCACCCTGCGCCGCTTGGTGAAACCGAGGGAAATTGACCCTCAATGAGATCTTCAGCCAATGGCTACGTCCTGGTGCAGAGGCTCTGGGCCCTTGGAATGATGTGCAAAGTTGAAATCTCATCCATGTCTGGTCGAATTGGGGATGTTTTATGGATTATGGATGATTATGGATGATTACCCTCTGGTAAACTAACATAGCTATTGAACATGGCCATTTAGTTCGTTGATTTACCCATCAAAAATATTCAAAAATGGTGATTTGCCATAGTTATGTAAACGTTTACCAGAGGGTATGGCCCATGATGATCTATTCATCGAAATCCCAAGAATTGGATCGCAAAAAAATGTGGCGACCACAGACATTTCCCGATATGGCTTTGCCAAAAAGAAGCATAGATACTTTACCTCCCAAAATGATCAAAATTTGGTATGTTCATTGGAAGAAAATATAAGAAAATGATGATGACAGATTCAACCAGCATGTTTCTGAGTAAAAAACGGAGGGGGGTACTGAGTTTCCAGGAACCCAACGGCATACAATTCGCCTTTTGCCGTGCGCTTTGCAGAGGAGACGAGTGCGGTGCAATGTCCGACCTGTCGCCATTCGCCCGGACGCCCAATGATCTAATGGATCTAATGGGGATTGGACCGTCATTTATAATATTCATATATATATATTATATATATATTATATTAAAAATATAATTATACAATATAATATATATATATAATATTATATTATATATGCCGGGATTTGATCATCAAACAACAGCCCAGAAATGGGGAACTAGTTGTTAAATGATCGTTGCTTGAATTTGGTTGATGATTATGTTGGAGATTCGAATCTCAACATATTGGTGATTCTTCTCATCCATTGGTTATGGGGAATCTCTTGGTTTGACTCTCGGGATAATCATTGGTGTCGCCTGTTTCGCGCATTCAAATATGTTCCCTCCCTGCAACTGAATGATTACACTAACTCACTCACATATATATATATATAGTCATATGATGTATGTTAATTAATATACTTTATAAATATTTATATATATAAGTATATATATATATATTACTTAATTAGTTACATGTTTGTGTGCGCATATTTGCAGGCTGAAAGCACTAGCTGCGTACGGCTTCAAATTATCACCCCCCCGAACAATACAATTTACCATCAATTTGTATGCGTAGTGGTATCCCATGTTTGAGCCATACCTATTTAGCCACCCTCCAGTAGATGGATATACTGATGGAAGCTCCAACGATTTGTATATAGATCTGTTTCCGAACATTTCCGAACGGGAAACAATGGTTGTTTTCCTTGTCTAGGTGCATTTACTGGAGGGTAGATCAATATTGCCATGGTTTGATGCCACTGCCACTGCGCCAGGGGCACTGTCCACCTGCACATCAATGTGGCCCATGGCTCAGTTTTTTTCCAACGGGGCGATGAATTTTGGCGATACCTGCTGACGCCTTTGAACTTTATACACCGATAAGAATACGTATGAACAGCGATGTGCGTAAGAATGATCATGGTGATAGTAGTCAAAGTGATACTAATAATTAAATATAATTAATATAAAAAGGAAGCACAGATTGATAAAGGATAAAGGTAACACATACGCACATGTACATATATAGGCATATATTATTAACGCGCAGTGTCTATGGTGAAAAAACAACCGCTGCTCCGCCCCCTTTTCCCGAGGCGAGTCGCAGTCCCGTGGAGATTGACTTGTTGCACCCAAAGAGGCCAATGGTCAGTAGGAAAGGCCCTGTGAATATGGGTCAAAGGAATTCAAAGGATGTCTACAAGGTGGTGCCGAATAGTTAGCCAAGCTGATTTACATATATATATAATAATGATACAAATATAGGGTTTATGACGGATGTAGTTAATGGAGCTTATATCCCAACGCGTAACTGAAGGGCACCACAAGTTCAAGCAGATCAGTTATATTTGGATTTGAGGATTTCTGAGTAGGGCAATCTGTTCATAAAATCTTTGAGCAGATTTGACCCGAGAGAACAGATTGGATGGCATGTGGTCTTTTTGTTTTCCCTCTAGTTCATCATGGTCATCATCCCAGCCATGATTTGATCAGCAAGGCTGATGGCCCCGAGAATTTCCACTAATTTCCCAGAAACAAATCACATGTATCACTATTTATTCCTAAGTTTTTCACTATATATAACACTATTTTTTTTTCCCCATAAATTCCCTTTATGTCTACAACTTCCCCATAAAATCCACTAATGTCCCTCTAAAACCCACCAAATTCCATACAAAACTATGAGATCCATTCATTTCCTTTTCAAAAAATGCACTAAGTCCGATGAAAGTCAGGCTCTGGCCTCGGCACGCAGGTTGGCACTGGCACTTCGTGGGCACCTGGATGCGCGAGGAGGAGTGGTTTTTGCGGATTCTATGGCTCGAGAAAATCCTAGACAGCATCTAAAAGCCTAGAAAAATCCAAACTTTTGGATTTCACCCTGGCTGGTTGATTTTACATGTTTTTGTGCCATGAGCGTGCCATTTTACCATGGATTTTATACATTTTTATACCATATGTCTAACCACCCAAATGGAATTGAACTAGAACTGTAGCAGATTGTTGGCCAATTGGGATTTGATCAACAAAACGGCGACAGCACGTGGCAGTGATTGGATCCGTGTTTTTTTTGGATGATCCGCGCCTGGCTGCGTGTGGAGAAATCAGCGATAGGATCTCCTCCAGGTTGAGCCAACAAAAAAAAACTCAAACCATGTAGTATCCTCCGGTAGTCATAATATGCGTGGCTGGAAAATCACCTATAAATGCAGGTTTAAAATATTTTAAAATCATCTATACATGGTGATCCATTGCCATGTTTGATTGGAGGGTATCATTCCCACTTGTCAAGCTTGGCGGAAGAGCCATAGGAAAACCCATGGAAAACTAGAATGCCTTCCTTTCACGGTCAAGAGCTGCGGGATTTTGTCGGGCTCAAACTTCAAAGGCACTTGCCAGAACAAGAGTCTCGACCCGGATGATTAGCCCACATTGGCATAAGTAATCACATATTCAGAAACAAAACACGCTAAAACATCACAAATAGACCAATAATTAGTCTCATCACTCTTCTTTCGAAATGGGCCAGGCTACCCTCAGCCTTTGGAACCCCAACATGAATAGATCCAAGACATTTCACAAGGGTTGCGATTGGAGGTATGTTATGCTTTCAATATGTTCCTTGATAGCCCCTTGACTTGAAAGTGATCGGAAATTTAGTTAATTCACCAAATCCCCAGTCGTTTCATATCCCCAATGCCAATATTTGGCATGGTCAAAGCATGGATTAAAGGGAATTTCCATCCCCCAATGAATCAGGGTTAACGTACCCATCGCAAGGAATCCCATTCATGATGGTGGGATGACCAGGGACCCCATATCATGTAGCTTGACAATGGCACATACAACAAACATGATACCCCTTGCCAATCACCTTGGCTTGAAAAAAAACTTCGTTAACAGATGTGTCTCCCATTAACACTCCTTCACATCCTTCACAGCAGGGTATTTCCTGCTGCCATGTTACCGCAGGCCGTGGAAAGGATCCCCTGGGCCCAGCATGGCTTTCAGGCACGGGTTGAGGTCCCATTGATCTACAAGTGGAATGGGCACGTCTGGGCACACTTACATTCAGCATACATTCAGCATACTTATGTATTCATATAATTTTACATGTGTATATACGTATTTATATATATATATAATTTATATACTTATTAATTATAAACTATAATTTAATGTATATGTATATAGTCATGTATATACATATTTACCATTATATATTATACATATTTCTGTAGCATTACTTTTGTATTTATATATATATACACCTTGGTAGATGTGTACGCCTAGATGGGTAGTTTATTGTCCTTGGACTCCACTGATTTGTCACGACTCTCCCTTTGGGGTGCTGAGCACTGCCAGCCTCTTTCCAGGTGCCAGGTTGGTAGCCGTTCAACAGACACCTTGTTTTGCGCATCATCTTCGCCCCAAAAGGTTAAATCTAAGACATGAGACATGCCAAATCACAAGTCTCACATCACAAAGTCATGTATCCAGATGGTTCCAGATATTTCTGAACCTGGTCTCCCTGATGGAAATCAGCATATCAACTAACCTCCACCCCTCCGTCCTCAGCTCAAGGCTTGGCTTCGGCACCAACCCTTTGGACCAATCTCGTGTGCCCCGCCTTGAAAGTGCTGAAAACTGGAGGCATCTGCAGAAAATACCATTGCGAAGTTGTATGAAACTGTATGACCTGCACGATGCTGAGGTGGTACTTCCGAAGTTCCAATCTCAGCACGGGGTAGCATGATTCGGGGAAGAAGTTGAAGCAAATCGAGGTGATCGGCATCACTGGTTTCAGAGCGTTGCTTTTGGATCATCAAATTTCGCCTGGAGGTGGCAGAAAGCCCATAGATTTCCTCCGATGATCATTCCATGGTCCACTTAGACAGCATAGGGCCTCGATGTGCCTGAATGTGCCTGGCACCAATGACATCCAATGGCCCAACACCCAACTAGGATGACCAGCGAGGTCCTTTGTTTCAAAACATCCATTTGTCAAGTGAAACATAGCACATGGCTTTTAAGACAATTCTTTTTCATGAGCTCAAAACCTTGTAGAAACCAAGAAATGTCATGAGGTAAAACGGTAAAACCATGTATAAATCAGACATGTAATTCTGGTTGATTTGCCATCTCTGGTCAAAAATCAAAGATCTCCGGCCATCGCCAAAGAGGCCATTCATTCTTTACCGAGCACTTGCTAACAGCGCTTGGGCCGGAGAAGGCCAGGGGCGATCAACGATGATCAACGGGGGCAAGACTCACGAATAAATATTCATTTTGCATCATTGTGCTATGATTTTGGAGGAATCTGAATGATCTGAATGAAGCCATGAGTTTCATAAGCATGTTTCAATGTGTTCCATGATGTTCCATGATGTTCCATGATGTTCCATGTGTTTGTGCCATGGCTTTTTCCAATGTTTTCCAGGTGTTTTGCTGCCATCAAATTTGGGAGGTTCCTTCAAATTCTTACTTTCTTACCTGAACCCGATGTTTTTCAAAAAAAATGCATGACCAGTCAGATTTTGGATGTTGATTCAAAGGTGATGTTATTTCTGGTTGGTGGTTCGGAACATGTTTTTTATTTTCCATATATGGGATGTCATCCTTCCCATTGACGAACTCATATATTTTTCAAGATGGGTAAAACATGGTAAAACCACCAACCAGATTTTTACTGGCGAGCATACCCTCTGGTAATTTAACGTAGCTATTGAAAATGGCCATTTATGGTGGATTTTCCCATTGAAAATGGTGATTTTCCATAGTTATGTAAACGTTTACCAGAGGGTATAGGTTCCATGAGATGTTCCAGAAAACCTCGAACCGCTGGCAGGTTCAGAACCTGGCGGTTGAGAAGATCGTGGCAAGGGACCCAGGACCACGGCCTACTGGTCTCGTGTGACCCTCTGGTTGTTGAACGTAGGGAACTGGCAAATCAGCGTTTAACAAAACAACTATAAAGCACTAAATTCATCATAAATCAAATGGATAATGTTCCATAGTGTCCATAGCTAAGCTCAATAGCCAGAGGGTCTGTATATATATATATATATTATATGATATATAAGTCTTATGTTTATCATGTTTTATCATATTATATTATATCTTCATTCAATGTTAGTAATACAATAGGATCTACCATCCCCAGTCGATTACCATAGATGGCTGGGATAGACGTGTTCATCAATCCATTGGGATTTGGGACTTGTCAAATCCTGCTCCTCGTGTTCATCCAGTCAGCCATCATAACAGGCACCTCTGGGGTGACAGGATGGACATAATATGTGTGTAGATATGTATATATATATATATGTATAAATATATATATATATTATACACCCTTTGGTTATTTAACATAGCGAACTGGAAAATGAGCCATAGAACAAAATAGATGATGTACCTATTAAAATGGTGATGTTCCATGGCTATGTTAAATAACCTAAGGGCAATATCTGTATACAGTAGATATATCATGTATGTACGGATAACGTAACAAGTGGACACTTGTGCTTGGGCCTGAAGGGGCGTAACTTTGAATTTCATGGGATTTCCTGGGTTCATGAATGGAAGGCATCATGATACTGAACCCAAAGAGACACTGATAGAGAAGAAGTGACACATGGCCGGGGCTTCTCCGTCTCCAGATCTAGATACTTTGCCGGGCAGAATGAGATCTAAAGTATCTTGTAGATGTCGGAAAGACGAATTGGAATTTCTAGATCTTGGAAGCTCGCAAGATTAGCCTGGAGCGGTTCACAACGTCCTGATCCTGTGAATTGTGAAAGCCTTTGCGGAAAGTGTTGGATCTATGCGAATCATGTTGGATCATGGAGGCTATTGTGCTGAATTGAGATTGCGCATGGCATGACCCAAAGGTAACATGTCACATCCGCTTGACAACACCTCAATGTCCGTTTTATGGCTCCAAGGTTTTTTGTTTTGAAGCCACTCGCTACCTGTACTTATATGATATTCTGGATATTCTCATAAAATTTGCCTTGCACAGCCTTGACAGAGCCTGTCACGATGATTCGCGTGTTTTGTTTGCTTGGCATCATGTGGGCGACTCTGTGTCGATGTGACTCTAAAGTGGTCCAGAATGGCGCTGTTGCCGGCGACCATTGCTACGACGAGACCGGTGAAAGCGGCCGTGCATGACCCTCCCAGTCACCGCGAGCGGCGCCTCAATCGGCGCGAGCGGCGAAGGAAGAGGCTCTTTCCACAAGAGACCACCAGCACCACAGCCACAGCCATGATGTCCACCAGCAAGAGGAGTAGCACGGCATCTACAACCACCATTGCAGCAACCACGATGCAGACCACCGGCTACAACTACCACATCTACCTGTGTCTTGGTCCGGGACACCAGCCTAACTTTTGCGAATCCGCCTGATGGCGGTATATGGCGGTGATACCAGGATTGTGCCGCCCGCAGATGGGGACATTACCCGTTTCGAAGGTGCCTGGTCTCAAGAACAAATCTCTGGTGATGTGCAGGTGGAGATCAAGAGTTCCAATGTTGCATCGCTTCCTACTCTTGTGACATGGAGTTGCTTAAGGTGATGTTCAATTTTCTCATGAACTAGTTTTAATCCGCAGTTTGAGGACTCTGCTGGGGGTATGTTTCGTTTCTTTCGCGGTCTCCTTGAACAAATCTAAGGGGACTTTCTCTCAGACAGTCGTCCATGCAGTACGACATAGTACGACCTGCACCAGCGCTTTCGATGGTGACCAAGTTCAAGGAAACTGGAACCTCATTCTTCTGGTAGAACATGGAGTAATTTGATGTAATTTGTCTAAAAGGAGCTGTGATTCGGTTCAGGACTGTAGACTGTGTTGATGGTTGATGTACCGGGGGGGATGAAGTAGATGAACTGTGATGAACTATATAGCTACATGGGCAAGTGGGTAAATGCCCACCAGACTATACCTCCAAATGCAGGAAAAATTGCAGCGTGTCACAACATGCCAGCGCCGCCGGGTTTGCTGACTGGTTTTATTGATACTGATGATTGATGTTCACTGCTTGTATACTCAATCAAGTTTGGTGTCCTGCATGAGGAATCACCACAGCCAGAAACGATTGTCATTTATTGCCTTTCATTGGAGGTGATGCGACCATCAATAAGGTACTGTCACTTTAAAATGAAGGACCCTCGCCGCAAAAGTGAAAAAGGGCAACACATGGCAACGCGTGGCAACACAATCAAACGAGTGAGTAGGCATTCAGGTACTTGCAGATGATTATGCACCCCTAATGCAGTATCCCCAGAATAAACTCCATGTTTTGGGCATTGTCTGGCTTGACAATAACCCCCAACTGGCAAAATGATGTACCCTTTGGTGCTCAAAGATGGCTTGCTGGAAAATCGCCAATTGACAGATTTTGTTCCAATCAAAGCCTTCATTTAGTTCAGGGATTTCCCAACTAACCATGTTGGATCCAGGGTAAATTTGGTGATGCTCCATGTAGTTGGGCCATGTTTTAGCAGGCCCTGCCAGGCTTCGCTTCACTTTCCACCATCCAGGATGGTTTTCGGAACTTCTGATGGTGGGATGACCAGATTTTGGGGAAGACCATTCCGCCTGGTGGTGGATCATCATTTTCACCATGGTGAAACCACCAACCAGACATCCACTGCTGTCATCCCATTTGTGGAGAAGTTGTGTTCAAGTCCGGTGGTTCTATGTCAGTATATGTCCCATGTTTCGATCCAGCTTGCCGTGCGGAGGTCTGAAGGCATACAACAATTAAAGCATCGCATCATCATTCAGCACCCCTGTTTTCATCATATCATTGTAGTGACACCTTCAGTGCCTGGGCCTAAATCGTGGCCATGGACGAAAATCAACGCCTCAGCAGTCGTGTGATGCTACTTCCTGGTTGGAGCATGGGGCCGTTAGAGGTGCTAACGGCCTATTTTTCCACCACGGAGTTCATCCAGCCGTCCTTTCCGACACCACCCATTGGGAAACCTGGCTTCTGGATGCTTCGGGCACGTTCTTTTATAGTGTTTAATTACGCAAATGTATGAACATGTTCTTTCGTTTGAAACGGAATCTTCTGTTACATCCTCTCACATGGTGAGGAATCTGGAATCTGGAAAGTTCGAACGTGTTTTGTTCCTTTCAAATTTCCCAATGGAATTTGGAGCATTGAAGGATCGGTTGGTGCTGGAATCCCTTCTGCTTTTGCTTGGTGTTCGTTATTGTTGCTTCAAGCACTTTACTTTTTGCTGCCGACGCTTTCTTCCCCATCGAAGAGCAGGGGCTGTGGGGAGTACGTTTTGCTGCTGCGCTGCTTGCGATGATCGGGATTCGTTTATGCGTCGCTGGCGTGGTGTGGTTCTCCATGAAGGATGCCGGATGATGCCGGGATCTTGAAACAGACAACTTTGATGTTAAGAATGGAGGCCTATTTTTTTTTGGATTTTTTTTCTTTTACGTTTTTGGATTTTTTTTTGGGTTTCTTGTTTTATCTTGCTTTCTCCTTTTTTTTTTGCTTTTTTGCTTTTGTGCTTTTTTGTTTGTGTTTTTTTTGTTTTTTTTTGCTTGTTTGCTTTTTTTGCTTTTTTGCTTTTTTGCGTTTTTGTTTTTTTTACTTTTTTTTGCTTTTTTGCTTGTTTGCTTTTTTGCTTTTTGCTTTTTTTGATTTTTTGCGTTTTTGCTTTTTTGCTTGTTTGCTTTTTGTTTTTTTGCTTTTTGTTATTTTTGCCTTTTTTGCTTTTTTGCTTTTTGCTTGTTTGCTTTTGGCTTTTGGCTTGCTTTCCATGGCTTTTGGTGGTATTTTTAGTATGTCAAACTTGCACATTTTTCAATACACTAGTTTGAATCGACTATATTCATATATATATATATTTATGTTTAAATTAAAATCATAATATATATATATATATATTTACATATATATATATGTATATGTATATATATATGTATATATATATATGCATTTATATACACACTTGTATATTTATATCTAGATATATTTATATTATTTATATTTTCTACTTATATATTTATATATATATACATATTATTACTATTTATGTTCAAATTCAAATATATATATATATTTATATATATATATATTTACATATATATATTTACATATACATATATATATACATATATATATATTACATATATATATATATTTACATATATATTTACATATATATATTTACATATATATATATATACATATATATATGTATATATATTTATGCATGTATATATACACTTAAATATATATTATATTGATATATTTATATTTACATATTCATATTGATATTTTATATATTTATATTTATATTTATATTTATTTTTATATATTTATATTTACATATAAATATATATTTATGTACCTATATATATATACATTCATATGTATATACATATAAATCATATAAATGTATATATATATAAAGAAGTATGTATCTATAAGTATATGTACTGTATTCCACATGTTTCCAGGGTGCATGTCGTGTAGTCTATACACCTTGAGTATCACATTCAACCCAGCACCTTGCATGTAAAATAGGTGTTTCCAATCTGCTTTGGGGGGGAGGCGCTGCGCCCTCCCCCCAATCCCCCCCCTCCCGCTTTTTTTAAATTATTTAAATTCAAACTTGCACACTTTTCAATACACTTGTTTGATTCGACTATATTAATATTTTGTTAAAAATTATATATGTATATATATCTAGACATATTTATATATATATATATAGACACACGTATACACACATATATATATGTATATGTATATGTATATATTTGCATTTATGTATACACTTATATTTATATATATATATTAATGTACTTATATAAATGTATATATATATACATACATATTAATATGTATATACATATCAATGTATATATATTTATATAATTTTATAACTATAAGTATATATATATATATATTTTAAATACACATACATATTTACTTATAGATATACAGACGTATACATATATATATATATGACATATTTGTGGTTGTTTTTATACACAACTTTGATCCCAACATAAACAACAAATAATCATGTAATTATACCTAATTACATGTTGTATCCCTAAACCCTAAACCACACCCTGCATATACATACATACATGCATGCATGCATACATACCTACCTACCTACCTACGTACATACATACATACATACATACACACATACATATATATATATATAGATTGATTGATTGAAGAAAACCAAAGAAACCTTGCAGAAAACGATGGAAAATTGAAGAAAACCATGGAACAATTGAAGAACACTATGGAAAAATTGAAGAAAACCATGGAAAACTTGCAGAAAACCATTGGAAAACCATGGAAAAATTGAAGAAAACCCGGGAAAAATTGAAGAAACCAATGGAAAAATTGAAGAACACCATGGAAAACTTGCAGAAAACAATGGAAAATTTAAGAAAACCATGGAAAATTGAAGAAAACCATGGAACAATTGAAGAAAACTATGGAAACATTGAAGAAAACCATGGAAAAATTGAAGAAAACCATGGAAAAAATGAAGAGGCACGAACCCCAAAAAAAAATCCAAAACTGTAAAAAAAAAATGCCAAAAACAATTCTGCACCCGTTAAGAATTGTTAAGATGAAGAAAAATGAATGTGATCAAGTTGCCTCAAGTTGCGGTAGCTTGGTAGATCCCTCATCAAACCCAGTTCTCTAGTTTTACATAGTTTTACAAACACAGTTTTACACTGAGACTATTCTTCCAGCAGGACGGGGCCAGACGAATCGGCCATGCCATTGAGTTGGAAGCACCACAGGTGCTGGTGGCATTTTCCTGGGGTGCGGCTCTGGCCATGCACTTGCTGGCAGTGCCACGGCAGATTTAGTATGATTTAATGTGGTTTAAACATGTTAATAATAATAATATTAGATAATATTAGTAATAAGAAGAAGAATAATAACAAATAATAATAGTAATAGGAAAACAATCCCGCAAATTACCATAAATGGATGGTATAAACCATAAACATATGGGGTGGTTTATTATTGGTTTACCAACATTAACGATACTTAACATTGTTGAATTAAGTTTAACACTGTATATGTAGTCAGTGTTTTATGTTAGAAACTGCCGCCCCGGCACAGCCGGGCACTAGTTTATAGATATTTGATATATGATATAAATAAAATGAACTCATTGAAGCCAAAAACTAACTCATTGACTGACCGGTAGAGAGTATGACATGATCCGCTCATTTTGCGATGAAGTTTCAAATTTGGTGCTGAAAGCCAATTACCAGGAATGCTTTGTGCGCTGAGAGTGCATCCAGTTTGAAGCCATCGCAGAACATTGACTAGGGAGAATCCCGAGAATCAGGCAACCACTGGTAAACGTGGCAGTGGCAATTTCGGGAGTAGTCCATTTAGATGGGTTTTCCCAGTAAACATTGGGGATTCCATTTGCCAGCGACGCATGGCGGCCATGACCATCCGCCCAGGACAAGGTGTGGCAGGGCCCTACAATTCTCCTTTGCCCCACCTATAAAGCCATGGCTCGCGTTGGCTGCCAGTCCTTCAAGATGTTTGAGTTTCCTCCAAACGTGCAGCCTGACATAGTTTGATGCTGGTCTGCTGGTGGCTGCCTCCTATTGAAAGATCCAACGGCAGTACCCGTCCATAATTTGCCTCGTGTTCAAGGGATTAATATCTACCAAAGATACGAATTACATGGGATGGTGTTCCAAGTGTAAGAGGTACTGTAGGTACATAAACCCTGTTGGTATATTGTTGTGGTTTTATTCACTCTTCTCTCCGTTGAGGCACGTCTTTCACGCGCTGAGTGATATGTACTGCCCGCAGTCGCAAGCAGAAGAACTGGAACGGGCTGGTTGCATGGTCCACCGTTGTGAGGACTCGAGGGCCATGAATCTTGCAGTTGGCAACCCTGTTCCTTTGGGATAGTGACACCACACAACATAAAACAACTTCCCTCCACCAAATGAAGAGACCCTGGAAATAGACAGCTCTTCGCCGACTCTTCGCGTAAAGTACTTTTCCACCCTAAAATTTGGCATATATTTGGTATATATTTGGTATTTGAGGGAGTGTAATACCTACAAAGAAACTTTTTCTCAATCGTTTGGATTTTGAAACCTTGGGTTTGTGAGATAAGTTGACCCGGGTGCTCGCAGATAAATCACGCCACTGATTTCATCTTGAATGTCTCACTCTCTGAATTCAAATGAGACTAGAAATCATGGATGATGATGATGATGATGATGATGATGATGGCCTGATGATGATGATGATGATGATGAGGATGATGAGGATGATGAGGATGAAGATGAGGATGAAGATGAGGATGATGATGCTGCTGATGAATCACCATCATCATCATCATCATCATCATCATCATCATCATCATCCTCATCCTCATCATCATCATCATCATCATGATCATGATACTGTTGCAAAGAGAGCATGACTCATGCATTGCCCCTTGGCAGGACGATCATCTCCTCATGTCCCGCAGCAGCCTGGTTGCCATTGGCCGTTGCCTGCGCGATTTCTTAGACACGTGACGATGCCTCAAGCAGCTCAAGAGCTTTGAAGGTGGCGATTGGGCAAGATGACAAGAACATGTAACATGCCAAATCGGATGCAGAAACACACTGACCTTCTCAATCCTGTTGCTGTTGGACAAGAACTGCGAGCATGTGATAGTGGGAAGATGGAGTGTGAAAACCCAGGGTCCCTGACGTCGGTCTCTGAACTCTTGCAGTTTCCCCGGTGCGCCATGGTGAGACACCGAGACGACCAGACTTCCAAGCAGTTCACTAGAGTGCAAAGACGGTGATGTCCAAATGAGCACATCAAAAATTCCATGTTGGCCGGGAAAATTGCTGCCTGTGAGCCCCCTTTGCTTTTGGACAGACAAAAGTGTAGTTAAGCTGTTTGAGTGTTTGAGGTACGCTTTTGTGTCTCTGGCGGCCTATGTTTGAGCTTTGGATTTGTATTTGCATCCTTAGTGGACATGACATAGTACCGGGGTAGCAAATATACCGACAGGAACCATGAAATTGGCATAATATATCATAAAATAAAATGATGCACAATGATGTGAATATGTTTACGCATATGCTCATGTGCATGTAGTATCATGTAGTATCACATGAATTGTTCATTTCTATTCTTTACATGGCGTTTCTCTAAGCCCAGCAGGTGCAGATTCTGTTGCCATGAGCCAGTCCAAGGTGACTCTGGAGGGCCGAGAGAGAAGGGCTGCCAGCATGGTTTGGGGCTTGGTGATGGTCCAGCGACCGGGGAATTCAACACACGGTGTGTTGTGAAATGGGTGGAGACCCAAAAATAGCAATCTTAATTGGGCAAAATCATTGCACGATACAAGGCTCATTACTTGTAGTACCACAAGCTCAGACAAACCCACGCTTTGAATCTTTAGAATCTTGTTGTCTTGTCTAATGTTGAAATCAGAGACCCCTTGGTAGTTTCGCCTCCCCAGTAGAACCCTCTGAAACTCTGGTTTAGGGTCAATATGATGTATAATGTATGCATACAAATCCCATCAATTCCCATCATATTAATTATAGTTACTTGTATCCTGGATTGATAGGATGGTTAAACCATAATAAACCATGTGGAGGTATCTATTCACAACGGGGTAACCCCAAATCATCATCCATTTTAATCTTCCAAGGATGCCCCTGGTACTGGCGAAGTCGTGGCTTCTTTCGCATCGGTGACCCCTTTGTGAGTCGCTACAAAGAATCGAAGTCCCCGAGCCACGCCCAGGTAGATCAGTTCATTTCTTATCAATAATTCAGAGATTCAAACCTCTATAAGTCTATAACAAGACCTACTGCAAATAAAAAACATGATTTTAAAAAGGATTTCCTAGCATTTTCTTGCCAAAAAATTGATTCATCCATATACATCCTTGTTTCGAAACAATGCATTAACCAGCATTTGGATCATGTCCACACCCGGAACGTGGCACCAGGTACACAGCCGAAACCAGAGCATGGGCGGCACCTCAATTTGCACGGCCGAGGTGTGGATCAAAGCCGGAAATCAAAGATGGCAATGATGGGAGATATATGTTTTCATTAATTATGTTTTATTGTTCCATTTTTTAACGGAAAAAAAACGCACACGTGATATAAAATCATATAACATCCACAAATGGTGGACGTTCCAAATCCAATTTGCTGCATTTTTTTTAAACCAGCGCCAGGTTGGATTGCACGGGTACTCATTAACCTTGCTGAAATGGTGCAAATCAGAATGATCATGTTGATCAGGACCGTGATGTCGGGATCATTGTAGACACACTGGTCATGTTCGTTGTCAGTCATGAGCAAATGCAGAACAATTATTGCCAACATCATTTTTGCACTCCTCCTTCTCCTCATCCTCCTCCTCGACCCAGTCATCATCATCATCAGCAGCATCATCAGCAGCATCATCAGCATCATCAGGCACAACAGTCGTGACACCAACGCGCTGAATCTGAACTGTTCGTCACTGTACCGGTCCGTGTCAGGTCTGGGACGATGTCGAGTTGGACCTGCCCATGGAATCTCCGCAGTTGGCCGCTGCCACTGCGATCAGTTGCGCCAGTACATTGGTACAACGTCGCATCAGTCGATCCTCTCTAGGCGCGGAGGGGCTCGGAGGTTGGCTTTGGAAATCCAGCAATGATGTATATAGATGTATATAGACCTGTGGTGCAAAGTGTCCTGGTAGGCAAAGCAAAAATGTGCAGAGCATTAGATACATTATATGTCCTATGTCCATGTCATATGAGTTCGACGTGAAATTTGGATGCGAGACCGGGGCTCAGGTGGAGATGGCTTCAGCGACTCACGCAGGCGCTTCGGCTGTAACTTGATCCGTTCGGCTCGGAGACGGGGATCGGGGATCCCCTGTGAGTTTCCTATGAAACAGCTGTCAGTTTTTTATTTTTTTGTCCCTGAAATTTGGATGTCAGTTGCTCTCATTTGGACATGTGATCATTTCAGGCATTGTTTTGACCAGCTTTCATCTTTCTCCGTCTCTGGGGATCTATTCAAAGGGGTACTAATCAGAGCTTCTGTTGCTAAATTATTTTAATTTATTTTTTTTACAATATTTAAAATTGGTGGAAATTTGAAATGGGCCAAAAATATGAACACTTTATTTTTGTTATGAAAGGGTGTGGGACGATGTCGTTGAGCAGAAGGGTACCCTTCCCCCTTCTAAAAGTTGTATCGGAAGCAAAAAATCGGCCCAAACATGCCCAAACAAATTATGAAAGAATTATATGTTTATTTATTTTTAAATTAACATTTATATGACCAATATTTTCCATTTTGGGCTACCCCGGAGCATTTTGTTGCTTGTTCGTCGCCAAAATACCTCTGACCTGTGCAAAGCTGAATAGCATCCCTTTGAATAGGGCCAGGGGGCCTTTGAATGATTTCATGCCGGCTTTGCGGATGGTGGTTGTGGTGATGATGTCAGTGTTGGCGAAGTGTTTCCATTTTGGGAAAAGGATGGAAAAGGTCAAACTTGGAGACCCTGAAGCTCATGCCCGTCATTGAATTGTGTTGTTGGTGATAAATCCATGTTTATATTGTTTGATTCGACGCTTATGTTGGTCAATTTTGCAGGTGTGTTATTCTTTGGCACTCACACCCGCTTCGGTGTCTTGTAGTCAGGGGTTTCTTCATGTCTTCCGCTGACGTCGGGCCTTCCAGAGTAGTTATTTCTCCTGTGCATGAAATTCACCCCAGAAGACCATTGCGGGACACTCCAGCAACCCAGCCCCAACCCAGCGAACATGTTACCCACACAGCAAAAGTATTTCAGCCGTGATTTGACATTATCGATCGATTTGTATCCCATAACAGGCCAGAACAATCCATATTTACAACATTCAATAATGACATGTCATGACTCTTCACCTCTGATTTTCGCTAATATTCTCGCATGTTTCCTCCCAAAATCTCCAAAATCAGGTACCCAAACATCCAAACTTCATCCAAACTTCCAAAGATCTCCGGGGACCGCCTCGCTTCCCACCCCAAGCGGGGCCCTAAACCCTGTGGCGGGGCTCGCCATGACGGATGGCCACAAGTTGGAGCTTTGGCTCGACTGTCGAAGCGGTTCCGATGGGCTCCTTGGATTTCCTTGAAGCGGGACGTTTGAAACCACCCAGCAACATATGCATGATATAATATGTTGACATATGTTGATATAATAACATAACAATATATATATATATATATATATACATATTCACATATATATATATATATATATGTGTGTGTATGTTATAATTGTTATATACATGTTTATACACTGTATAATGTATATTTGTATGCGTATATAAAGAAATGTGTGTGTGTGTGTCATATGATGATAGATGGATATATATATATATATACATATGGTACATCAAAATATAAATAATGTAATGTGCACACACGCAATTATAGATACATGCATGGATAGCCATAGGTAGATAGACAGATAGATAGGTAGAGAAGGAGATAGATAGATAGATAGATAGATAGATAGATAGAGAGAGAGAGAGATAGATAGATAGATAGATAGATACAGCACCCGGCAGAATTATGGAAAAAAAACGTTTCAATTTACAGGCGTTGCCTGTCTATGATCGAAAAGTTACGAACCTTTTTTTTTCCATAATTATTGTTTCCATAATTGTTTTTTTGTTCCATAATTCTGTCGGTGACTGTACGTCCATCGATTCGCAATTTGAATGCATTTTAAGGGGGAATATTGAATTATAGAAATAATATGTGTCTAAAGATCTGGTATATGCCCCTAAGTCTTCCATTGATATACATAATATCATGTGATGTTCGCAATTTGAATGCATTTTAAGGGGGAATATTGAATTATAGAAAATATGTGTCTAAAGATCTGGTATATGCCCCTAAAGCCTGCCATTGATATACATTTAACAACTGCACCACCAAAACTCATTGTTGTACGTACATACATATGCGGGATATTTCCTTTTGCCAAGCCACCAATTGGGTTGATACTACATACTTGCATTTGCATACATATTTTCATAACCAACAACAAAAACAGGTTTGAATTGTGGATCCATGACATGTCCAACAGGTGGAGCCCCAAACATTAATTATGGAAAAAATAATTATGGAAAAACCGGTCAATCTGCCCTAGCCCCCTGATTTCACAGGAAAAATCAATTATGGAAATAATGGCCACCTCCAAGAATTATGGAAAAAAAAGGTTCAGATCACTTCCGGGATATTTTGAACCCTTATGGGGAAAAATCCAATTATGGAAAAATCGGACGCAGGCGCCGCCTGTCTAAGTTGAACGTTTTTTTTTTTTCCATAATTCTGTCGGTTACCATAGATAGATAGATGGATGGATGGATGGATAGATAGATAGACATATAGATAGATGGATAGATAGATCGATCGATAGATAGATAGATAGGTAGATAGATAGATAGATAGGTACATGTGTAGATAGATTTTGTTTGCGTGTCTGTGGCAGCTTTGTGAAAGGTCAGCAGTTTTCGGTACCGGTTTTATGGATCGAGGTGGTTGAGCCAATTTCTGATGTAATGTGAGAAGCCCAAATGCCATAGAGCTACAATTTGGGAATGGTTTGACTATACCACTCATAAACATTGTGATTTTCAGGGTTTTTCATATTGGCTTTACCACATTACTAATCATGTTTAAGAGGTTTGCAAAACTGTATGTTGATTGGACTCAGTTTTTGTGATGTGTTGTTTTTGTTTGTTGAACCCCTCTCCATCCGATGACTGGAGATAACAGGACCCCCATCCCATTGTGGATTTCCCAGGCCCGCTCCACTGGCTTGCACTCTAGCTGCAGACAGTGGGGAGTTTTTCTGGTGAATTAGACATGTGAAATCAGGAAACTTCAGCATTGTTGCGGGGAAAGACACGGATTGGCACACTTTGGAATGAACTTTTTGAGTATAAAAATATATTTGCAGATCCATGTTGACGGTCTCTTGACCCCTGGGTGGGATTTTTTTCGGGCGATGTTTTTCTAATCTTCCTGGAGCTTGTGGCCTGTGTATCTTGACATGTACGGTATCCATCTTCAAATGGTGAGTTTTCCAAGAATTTATATATTGATGTTTCCGTAAAGTTCCCCGTAAGCCAATCTGGACATGTGATTTAAAGTAAAGTGGAGCTGGTCATCCAACAAACATCAACCAAGTTTTATTGGGAGTTTCACCTTCCAAAACATCAAAACCAAGGAGTTGACTTGTCCTCATGGCCATGCCCTTCTGAGGCGATCGCCGGGTGCTGGGAACCGGCACCTTACCGGGACGGAGAGATGTCATCGTCGGAGCGGCTGGGCGAAAATGACAAAGTCCGGGAGGGTCCTGCGGTAGCGCGTAATGTGGTAAACCCAAGAATAAACCAGCCTCAAAATCACCTATCCTCCCGAAATGGTAGGCTTATGGCCTTAACATTGCTGGTGCGACGGTTTGTGAAATATGATCATTTATCCAGATAAAGATGTGAATTCCTTTCAAATTGAATGTTGACCGGGGTGGTCCATGTTGGTCCCCTGGGTTTTTCCACCTATTTTGGGGAATCGGTTGGCCGTTTTCCTTATTGTTCGCCCTAAAGTTCCTAAAACATCATGTGGAATGTGGAGGGCTTCTGGGTTGACGAACCACAACAAAGAAATAATTCCCATACTTGAGAGGAGTAGGTTAAATTAAACAGGAGTAGCCACGAAGCACCAGCATGACCAGCATGAACTCCAGCAATTAAGGCTGCTGCAGTTCCCAAGCGAACAATAGGAACCTTCAAATCGCGAAGTGGGACACCTGGGACACCTGGACATCTTCCAGTGGCAAAGCATGTAGGGGATGGCCTGCTGATCAGTTGCTTGGAGGATCCCTGGGTCCCTGAGATATTGGGCATCGCCCAGTTGCGAAGCACAAACCTGAACGCTTCAAAACAGTTCAAAGTTCAATCCCAAAAACATATTTTTTATATGGTTAAGTATAATTTTACATGTTTTCACCAATTTTCAGTTATATCATGTTACCATCTGGTAAACTAACATAACTATGGAAAATCACCATTTATAGTGGATTTTCCCATGAAACATGGTGGATCTTTCCATAGTTTTTTGTATGTTTACCAGAGGGTATATCCCAAGAAACATGATTTCACCAGATCAGCCACCCAGTTTCCTGCACCCAGGCAGGTGGCAAAGTCACCGACTGCGATGGGAGGGGCATCGGAGCGCCTTGGCTGTGGAGATGTGTGTGGAGATGGCTTGGAAACCAGGTGAAATGGTAGATATAACTATAGAATCTATAGAATCTATAGATAATGATAGTTAGTGGGGTTTATACACCAACTTATAACTGGCGGGATCTGGGGGACACCATCCTACAGGTGAGATGAAGATCTTAGTAGACTTTCCTAGTTGTAGCTGGCTGGTGGTTTTGATTTTTCATGTTCCAACTGATGGGCATTATTAATCATGTTTCAGGGTCGAAAGTTGTAGAACCGGGTTCTGGTCATTTGACGGGGGGAAATGTCAATATGGCTCACTCCATTCGTTGTGACTTGTTTTTCCCATATTTGCACAACCAAAACCAATAGGTTTACTGTAACTGTTTAACAAACGGATTCGACAAAGAGATGATGCATGCACGCCAAAAGTTCTATTTAGCTATTTAAATCTATCCATACATCCATGAGTCCATCCACCCATGCACCCATCCATCTAGTCATCTAGCCATCTAGATCCATCTAGCCATCTATTCATCTCCCCATCTATCCAACTATCCAACTATCTATGGCTAACTACATGTAACTATGTTTATCTATGTCTAACTATGTTGATCTGTGTCTATCTATCTACCTCTCTATCTATGTCATTGTATGTCTAGTTATGCCTATCTATGTCAGTCTATGTCTATCTATGTCTATCTATATTTTAAATATATTTTAACTATCTATAATATACACATATATATATACATATTATTAGTTAAACAAACAATTAAACAAATACGATATTTCTTGATATATTTTGCATATATGCAGGCCTGAGCTCGATTGACCCTGAGGTCCTGTGTGAAGGTTCTCCTGGAGAGGTGCACAAGCAGGCCATAGACCTCATGGGCCAGGTCGAATGGGTTCCTTGTCGTGGCCGTTGCCGTTGCCGTTGTGTGTTCACACGACCCGGGAAGTGGTGGCGCGAAGAAAGTCCGACAATTTGGAGCCCTCTGTTTGATGGTATGGCACAGGTAGCCTTGGTACCAACAAATGGCAACAAGAAATGGGTATGGATCAATACCTATAGATACATTTTTAATGGGATGAACATCCATTTACCAGCTATTTTGGGGTTCACTAGGTACCAGGGTTTTGACCCATCCCCAAATATCATGAAATATCTCAAGATATCTTATGAAAGTTCCGACATTTGCCTTGCAACCCCTCAGATCTCGGCCACTAAGGTGATTCTACAGGCGCGGCTGCGGGTCCCATAAACTCCATGCGGGCAAAGGATGGCAGTCGAAATCTTCCAAATACTTTACAGCACATAGATTTGTATAGCATATCTCGGTGATTCCAACGTGTATGAAAAGTTGTGTTTATAGAATTTCAGGTGAGTAATTATTATATATATTATATTTTGTTCACTTCTACATGCCTCGGTTTGACACATGCACACCCAAAATGATCATTGTTTGTTGTCATCATCGTCATCATAATCATTACTACATATCATTATATATCACTATATACCACTGTATCTCACTATGTATCATATATATATATGTATTTTATTTGACTGTATATCACTGTATATCCTATGTATATATTTGTCAGTCTAGATCACTATGTATCACCATGACGTTGCCTGGAATATCTCCGCTACCGATCGAGGCTGATCTCCTCGTTCCTTCTGATGCCCTGCTGGTGGCCAGCACCCGACACGGAACCCGCGTGGCGGTGGTCGTCATCAACGAGCCACACGGCGTAGAAACGCAGGGCTTGGGTTTCCTGTGGCTTATAGCAACCAAAATAGGGGAATGCATAGGACAATATACGGGAAACCTCATCCAGATGTTGAACAGTTATGGAATACATGAAAAATATGAGAAACACCATCGAACTATCATTGGAAAATATTGGAAACATCTTTCGGCATTTTTTGGGGGCTGCTATACCAGCAAAATGTGGAGAAAAAGGCAAACAACATCCAACCTGTTTATCTTTGATTGGCGGTTTCAATTTTCCTCAATGCAACCTGGAAGGACCGAATGCTCCCGCATGATTTTGGTAGCAATAAATCATCACTATGCTTTGAACATGTTTTCTTGTTTTAACGGTGGTTCATGATGAAATTCATGATGAAAACTGCTCTGTGACGATTATTTTGGGCCACGGAGCATCTTGATTTGGAATCCCCTGAGGCAGCATCTTTTAGACTTTGAACCAGCCTTGGCCAGGCGGGTTTGGGGTGGATTGGGGGTTTGGTTTCTCCCATGTTCAGCTGGATAGCTCAGTGGTGAAGTCCAACATGGTCAAACACTCAGCCCCAAACTTGCCCAGCCAAACCATCTTCCAAAAAAAAACATCGGTTATGACCAGGATAGACCAGGTTTCCATACCCTTGTGGCTTCAACCAGGTTAAACTCTACTTTTGGAAACCCTCTGGTAAACTAACATGGGAACAGGCGAACTGAAAATCGGATTTTCTATAGCAGGATGGGGGCGCTCATCGTCGGTGACGATGAGATGCTGAACAAAGCCATGGTGCATCGGATGGCCGCCCGGCGCGACGCAAGTCGCCATCAGTGGTGGATGGGTTTTCCAATGGCTTTTCAAACAAATTCATTGGAAAAACATGGAAAACCCATTGGAAAATCAAGGAACACCATTACAAGTCTGGAGTAATCCAAACTCGCAGGGTTGTTTGATCGGGATGATTGGGGTTGTCCTTTTAGTTCGCGCAGATTGTTCAAGAGATGCAAGCATGTTGATTTTATTCCATTCAGTCTCAACACACAAGTACAACATCTACACCTTTATGATTCATATTTACATGTTCACCGGATTATTGGCTGACATGATCTGACATGGGTATTTTGTATTTTGTTGCATTCGATGTATTTATATGTATTTGTGCATTTGAGGAGATGGGTGCTTTAGACCAATTGAGATACCCTCCCTTAATCACACCTTGCAATGGAAAACCCGGCATTTAGTTCGATGATCTGTCTATTGACATCTCATTTATAGTAGGGGATCTCGCAGTTTGCCATGTTTAATCATCGTTTTATATCTTATTATCTTCCCGTTAACACCCATTAAATCCCATCATTCCAATTAAATCCCTTTATCTGTTGGTTGGAATTGCCCATCGCAGCTATCCATCCACATGTCAACATCCTGCAAGGCTCTGACCAAATCAGAGTCGCCCATGCTGAACACGGCCACGAAGATGCACGCAGCGTCGCAGCGTGCTGTTGAGACATGTTCAAACTGCCTCCATGTTTTTGTTTTTTGGATAACATGGGAAATCTGTTTGTTTTGATGTATATATATATATACATAGATAGATGTGTGTGTGTGTGTATGCCAATGTGATGTGTGTCCAGTGGATTTTTCGTGTTGATTTTTTGATTGATATGGCCGTTTTTGAGATTATGCCTGATTTTCATTTTGTAGGCCAGTCATGTTGTGTGATGATTAAAAGTTCGGCGCGGGGAATGATGGCATCCTCCCAATGGGCTCCAGCGAGGTTTGTGGCGGCATTTTCCTTCCTGCGGCTGAGGACAGGTTCAAGGTCCAAGAACATGTTCGTGTGGTTCCAATCACTTTAATTATATACTCTATTTAAAATTAAGAGTTTGCTTGCTATGGAAATCACTGAAATCACAATTTTGAGTAGGTAAATGATCGAACTATATAAATGGTCCATGTTCATCCATTTTTCACCGGTATGTTTGTTTACTGGAGGTTAATTATATACATGAATTAAAATCTGATAGGCTGTTTCCATCCATTGATTATTCCACTTGCTGCTATGATATGGCCGGGGGTCAATGTCAGCAAGTTCCCTAGGGTTGCCACCCCTCCAACAAAGACCCCAACAAAACCGTCCATCTTTAGAGGAATCTGGGATGGCATCCCTGCTGGCTATGGTTTTCCACAGGTCTATCAGCCAAGTTTGGGGCCAAGCTTGGGGCTTGGAGTGTGAGGAGTTGAAACTCTGTATGGTGGAATCGGTCGAGCTGATCCATGGTTGCTTGGCCTTGGCAGAGATGAACCTCGATTTTGCGTAAATGTGCAACATGACCATTACCATACCATTAAACCATATATGATTATATATTCACATGAGATCCACAGATAGACCATACCATAAAATTCATTGTAGTTAGAAGTTGCTATGTTTTAGAGACCTTACTTGGTGTGGGAGCAGTTGCGTGTCACAGTACACGCTAGTCCCTGGAGTCCTTTGCATCCTGGATCCCCAGGAGAATCATGACGCGTAAACCACATGATCATTTGGGAGATGGAATGAGATGGTTTTTTTCCAACAACAAAACAGGTTCATATGGACGTAGATGATTTCCTGGTGCTGCATTGCCAACCATTTGACCATTGCTTCAGGTGAAGCAGACCGTTCCTTGACAGCAGCAAGGAAGAGGGCGCTGACGTGATCCAAACATCTCAGAATTGCCATGGCATCATGGTATGCATCAAGATAGTTAAACTGATCCATAGACAAGTGAGAATATGTGTGAACAAATTGCAAGTCCTTGATCAAAGTCTATCCAACTAATTTCAAGGAGTTTTTTTTTCCAACCTCAAAAGTTTCAATAATTTTGCCACTGGTTGTTCCAGGCTTACTGCCATATGTTCACTGTTAGTATCCACCAGAAATTGGGCAAACCCCATTGAATTCATTAAACATATATTAATATATATTATATATATATATGATTTTGACTCCCAACTCACCATCAGTGCAACTCGGAACCTTTGTATTATGGCAGTAATTCTTTCCAGATGGCCATGGGAGGAAAAATACGAATCACCCAACCTGAAGTATCAGACTACCCGATGCTTTGCTCCGATGTCAACCCAGGTCACGCGAATCCCTTTTCATGAATGAGGATTGCACAAATTCTTTAATACAGATTGATAGATAGATAGGTAGGATAGGATAGGATAGGATAGATAGGATAGATAGGATAGATTGGATAGATAGGATAGATTAGATAGATTAGATAGATTAGATAGATTAGATAGATTAGATAGGTTAGATAGATTAGATAGATTAGATAGATAGATAAGATTAGATAGATAAGATTAGATTAGATTAGATAGATTAGATAGATTAGATAGATTAGATAGGCTATATAGGTTAGTTAGATAGGTTAGATAGGTTAGATAGGTTAGATAGGTTAGATAGGCTAGATAGGTTAGATAGGTTAGATAGATTAGATAGATTAGATAGATTAGATAGATTAGATAGATTAGATAGATTAGATAGATTCGATAGGATAGATAGATAGATAGATAGATAGATTAGATTAGATTAGATTAGATTAGATAGGTAGATAGATAGATAGATAGACAGACAGATAGATAGATAGATAGATAGATTAGATAGATAGATAGATTAGATAGATGGATGGATGGATAGATAGATTAGATTAGATTAGATTAGATTAGATTAGATAGATTAGATTAGATAGATTAGATAAGATTAGATAGATAGATAGATAAGATAGATAATATAGATAAGATAGATAAGATAGATAAGATTAGATAAGATTGGATAGATAGATAAGATTAGATAGATAGATAAGATTAGATAGATAGATAGATAAGGTTAGATAGATAGGTAAGAATAGATAAATAGATAAGATTAGACAGACAGTTAGATAGATAGGTAACAATAGATAAATAGATAAGATTAGACAGACAGACAGACAGACAGACAGACAGATAGATAGATAGATAGGTAATATAGATTAGATAGATTAGCTAGACTAGATAGATTAGATAGATTAGATAGATTAGATAGACTAGATAGATTAGATAGACTAGATAGATTAGATAGATTAAATAGATTAGATAGATTAGATAGATTAAATAGATTAAATAGATTAGATAGATTAGATTAGATTAGGTTAGGTTAGATTAGATTAGATTGATTAGATAGATTCGATTAGATTAGATTGAATTAGATTAGATAGATTAGATAGATTAGATAGATTAGATTAGATTAGATAGATTAGATAGATTAGATAGATTAGATTAGATTAGATTAGATTAGATTAGAATTAGATTGAATTAGATTAGATAGATTCGATTAGATTAGATTAGGATAGATAGACAGACAGACAGATAGATAGCTATCAGTTGGAAGTTACATGTTCATCACTGTTTATCCATATTGAATCACCGGCTCCTGGGTCGACATTGGCCAAGGTGTGAACCTCGACATGATCAGCATGCTGCAGCCGGGCGAGGGAGCCCTAGTAGGCTCCACCGCAAAAGCTTTATGCTCCTTGACACCAGCGGCGGCAACGGCAGCAACGGGGCCAGAAAAAAGAGTTAGCTGTGTTAAAAACGAGGGGTTCTTGATTATGTGTTGCTTCTTCTTTGACCAGTTGTTGAATTTCTATGTGTACTGTGTATGCTGTTTGATTCACCAATTATGCCGATGAAAACGGTTCGCTTTATGAATTTATGTTGTTCAGACTGGTTAATGTGCGCCTGAATATGATTGAACTGTGCAGGTCAAAACCACAGACATGTACAATATACAAATCCCATCCCCTTATTATCAAACACCCATAGGGCCTAGATGGTCCGAAATACGTGTAACTCCCCCAGTAAACCATGGTTTCTGGAGGTGTTTGATATTAGGTTGACGGGATTATTGTCAATTAAAGGTGGTTTGGAACATGTTTTTATTTTCCCATATATTGGGAATAGTAACCCCAACTGACTTTCATGTTTTTCAGAGGGGTTAAAACCACCAACCAGTTGTGTCTCTGGCCTGTGTCTCTTCGAACCATGAATTGAGGCTTCATCCACGCGGATGCGGCTGGACACGGTTTTCGGATCAATGCCGGGCCAGTCCACGCCTCCCGCCATTGGAAAATCCAATCGTGGCCCAGACATTTCAATGTGAAAATGATGAAACATCCTCTACAAATGATGTTTTAATGGGAAAATCGTCAAACTAAATGAGGATGCTCCATGCCATATATGATTACCAGAGGCTATTCAATGTTTTTCAATGTTGTGTCTCAACCTTGAGTCTTGACTATAAACTCAAACCTTTGTTGTAAGGATTTCCTAAACAAACTTTTTGGGTTCCAGTGGGAGCACGTTTGAGGCATATGTCGCCTTACCGGACGGGAGAATCAAATATCTCAGTCTCTTGGATTTTTCGATGGCGCTGCGAGGTTTTTTTGGCAAATGGCTGGAAAATCCCCCCCAAATTTTACGATGTTTTTCCCTCTGTGAAAAAAACCAGACCTTGGGTTCCATAGTGAATTTAGGCATAAACCAAGATAGACAACTGACAACATACATGTAATTGCCTAATATGATCAAATATGATCTATAATTTGGCACTTGGAGGGTATGGCTAGTATAGCTTCTATTGAAATCTATTGAAGCTATAGCTATGGTCCAATGGTAGCTCTGAAGGTTAAGACCCATCTCCGAGGCGACGTGGAAGCCGGGGATCAAATTCTCATGGTGGATCTGGGGCGTGGCGGTGTTGGCTCCCTTGCCAGCCGGAGCACCTCGGAAAGGGAAAAAAAACCATAGAGATCCATGGGGACAATGGTGGAGATAGGAAGAAATCACATGATGTAACGATGTAGTAGATATTGGTAGATACTTGTAGCATCTTGTAGCATGTTCATTCATTTTCTATATATGTTCTTCGTATTGATTTGATTTGGGGGGTTCTATCATTGACCGGGTGAGCAATCTATTCTGGAGACAATGCCAAGCAAAAGAGGTTGTCATCCGAAATGGTGATAAGCAGTACCATGCTAACATTCAGCATGTGCTATCATGACCTGAAAAAATGCTTGGATGGTGGCCCAAGTCTGAGAGAAAACACAGATGCATTTCAACGCCGAAACACGCCCGAAGCATATTCAGGGCGAGCAGGAAACCGCAGGAAACCTGGCATTTTGAGTACCGAGTCTCGTACCTAGGTGTGGCAGTCGGCAGATGTCAAGTTGACCGGTGCCAAGTGGCGCGGATTCGCTTGTTCCTAGAGGGTGAGCACAGCATCTCACTTGCAAACTTTGGTGCTGACGTGCTTAGCCGACTTGTAAAAACGAAAAGTCAGGCATTAATTAGTCTGTAAGTCAGAGTCAAGAATTATATAGTTGTTCAAGGATTTCGGTTTCATCATCCTTAAGCGATGTCATATCCAATTTTTGAAAATGGTTTCATCCTTCAAGCCATCATGCTTCAAGATTTGTTGGAGTGATTCAAGAATCTAGGATTCATTCTGCAAGAAATGTTCGATTTATTCATAATTCTCATGTTTCATCTTGGAAACAAGAATGATTCATCATTCTTCAATCAAGAATGTTGGGTTCATCAAGGATTTTGAGGATGGATCCTCCCAGAAAATTGGGCCCAGGCCAGCTCTTTCTCGAATGGACGGATGCGGTGCGCGTGCACGGCCGGAAGGCGGGGATGGGTACAATGGTGACAACCGCAGGAGCAATGCCCAAAAGCCCTTTTGAATCCTTTTGGTGGGTGGTTCTTTGGGATGGTTCTTTGGGATTCACTTCAACTGAAAAAAAATGCTGTTTTTGTGTACAAACTACGGGAGCCCCGCGGGCGCAAGGCGACACAAGGCTTGTGCTAGCACCCAAATGGTGCGCAGTAGCCACCCAGATGACAATTGGGCGTATGTTTGAATCCCATATATATGTTGGTGCAAGATCGACAAGTATCCTATGGAAGAGTCGGAAGATTGATTCGGATATTGATTCGGCTTCTTAGGTGGCATTGATTCAAGATATTTCAAGATGTCATTGATTTTCATTGTTTCCTAAGACGTGCCACTTTACAGATTCACAGCATCTTCACAGCACACCGAAGTGGCAGGCAGATGGTGGTCCCAGCGGAGCTGTGCCCATCACGCAGCTGAAAGGAGGTGGCGTCGACAAGGGGACATCTGCAGATGAACATTTATTAGATATCTGGGAACATCGTGGAACATCTAGAAAGTCTGGTTTTACATGGTTTTACATGGTGTTACATGGTGTTACATGGTTTTACATGGTTTTACATGGTTTTACATGGTTTTACATGGTTTTACATGGTTTTACATGGTTTTACATGGTTTTACATGGCTTTACATGGTTTTACATGGCTTTACATGGTTTTACTATGTTCAAGTACCAGCACACATTTAAAAAAAAAAAACATGAGAAACCTTTGTTGATGGTAGACCTATTCATTTGGCTCCTTGGGGCCCAGCGTCGCAAAGGATCCGGGGTGTTCGAAACAAGGGAAACTCAGGAATTTCCCATAACGGTTAGATGAACAGTTGGGATAAAGTTCAACTTAATTCGCAATGGCTAGCTGCAACTATCCGAAATCAACAATAATCTATGTGGGAATATGTGGGATAATTCTCAATAGTTATATAGAAGAGTGGGAACCTTGGAAATAACGTGCGCATATTTTTTCTCCACCATCTCTGACCTCCTGAAAAACTGTTCTATTTTTTGGGGCGGATGATATGGAGGAACACAGACATGTAATGTGGTAAACTCACTTATAAACAAACCATTCCCTAGCATTTTCATGTAAGGATGGTTGGTAAAACAATCCCGGATGGTAGTTCTTTATGATGAAAATGTTTGCCACAATTGCTGACAATCATCGCAACAATAGCCAAATCATCATTAATATTATTTAATATTCAATCATATCATCTCAACCTGGTTGGTGGTTTGGAACATTTTTTATTTTTTCCATATCTTGGGAATAATAATCCCAACTGACATTTTGTTTAAAGAGGGGTTGAAACCACCAACCAGCAACATTGTTTAACAAGCAAATCAGCATATTATATAAAATTATATATATACACCCTCTGGTAAACTAACATAGCCATGGAAAATCACCATTTTTAATGGGGAAAATCCACTATAAATGGTGATGTTGAATAGCTATGTTAGTTTACCAGAGGGTATGTCATCTGTAAATGAGCCATTTTCCATCCATGTTCCGCAAAGTGTGAAACCGCTCCAGGCGATGAGATCCTAGTCCACTGGTCCACCAGCAGTCCAAGAGTGAACCATGTGCAATCCATGCCCTCCGAGAAATGACGGTTCCCGCGTGGGAGAAAACGGCGATGTTCACCAAAGATAGGAAGATAACCAACAGCTGTTTAAACTGGCGAGAAAAGCCAGACATTTAGGGATGTCACATGATGTCACCATGAACTTAGCTACTAGAACTGGAGGAAACATCACAAAAAAAAAATGTGGGAAATGAATGGTGTTGCCATGTTTCGCCACTAAGAAAAGGGACGTCATGAACATATTATTGAGATTTATTGAGAAATATGACATGACGTATGATCTGATAGAACATACAGCTGCCAGTAGCTATGGATCATCTAGAATGTGAGTATTGTGAGTGGGGATTATGATTTCATGTTGGATTATTAAAGGCCTTGCCACATGTCACTTGGATTCAGTGGGCCCTGAGTCCGCATCCAATGACTTGACCCTGGTGGTTGGTTTCCTGAAAGATGCGCGGTTGAAGATTTGGAGGCACAGATATTATATATATAATATACATACATGATATTCTTTGGATAATATGTGGGATTTCTAATGATATACATACATATAATTTGGATACTGTATATATGATATATATATATATGTATATATACATGATTAATATACATTGGATATTCTTTGCTAATTTCATTCGCATCCATCGCTGAAATGAATCTTTTTTCGGGGTGGGCAGAAAGACTATTGGGACTGGTACGGGAAGCGTCCTGTTGATGAACTGACCATGTAATGGACCATCAAACTCACCATGGAAGTGCATTGCCTAATTAAGCGGGTAGAATGATGGTCATAATCCTTGGAAGACCATGGAAGTGGCCATTGAAATTGTACAAGATGGGCTTGGATGGCACGCGTGAGTTTATGTGAAGCTTTGCGTGAGCACAGACTTTGGCATAGGATAATCCTCTGTTTAATGTGGGAAACCCATTCGGAAACCTACCATTTGGGGATGGTTTATAGCATCCATTTATGTCGATTTCTGGTGATTTGGGGGTATGGTTTATCATAGGGTTTTCCACATTACTGGTTAAGTACTTGATTTGCCCAATTTGTGGCCACAGTTGACCCATGACTAGATATTCGCTATAGATTCACACCCCTTTAACTCAACCGGTGCGGTGCTCTTTGGCCAGTCGTAAGCCGTGCAAAGTTTTTACTCCGGAGATCCAAAGAGATCCATAGGCAACAAGACCTGAGGGGTGGTTCCATGGTTGAAGGCACCCGAGAAAAAACATAGAACAACCATGAAAAGCATTTGCGGATGTTCGGGCGCATTGATTCTAATTTATTAAAATGTCCATCTTCACGGGGGCATAGCATGGCATAGCTGTCAGGAGCCTGAAACTGTCTGAAACTACGGGGCATAGCAGCGCCCAGACAGTTGATATCACCCCATAACGGAGCGTCACAAGGTCCGGACTGTCGGATCCTGTCGGATCCGCCACGAACACTGAACACTGATCATCCCGGTAGTTGGTTGGTGGTGACTGGAACATGGCTTCTTTATTTTCCCATATACCCTCTGGTAAACTAACATAACTATGGAGAAACACCATTTTTAATGGGAAAACTCACTATAAATGGCTATTTTCAATAGCTATGTTAAATTACCAGAGGGTATTGGGAATGCCATCATCCCAACTGACTCATATTTTTCAGAGGGGTAGGTTGAAACCACCAACCAGAGTAGTTTCAAGTTACAGAGGCTTGTTCAGGGGAACAGCCGGTGGCAGCGACAACCAGATAGGGATTGTTGGGATTGTTGGAAACACTGCCGTGCAGCAGCAGCTTTCTTTCAAGATAACATGAGATCCTGCGGTGAAGGATCCAATTCCATCATCAATGCACTGATGCAGATGGGCAACGCATGGCAACGCCACCTGTTGCTCCCACAGGCCTTTGCTTGAGGCTTTTGACATCCAAAAGCCCGCGTTTGTTCGATCATTTGCCACACGAAACAGGGTGCCCGGGTGAATGGAATGCCCTGTGCAGGAGGGATCAGATGGCAACGGCTCAAAATTATTGCCCCCCATTCTAGAGTGGATACCTATCCATACCATAAATGATCTGCCATTTGTGGCGATTTTGCCCGGGAGGAATCAGATATGGAGGTTATAGTTCTGATATTCTAAGGGTTCAGTTGGTGCAACCCATTTATACAGCAGATACCAGATCTAATTATATAGATCATTCGATCTATAGAATCTATAGACTCTACATGAGTGATTTGAAGTACGAATTAGGGAAACAAATATCTACACGGCCACACTCATATATGATCGAATCCTAAAGTATCAAATGGATTCATTTGCAATAGTTATAAATCAGCTAAGATATTGACATATTATAAAACAAATTGGCATCACACACACATTATTATATATATATATATATATATTTTGGCTTGATTCAAAACATATGAATTCATATATGGTGCCTCACCAGCTGCGGGGTGCGCAGCGCAAGCGCGCGAGCATTTAACACGTGCGCGCGCGAGGTGCGCGAGCAACGACAGGCGCGCGCGCGAGACGCGCGAGCAAATAGAGGCGCGCGCGCGCGATGTGCGCGAGCAAGGCCAAGATGCGCGCGCGTGTTCGCGGAGAGCTTATTTGCGATTTGGAGAGCTTATTTGCGCGCGCGGAGAGCTTATTTGCGCGCGCGCGTGTCGGACGGGTGCGCGCGCGAACGCGCGCGCGCATCTTGGCCTTGCTCGCGCACCTCGCGCGCGCGCGCCTCTATTTGGTCGCGCGTCTCGCGCGCGCGCGCCTGTCGTTGCTCGCGCACCTCGCGCGCGCACGTGTGAAATGCTCGCGCGCCTGCGCGCGCACGATTTCAACAGGAAATGTTTCATATGTTTTAAAAAATGACAATATATATTGTATTATGGATATGTATATACAGTAGCGAGCATGCTGTTGATTTTCCCATGCGTGAGACTTCACTGTGTATCTTCTGGAAGTAAAACATGTCTTGACTATGTTTGGCCTGTGAATGTATTCATGCTCTCTGTTTGAGCAATTTTGCCCGCCCAAGTTTCCCTTCCTTCTTTGGTTGAAGTTTTTGGTTTGTTGCACAGTTGGGTCGGATCTCCAAGCAGACCGCTGAATGAAGATCATGTCGACCTTGTTTGAGTCTCCTTACAAATTTGGGGCCCCGGATTGCATTTTGGGGCCTGATTTGGGTTCAATTTTGGTCCTTGTTTTGGGTTCCATTTTTGGGCACCGGCTTGGGCCCCTACAATATACATTTATACAGAGAGAGTCTTGGGTTTTTAATATATGTATATTGACACGGTGCCGCGCATATCCATCATGTAAAATGAGCCATGATTGTTCTGCATCCCGACCCCTGGCGCCAGGCGCAGCAAAGACATGCGTCCTGGGGAGTTGCATCAAGGCAGGGTTTATTCAAGGTTCATGATGAGAGAATAGTGTAGAATTACACATCCAATCATCCTCGTCATCATCATCATCATCGTCATCATCCGGATTATCATCATACTCATACTCATACTCATACTCATTAGCATTGATTGATTCTGATTACGGTAGGATGTGCCCAGACTCGGAATATGTATATAGGTGTATGCGAGTGAGTAGCTTGAAATTGAAGTTAAGGGGAGTGGTCACTGTCATAAACGGGATTAAACGGGTAGGATGCTATAGTATTTTAATGGAATTTCTCTTTCATCACTTGGATAAAATTGCTAAGCACCATTAATGAGGGTCATGGTCATCATTGCGGAAAACATCATTTTATGGTTTCGATCAGGTGTGTGATGTTTCTCATGCTTTCAGGTGACATCGGGTCTTTCCGTGTTATTCTGGAAGATGGTGTGCCCGCACTGCAAGAATGAAGGTTTCTCCCTCTTCGGTCAAAATGACCAGGAAACTAGATAGATGACAGATGCAAACATGTGTATGCGCGATATATATATATATATATAGTGACGGACAATCACTTAGAACGTATTTTGGAAAAAAATTTCTGAATATTACTGCTTTTTTTACGTTCTAAGCCTTGCACTTAGAACGTCGAAAACCATACACTTAGAACGTCCAAATATCAAGATTCATCACTTAGAACGTACCGGGGATTTAACACTTAGAACGTGTCTAGGTCACTGATGATAGTGGAAAGGCTTGTGAAATCTTTTATCTCTAAGTGTTGGATTCAGCAGCTAATTCCGTAGGAAACATAGACATAATTTCGTACCATTTGGTTTTTCCCTCCCATATGATTTGCTACGTTCTAAGTACGAAAAAAAAAATGGAAAAAATTTTACGTTCTAAGTGATTGTCCGTCACTATATACATGTATTCGCGCGCTATTAGATGTACACACACACATATATATATATATACACATTTATTTATATATAGTATACGTGTATGTGTGTGCGTGTGCGTGGGTGGGAATGAATCACTTGCGGCTACCACTCATGCATGCAGAGTAACAAATGCAATTGCCGAGGCATCAACTTTGACCCCCAAAAATGCACCCATAGAATCACACACAAGTAATTGATTTGCAATCTAGATGAATGGATGGATAGAGCTAAATGTTTCTGGATGGATCGAAACCTATTACAGCCATAAATCCCAGGAATTTGGGGTTCACCAGTATGGTTTTTACCCATATCCATATTCGTCCATATTAAAATTCCTTTCCATGGTGAATATCCCGGAGAGCATTTTGGAGGCAGCTCCCTTCTTTTGGAGGCGCTGCAGGGGTTCCTGTCGTTGAAAACGGGTGGTTTTTTTTGGCCTTTGTTTCGTGGCCGAATTGATGCATCGAATTTACCAAGCACTGTTCAAGCATGTAGTTCATTTATCCACCAAGCCTGTGGATTTTCACCATGAAATTCCCAACAGCAGAAAGCTGCTGGGTTTCAATCTCTAGGAGTAGTGGGTGGTGTGGCATTCCTCCCTCCTCTGGCATGTATGCGCAGGGTATCGGGAACCTGGGAACCTTGTCTCCCAGTGTCTCCCACAGCTTGTCTCCAGCCGTGTTTCCTATGTAGAACTCCCACTGTGTGTCGCA